TACTTTTTCTTTTATTTTTTTTACTTGGTCGTCCTCGTTTCACTACACATTACCTTTGTTATTTCAAGGGTAGTTGTTTCTGAAAAGGAAAACCCCAATTTTGCGGACACCCTGTATACTGTGTGCGCGATGAGAGCGCCTCCTAGTTACCATAATTATTCTGGACTCGACACTGTCATTTCTTGGCAACTAGATGTGTAGATAATAATTTTAGGGTTGTTTTTTTATTAAATGTTTTGACGTCTACTGAGGTGAACAGCTGATTAGTAAGTGAGGTCTTTGTATTAGTCTATAATGTTGGCAATAATGAATCGGGTGTAAAATCTAGTAAAACTTGATTGTAGCAGTTTTTTGTATACAAAAATGAACTTTTCTAAATGAAAGAATTGTTAGCAAATACAAAATGAGAGTACAACAAACTAAATCAAAACACGGCTCAATCTGGCGTTGATGGATCCGTCAGAGTTATGTGTCACTTGTCAATATGGAGAATTTTGGAATATTAGTAGATAATCAGCTGCTTTCTATCGTGATGGATACTCGTCAATAGCAGGGATATGTTTTAATCAAAAACACACGTGTTTTAAGCACTGTTTAAAACAATGAAGGTGTTTTAAACCAATTTGTTTTGAACTGTTTTGAACACTGTTTTTTTTGTCGTTTATGAATTCAAGTTTTTTTTTATATTTTTTTAAACACTGTTTTTTTGTCGTTTGTGTATTCAAGCTTTAAAATTGATTTTGTTTTGCAAAACGAAACTAAAATGGCCATAGGTTAAAACACAGGTACTAAAAAATACACTCTATTTTTTGTTAATTAATCAAACATGAAACTAGGGAAGTAATACTAGTGGAAAAAATCTGTTTCTTAACGAACGCGTGAAGTTAATAAACTGCATTGAACTCTTAATACTAGTACACTACAAGCAGTAGAATAATCATATAATATGACTATGTATTTACTTGTATAATAACATTAAATAAGTTACTTAATATATTTCTATAAAAGTATACAACCCATCTTATTTTAAAAAAAATCCTTAAATCCATATTTTTAAAATATAAAATCATCGAAAATGTACATAGAATAAATAGTTTTCACTATTATGGCGCGAAAATGTTCTCGGTTGAGTTCCATTTTTCTAATGACTTGGTGACACTTAAAAATTTACCGTAGTGAGAACACTGCACGTATTGTTGTGAAACTTTGAATTTAAGTTTACTAAAGAGTGAGGTTAAGATTCAGTATTGACGTTCGATCCGCGCGGCCTACTATGTTCATATATGCAAAACTTACGTATATGAATATTTTGTTTTTCTAACAAACTTCCTTGTTTAAGTTGTTTACATTTTGATTATGCTTGCACATTCTAGCCACCAGTGGCACTATATCCATATTGCAGATTAAACATTTTGCTCTTTTATTTATTTTCGAGCCAGCTTTGGCATCAGTCTCCTTAAAATATTTCCACACGGGATCCTTTCTCCTCCCTGTCATTGCCTTTCTTTTTTTGCTGATCTTTAATGCACAAAAACAAAACACACCACCACGCTACGAGTTCGTACATGTAACTGCTGGAGATCGCAACGCAAAAAATTACACAAAGGCAAACGGTACTTCCCCGACGACCGCTTTTAAATTAGAGATGTGCTGTGATAGAGCTGGATCAAAAATAGTAATAACACTTTCAAGGAACTTCATTAGCGTTGCTAGATTATATAGTGTTATAATTTTTATTTACTGTTTTTAACATGTATTAACAGTGGTTTAAACATGTTTTTTTTTCAGTTACATTTGTTTTAATGAAAAAACAGTTTTAAACAAAAAACATTCCATGATATTTCTTCACAAACCTCTTTAGACCTTCAGAACTTGACTGAAAATCTATTTCCCTGTATTTTCAGGTTATGTGCAACTTGAAGCTCAACACAGTTTATCTTTTTCACATTTGAGCTTCACTTACAGGTTACAAATAATAGCAGTGCAACAGAAATTTGTGGGATAAGGTCCACCTTAGATTAAGCAAGGTGGTGCCATAAAAGGTGTCTCAATATATATTTTAGGATTTAGATTTAACGGCATTTTTCACTGACTTTTTGCACAGAATCTTTTTAATTTTTTTTTTATTTTATCATAATAATATTTATTGGTTCACAGGCAGCAACACCAGCAACGCGGTCAACATCCTCCACGACCTAGACCTGTCAATGCAAGGCATTAACAGTAGAAGGAGAGACTGATAAGGCCGACGACGAAATTATGTGACGATCTTAGCTGATTACATTTGGATTAACTGATATAAGTCAAACGAAACTGGACTCTCATTTTGCTGCAAAAAGTAACCTGTCGTGTATGTTGTTTTGCCGTTTCGGTATCCAGCACTGCGGCCCCTACAGTCTCGAATCTGTGACAACACCAGTGATCCGATATTTTGTTCGATCATTTTGCGGGATGACAGCGTGTCAGAACCATTGGCGTCTTACCCAAATATAATCGAAAAGCCGACATTGGTTCGACTAAGTGACATATCTTACGTTGACGCCTCGCTGCTGGGCGGTTGCTATGGGTACGACGTTTAGATAGCGAATACGATGACACTGTGGCTCGACATCATGACCGCCGCGTGAAGCTCTCCATTCCCGGTCCTTCCATCATACCACGAAGTGGTCAGATATCGATCACTCCAAAATGTTCGCTGTTTCTCTAGAAATATCGCACCTGAACAATGGAGTGACATCAAGTTGAGTGGTGAATGGTGGTCTTTACAGCGCACTCGTCAGGACGCTAGAAGCATTAGTATAAAATGTCACTCACAACAGTGTAATTAGTTCTTTACGAGATATATTTGGGTAAAGCGTCAGTGGTAGAAATTGACCTCTTGACATTTTGGAAAGTCGTTGTTGCCAAGAGGGTTCAGCCGGCATTTGGATAAAGGATTGCGTATAAGCGGATTATCAAAGTAGGCTTCTGGCAGGCTTATTTGGACCGGCGGATAATTCTACTAAATTTTATTCCAGTGTTATTGATCTAATTCGGTGAAACGACATCAATGTATTTATTGGTAAGGAATTAAATCAATGTTTACCTGCTTAGCTTTGAGTGAAAATTCATCATGTATACTCATACGAAAAAAAAAATTTTTGTGCATTGAGCTGAAAAATTTAGCAGAAGCAAGAAACATTTAGAAACCGTCAATTTTTGTATTTGTATCGGAATCTTGCTTCTATGTTTCTGCCAATAAAAAAAAGGTTACACACTATTTTTCCTTTCCTGTAATTTGTATTTATTTCATCAATGGCACAATAAGATTTGTTTTCTACAGAATACTTTCCTTTTTTTACCTTTGCAGTATCTAGTGATATGTAAAAAATAAATGTAACTGAAAGTTATATTCCTTTAGTGTAATTTTAATTATATTTGGATATTAAAAAACAACTGAATGCAGTTTGTGTTTCCATTATACTATTATGCCGAGGAAATTTGCTCCTCTTGGCCTTCCTCCGTATTGATGCCGGATCTAGGCGATTGCAGTCTTTTCAGGCATTTTTGTTAATTCAGACCATTTTTGAGGCAATTTTGACTAGTGATCAGAGTATTGTAATCGCGAAAAATTTCCAAAATGAGATATTTTTTAGATATATCACACGTACATCACGAAATACTGTTCGGATTTAAACGAAATTTTCACACAAGGTTGATACTATGCCAAAGAAGAAAAATATTTAAAAAATCGGTCCAGTGGCGGAAGAACTAGCATCAAAAGCACGAGAAGATAAAAATTGCGTATACTTCGTTTTTTTTTTGACGTTTCAGAAGTTCTTTGTTAGTACATATTCCACACATCCAAGATTTCCCCGTACAATTTGTCTTTATAACTTAGAACGGTAGAGAAATGTTTTCGCCTCGCGATCCGCCTCTGCTCTCAGCCTTCACCAGTTGCGTGCGATCAGGTGCAGAGTCAACCTACTTGACGCCATTTTTTGAAGGATCCAAGACTGTCCGTTAGAGAAATGTCATTAATCAGATAGATAGCCCTCTTCTGAACAGCATCGAGTAAAAACAGTGGGGCGCCAGTAGCAGAAATATTTATGAACGAAACGCGGTCGGTCGGGACGATGCGATGCAACGGCGACTTTCATACGCCGAACGCTGCTTTACATCTGACAGCATCGCTGGCAGGGATGTTATAGTATCGTGGCTAGTGCTTATGACGTGTTTGATTGGTGTGGCCTAGCAATGTTGCCAGGGCAGCGAAGAAACAATCGTTAGCGTTATCAAATTAATGGGGACTGTGGAGTATGTATTAATTATAAATGTTGATTTGACCCATTTTTTTTTATTATGCATATTTGTAGCCAGTTTGCAGAGACTAACTCGGGCCGAACATAATCATTTATAAACTAATGACAGGATTGCTTGGGAAGTGCAGAGTCAACCTACATGACGCTATTTTTTTATTATCTTTATAAAATACTTACCCGTCCAAAAGAATGTAGTCGAAAAAGCATCAGCAATTTGATGAGCTTTAGGACGATCTGAAATTTTCGTTTTTCACCACTGGAACAATTTTCAAAGCCCAATATGGTAAAAATTTTATCAAAACCCTAGTTCAACCTGATCTAATACGATAATTAATGGTAGTAGGTACTTTTCAAGTTATAAAGGGGGTCAATAATCATCTGCTCGGTAATTATAAGGGCTTGAAAGCACTAGTGATCAGGGTATAAACATGGCCATTAGTGTTGCATTAAAGGGTTAGCTTGGCGTGCAGTTAAAATGAGCTGGTGCAGCGCCATCTCTTGGAGCGGTGATGTGTTAACGTACGGATGTGTGGTTAGCTACCCACGATGTAAACAGGCCATGGTTTGTTTGGCAGTTTGACCTCCAACTACATCCTGACTACATCAGTGCCAACTAGCGGGAGCAAAATTAGACATTGCTGCCATTGGCGTTAGATTTCTGAAAAATTCTTCAGGAAAATGCAAAAATAAAACAGAATCTATGACTAAATTAATGTATTTCAGTTCTTGAAGAAATCGGTGTTATTATACTGTGGAGCAATACAAAAAAAGTAATATGAACTTATAACCTATTCAGTAAGTTTAGGAATTAAAATCTGGATTCTTCCTTAGAATAACAAAACCTTCCATGATTGGTGTAAGTGCAATATATTCTTCAGTTGCTAATTCTGCTCGTTCTCCAAAAGCAAGTAGTACGGGTGTAGTATGCGTCTGGAAGCCTGTGATAGTTTTTGGTTTTCCCGCCTGGCCCACCACATCAACAGCCTAGAATGGTTAAAGCGTAGTTAATCAATTAATTTAAGATAGATCGAGGATACTCTAGCAAGCTCATTACGAGGTCTGCCAAATTATTTCGAGCAAGTACTGAAGGTGGATCACATGTTCCCCTGTCCCCCCTCCAAGCCCGGCGCTTCCAGTGTTGCCAGATGGAACGCTACGTTGCCAGCCACATCACTTAATTTACAAACCCCATAGTAATAAATTTTACGATATTCTGCGGATGCCTCCTCTGGGATAGTGTTATAAAGTTTATTTTTATGCCAAACAACAAAAACGTTAATCAACAAAACTCACCAAACCAACTCGAACTGGTACAGGAAGGGGGTTGAGATCTTCATCGAATGTCACCAACATCCTTGGTTGCATGGCTGCCGCTAACGTGTACAACAGGTAATGAGAACGACCCAAAATAACTGAAAAAAAAAAAACAATATTGAATACAAGATCATTGCTCAGTGGTATTAAAAAAATGAATATTGCATTTAGTTTTCATGCTATAATTTTAGCAAACATTTGAGACTTGGAACATTTTATAAAAACTTCTGATATCTACGAATTACGTTTTAAGATTTTTTAGTAAAAATATACTCACTGTTCTTGACATCTAGAAAACCAACAAGTGTAGCCAAAAGTCCAGCAACGGCCACAGGGCTCATCAGTTGTCTGTCGTTATGATATGGACTCAAAGTGAGGGTACCTTTACCCAAATGGGTGAGTCCTTGAGCAATACGGACCATGAATAAGTTGTTTGGATCCTTTGCATGGTACTGGGCTAGTTGGCGTAACATGGCAGCTAATCTGGCGTTGTTTGTACCTGAAATGATAATTTTATATCATATTTGGTTATTTTCAAATTTAAAATAAAAAATCATTTTTTGCCACAACATTTAGAACATTCCATAGAATTGAATAATCATTACCACAATAATCATAATACCAGCGGAAATATAGATTTCCATTAAAAAAATTGCAATAGTAATATAACTAGAAAATCAATATTTCAGAAAGGATTACTTGAATTTAATAAATTAAATGATATAAAGTCTTCTTGTAATTTAAAGATGTGTAAAAGAACATTTCATGGACAGTGAAAATTCTTCGAGATGCAAGTTTTATTTTTCTGAATCTTTGTATGTTATATAACTGTTGTAACTTTTTTAAAGGAATTTACTTGTAGCAATCATGCTAAATGAATCTTAAACAAAAAAAAAGTCAGCACTTCAAATTGACGGACAACGAAAATGAAAATTTCGTTCGTATCTAATCTGGATGGAATATCATTTGCTGGGTAAATCCGATGCCAGTTTGAAGCCACATTTTCTACCCCAAATTCAGATCAACGCTCAGAATTTTCTGTTGATCACATTTGAATTAAGCGCCAGACACCTTACTTTAACTTCGGCCCCATAACACTTCACGATTTTTTGACTATGTCATTCGAATTCTGTGCCCAAATTCACCCGAGAAACTTTACTTCACATTGTTCTATATTTTTAAATTCTCACACCAAAATTTTTTTTTATATATTTGAATTATGCTTCTTTAATTAAATTACTGTTTATACCTGCTCCGACCAGTCCCATAGCAAAGATGGCGTTATGTGCCACTTCAGCATCGCTATCGTGAGAAAACTTGCTCAACGTGTCCAATATATTCAATTTTGGATTTGATACCGAGATGAGACCTAGAGCTAGAGGCACTGCCCTTCGAATCATTGGCTCACAGTAACGTAGAAGATGACCAAACGTTCTGAATACCATTTCACTACCTAAAATGAAACAAGAAAAAACAAAACTTTTTTATAATTAAGTTTTCTTTGACAAAACTATTAAGAATAATCTTGATCTATAGGAATCTTGTAGATTGTAGGAGTTCTAACTTGGAGAAATTCTTCGATCATGTGGTTGAATACTATAATTTAGTGTGTGTCACAGCAAAATAGTGAAGATTTCATAATGCGTTTCACTTTTATTTGTAGTACTCGTCTAGCTAAATGTTATATACATTCTCAATGAAACTTATATAAAAATATTATATTTAACACTAGTTGAATGCCTCATAACCTATGGAATTATTGGAGATCCAATAACAACAATCTAAATTCTTTTCAAATAATACATAAATCATTATTAAAATAATGCATAATAAACCATCATATCCCTCCAAAACACTGTTAATGAATAATATTTTTGATTATTAAAAGACTATAAAATAAATCTTTCTACATTATGATATTAGAAATTTCATAAAAATAAACATTCATCCATTTACAAAAATTATGATCCGATACTGGACATGAAAATATATTAATCTTTATTACAACACCAAAAAAAACGAAATGATGCTGAAATCACTATACTTAGGTCCAAAATTATACCATAACATACCAAAAAATATTCAAAAAAGAATACCATTATTTTACAAAAAGAGCTACATAAGTGGCAGACACAATTTAACAAAAAAAACCTATTTAGGATAAATTATGAAGAAATGTCGACAATATTTTACCTATATCTTCACCCATACTGATCAAGGCAATGCCTAATACCGCAATAGCCTGTCTCGCGGAAAGATCCTTATCATCCTTCGTTTCTTTCTTATCTTTGGAGTTTTTATCGGTACTCTCACTGGGTTCATAATGTTCTGAACAGATATGCAACAGATGTTGAACCTTCAGCACGTTGCCTGTGCCCGCGTATGCGCAAACATCCACCATTGTCGTAGCCATTGACTTGAACGGTTCAGGAATTACCTAAAAAACACAGTTAAATTGAACCACTGAATTGATTTACCATCAAGTTTTCAGGACTGACCATTTTACCAATCATGTAGAACAATGTTTGAAAATTTACACTCGCCTTCCAGATGCTATAAAAAATAGATATTCCGCCCCGAACTTGCTAGCGGAACATCCAAAACATACCATTTTCGGCTTTATGACGTTCGCTTCATCCAATATTGGATCATAATGAATACGAGGGATGTCTTTTAAGTTTTGCATATGGAAATAAAACAACACGGTAGGTAGTTTTAAATGACTTTATTGTTTTTGGAAGCACTTATTCCACTCGTTTCCGGCAGACCCAAAACGGCATTTTTGAATGCGTCAACTGCTTCTTCTGGTGACTGGAACCTTTGACCACGCAGTCTGTCTTTAATTTTCGGGAAAGTAAAGAAATCGTTAGAACTTAGATCGGGACTATAAGGAGGATGGTCCAATAATTCCACGTTTTCTTCCGTTAAATACTGCCTTGTTTTTTGGGCTGTGTGCGAGCTTGCATTGTCTTGGTGGAGGATGATTCTTCTTTCAGGGTTGATTTTTCGAAGCTCGGTGATGACTTTTGGCAAACAAACGGTGGTATACCGATCCGCAGTAACAGTTCTTTGCTAATTAAGAGGAAATGTTGCATTATGACCCGCTTTTGACACAAATGTCGAGACCATCTTTTTCGAAAACTTGGAGAACGGATGACTTTTGTTGGCTTTTCTTCACCTTGGAACACCCAAACAGCCGACAGTCGTTTATTTTCTGGTTCATAACAGTAAATCCACCATTCATCACCACTAACAATGCTGCACACATTTTTTGAGTTTCCGGAATTGAAACGGTCAAGCGTTTTTTGACACCAATTAACCCTGGCTGCTTTCTGCTCTTCAGTCAACAGGTGGGGTATCCAACGAGAAACTGATTTTCTTACTCCTAATTCTTCATGTAAAATTTTTTGAATTGAGGTCTTTGAGATCTTCAAAGACGCCTTAATCTCGCGATATGTCACATGTCTATCTTCAATGATGAGTTTTCGCACAGCATCGACGTTTTCCTGGGTGACTGCCGTTTTTGGTGCACCCACCCTGGAATCGTCGCTAAGACTCACCTCGTTTGAATTCTCCACACCAACAGAAAATTGTCGACTGATGTGGCGCTTTGTTGCCGAAAACAGACAGTAACTAAGCAAGGCATCCTTGTTGCGATAATTGTCTCTGAAAGTTGTAATAAATTATGGCGCAAAAATGTTCTCGGTTGAGTTCCATTTTACTAATGACTTGGTGACACTTAAAAAATCACTATTGTTGTGAAACTTTGAATTTAAGTTTACTAAACAGTGAGGTTAAGATTCAAAACTTAAAAGACATCCCTCGTAGCATAGTCCTTCTTTGGACGCGAAAATAAACATTTTCAAATATATTTCGAACTTCGAAGAATGTCAAAACTACCGGGCTATGATTCGCGCATGCGCGCGCGTTGCGATGGAATTGAATACATTTTGACGTATATACTCGTATTCAGAAGTTGGGTCATCATCAACACAGTGATCAGTTTAAAGACGTGTATTTATGTTAGAAATATGAATGTAACGCCTAATTAGTGCGATAATTTTATATGGCCGTTAATATGTATCCATCTTAAAGAGACCAGAAATCCTCAATAGCAGTCTAGTCTCAAAAATTATAACGTGACAACCTATTCTAGTATACTATTTATCGCAAAAAATAAGAGTGTGAATTTTAAACTATTGGGGATAGTGCAGCAGCAATACTGAGGTCCACATCACGCCGTGAAGTTTTTGACATCGACATTTAACATTTCCACCCTTGGTAGCGTTGCCGCTTATTGCTTATCGAATAATCCATTGATAATTACACAGATCTGAGGACTGATAAATGTGAACAATAACAAGGCAGTAAACAGTCATGCAATGGAAAAAAACGCTAGCGAAAGATTATTCAAAACAATGTCAAGCCGAAATAATCGATAGGATTTCACATCTGTAACGATTGTCAGTTATTAGCGTTTTGATTTTTCCACCACAAGATATTAAAAAATATAAGAGCAAAAATGGATCCAGGCCGTTTTACGTAACGTGAAAACTTTTTTACGTAATAACCCTGCCGTATTATTTGTTCATCTCTGAAAGTTTTACCCAATAACGTTCTAAATATTTGAGGTGTCAATACACTATGTTAGAGTAGTAGACATTTAATAGATGTTTTTTATTTATTTCCTACATCAAGTTTCTTGAAGCAAAAAGTCTAAATATTTATGCACAACATTTAGCAGGAAGTTTGAGATGTTGTTTCTCGGACTAGTTGAAGTTGTAAAACAAAAAAAAAACATTACCTCTAACGCAGCAATGATAGCATCAATGCCATCCTGTTTTCCCAGGTGACACAGCCCCAGTCCCAAAGGCAAAAATCGAGCGTAGGTGTCCTTCAATTCGGTGTCCGACTTTTCCATGAGGGTCTGCATTATCGCCATTGTCACCTGGGGATTTCCTGAACCAACTGAGATCATACCGCATGCCAGAGCAGTCATCCCTATCACCTCCATGTTGGATTTAGGATCGCTGAATACGGGGAATAAGAGACTGAGAACTGCCTCCCTGTTAGAACCTGGAGGTGGTGAAAAAGAAAATGGTTGCAAGTAGATTCACTCTACAGTTCCAAAGCCTGACATAATTGCAAAGAAAAAAAAATGGGTAAAGACTATTCAACAGATTAAACTGCAATCGAAATCTGACTCGGTTTGTTCACTTAATCTCTAGATATCAAACTAAAGTAAATGAATCCATCATATTTGTTTTGATGAAAAATGTATGGAAAACATGGCGGACTATTATGTCTAACAGGTGCATAGTATCAGGGGGATCAGAAGCATAATAAAATGTCTTTCACGGCTACCACAAATACAACATTAACAACCCGAACACCTGATTTATACAGGATCAACCCCATCACAATAGCAAATAGCAATAGCAAATAACAATTATTTGATCGTGCGGTCTTGGAGCACCGGCAGGCCCTCCCCTGTAAGGTCTTAAGTCTCCTGATTCACGAGCCCTTTGTACTTTATTAACAAAGGCACGAGGGGTTGGTTGCACTCGATTGGGAAACCGATTCGCACAAATCCGTGATGCCGCGGCAGCATTTTGTAAAGACTCCCCGTAAATAAGAATCATGTCCACAAGTTCAGCATTTTCGTAAACATGTGCCATTTTTTATTTCGTTTGAGCCACGCAACAAACACCACTATTCACTCACGCGTTACCGACTGACGAAAAACATCGTGATAAACGTTTCAAATTCTTTCGCTTTTTTGTTTCCGATGCGATGAACCGATAACGCGGATTATATCCGTTGTTGCCAAACACGAGCACATAATATTATTATTGAGACAGGGCGGTACTCAATCTTCTAAAGGGCTATAACTTCGATACTTTAATTTTACCAGAAAAATGTTAAAGGAAAAAAACATTTCTTTTGATCAGATCTACTCACTGTTAAAATAAATGACTCAACTTCGAAGTCACCCTGTATATATATATATATATATATATATATATATATATATATATATATATGCACTCTTTCGAGGGCTAGAGTATTATTCATATAATAGGGAGACTAGATCATTGATCTATATTCCAACAAAGATATCACAAGTGACATATATTTTTTCTATAGATAGCTCCCTACAATTATGTAACACAAAACCAAGGACTTTCGAAGCCTTAAGTACAATAGTGTTTATACGTGTGTTGAAAGTGGTTCATCAGAAAGTATACCAAGATCTTGTATGACATTGCAATATTCAAAATTATTGTTTTCGTTTAAGAAGAGTTTGCCTTTTTATATCCTTTGTAAAAACTAATGTGGTTAGATTTGCCAATATTTAATGATAAATCATTATTAATACACCAATCACTCAGGCTATTCAAGTCATTTTGCAACAAAATTAAATCCTGCTCAGAATCAACCCCCCGATAAAATTTTAAATCATCCGCGTACAAAAATTGACTGTTTTCAAAATAAACTGGAATATCAATCAAAAAATATTCCTGGACATGAGCTCGAGTCGCTGTAACATCAAAAAACAAAGTTTCAATGATTTAGTTTTCTTTTCGCTTTTTGATTTTTGTTTCTAGAACAGTAATATATTCAACCTCAAATTCTGCATTCTTGTTATCTATCAATACGAGAATTTTGTGTCCACTCACCAACATAGGCTAGGCCCAGTCCCACGATAGCTCCGATTCTCATGATATTGGTGTTGTGAAGGACATAGTCGCTTAGCAAAGCTAAGGCTGGATCACACTCATTTCTGACACCACAGTTCACGATTCCACAGGCCAGCAGTGCTCCTGACTTGATGTGATCTTCTGATGAATACAAGTATTTGTCGATGGGTACTAGGCCTCCGTCGACATCCCATAAAAGTACCAAACCTACAAAGAAAAAATATAAAATAATTTAATAGTGATAGACAAACGAAAACATGCATTAGATAAAAGTTATAGCTTACTTCCTATAAGCCCAAAACAAAGCCATATAACGGGTGCGCCATCTATTACATTTTTTACCTATAAGTTTATGTGTTACCATGTCAGTCAAAAGTCATGTGGTATGCATAAATGAACTGTCAAAGGTATGTCATTTATAGTCATGGATTCGTTTACAACACAACAACGCATTTTGGTTATCCAAACTTATTACGAAAACGGCCGAAATATAAAAATACTTTTCGCAAACTTCGCACTAGTTTTGGCCGACATGGACGCCCTACAGAGCCTGGAATTTGTTGGATTGTTAATCGTTGTGAGGAAACTGGTTCAGCTGAAGGTCGTAGACCATACCAACGTGCTCTTACTCGTGAAAACACAGCCGCGGTGAGTGAAAGTGTGCGAGAAGATCCAACCACCTCGAGTAGGCACCGTTCGCAACAATTGGGAATTAGTAAGACCACTTTACGCCGGATTTTACACATTGATTTACACCTCAATTCATGCAAAATCCAACTAACACAAGAATTGAAGCCGTAAGACCATCAACAGCGGCGTGTTTTTGTTAATTGGATGCTGGAAAGAGAAGACGGATTTTCGGCCAAAGTGCTCTTTTCTGATGAGGCTCATTTTCACCTCAATGGATACGTAAATAAGCAAAATTGTAGATTCTGGGGGCTGAAAATCCACACCAATATCATGAACAACCTCCCCATCCTGAAAAAGTGACTGTTTGGTGCGGATTATGGGCTGGTGGCATCGTTGGACCATTCTTCTTTGAAGATGCCGAAGAAAAGGCCATTGCCGTCAACGGGGAACGTTACCGCGGCATGTCAACAGATTTTTTGTGGCCACAATTGGATCGTATTGGTGCCGACGATCCTTGATTTCATCAAGACGGAGCAACGGCTCACACATCTCGCCAAACAATCGCCTGATTGTACACGAAACACCTCTTGACTATTTTCTTTGGGGATTTTTGAAAGGAAAAGTGTATGCGATTGGTCCCCGGACAATTCAAGACCTAAAGCGCAATATTGGGACTGAAATTGCGGCCATAGACCCGATTATTCTTCTAAAAGCCATTGAAAATTTTGATGTTCGGATGTTGGCCTGTAAACGAAGCCGCGGTGGTCATATGACTGATGTTTTTTTTCATATATAAATGGCATAAACCAACCTTCATTTATCAATACAAAAATTCGATTTCACTTTGTAAAAAGCGTGTTGATTTTTCAAATAGAAAAAAAGTTATAGATGACGCACCCTGTATTTCCATATTGCAGTTGTTTATCATATTACAAAAATGATGATTATCAAAAAGACTATTTTCCGCAGTGCGGTTGTAGTGATATTTTGAGCTTTCTTATGAGATTTTCAAAAATGTTTGCGTATATGTGCGTCCAAAGGCGAAAAATTGTTTCTTATGTAAGTGCGTTGATTGCGAATCAGACGACAATTTGGTGCTGGAATTTTGTTGGAAATTGTTTCTTCGAGCAGATGCGAAGACACTACCTTGACTATATTGTCTCCAACATATATTTCTTAGGGTTTTGGACATACTGCTACACCAAAAACATGATAAAAAAACAAACCTAATGAAGCAGTAGCGCTCAACATCCCATGCTCCTTATTCTTGTACAACCACTTGTTGCCGTCCTCCATCAGCAATTTGTCCTGTCCAAAGCCCGCGTTTACGAAACCGTTCACAAAGCTAGCGGCAAGGTTTTGCCTCGCAGAGTCTACATGACTACCACCAAACTGGGGCCGGGTATTCTCCAAGTGGGATTTGTAGACATCCTCTGGGGTTTTCGGGTCCATAATGTCAAGCTATGTATAAAAGATGCACTACTCAAAAAATTATGGGAGCAAGGAAAAAATTCAAATTTTTCGGTAAATTTTGATAGGTTGTATTACGGTGAAAAATTGTCGTATCTAAACTTTGAAAAAAGGAAACACCTAAACACCTTTTGACTTGGTACAAGGTATTGTTAGAGTGTAATTTTGAGTTTACTAAAAGTTCGCGCTAATTTTTTATTACAGTGCGAGCTGTGGGCTTGAATGTTTACGAACTTGTCTACTGTGTAGTCCACTGAGTCACGCAAAAGAGGGTTGCTGTGCGATTCCGCTTGACTAAAACGTCGCTGCGCCTGAAGCACTTGACATAATCCCTCAAGTAAGAAATGTCAAGGTCTATGTGTAGTGTCTCATTTGAGAGCTATTTGTTGTTTTTACTTTATCTTTGATTTGGACTGAATGTAGTTGATAGTGAAAATAACAATATTCATGTACAGATAAGGAGCTGTTTAGAATAGAACAAGAGTTACTGACCTCTCTAGCTAAATTCAAGAAGTGGTTATTCAAGTGGCAATTTGCCATAATCTCAATAAGGTCTTCATATTCAGGAGTGCTTTCAGGAATTTCAATGTAGATTTGCTGTCTTCCTAACATGAATGCCAACTGTTTTTGCATTGAGCTGAAAAGTCAAATATCCATTAGTACCTTGTAAAATGTTGCTCCATGACCCAACAGGATTTTTTTAAATTCACCTCCCAGATAATCCATTATCTTGTTACTGCAGATGATGCAAATGGAAATTTTGCACAGAAACTCTGTATCATTTTTAAAAAATCTTAGCATTGATATGTTGAAAATGGCGACAAGTACGTTAACTCTGTTGGATAATTTAGCCCCTCTAAGAAAAAAAGTTAACTACGAACATGTTCAGGGTGGCCGATACGTAAATGACTGGATTGTATCTTGAATATTTGTGAAATGAAATATTATACGTCCATTTTTTTTCATTTTAATCTTGAGCCCTCTTGATTACATTTTCCATCATTTTGGTAGGTTGCAGGAGGAATATTTCCAATCGCTTCCGAAATATTGTTCTTCAGCTACTCTACAGTATTTGGTTTGTTGGCATAGACCCTATTTTTCAAAAATCCTCATAACAAAGTCAGGAGCTGTTAAATCCGGTGAACTTGGTGGCCAGTTGAGATCATCAAATCGAGAAATCAAACGACCCGGAAATATTGTTCGCAAAAGATTAATTGTTTCCCTAGCTGCGAGACAAGTTGCTCTGTCCTGCTGCAACCACATGTTTTGCAGGTTAATTTGTTGTATTTGAGGAGCCAGAAAATTTTGCACTACATCACGGTAGCGCGCGCCAGTGACAGTAAGAGAATTACCTGCATCGTCTTCAAAGAAGTAAGGTCCAATGAAACCTCCATACCAAATACCGCACCAAACTGTGACTCGGCGAGGATGTAGTGGTCGTTGATGGATGACACGAGGGTTCTCTAATGCCCAGATATGACAGTTCTGCTTATTAACATATCCGTTCATATCGAAGTTGGTTTAATCGCTCATTATCAGTTCGTGGTAAAAATCGTTATTTTGGGTATTAAGCTGCAATATTGCATGACTGTATTGTCGGCGGTTCTCATGGCCACTAGGCTGTAGTTCTTGTGTTAACTGAATTTTTAATGTCCGCAAATGCAAGTCTTTTTTTAAAATAGTGCATAATGACGTGCGACGAAATCCCAGTTCTTGAGAATGACGTCTGGTAGACGTCTCAGGGAGCTCCACTACACTGCCACGTACTCTCTCGATATTTTCCGGAGTACGAACAGTTCGAACACCTTGGCAAGTTTTCAACTTCAGCTGGTTGTTCAAATTTCCGCATCAACTGTGACGAATGGTGTTGACACTGCGCACATTATTTCAATCGAAATCTTGTCGTAGCTTCCGAATCGTTGCAACAACCGACTCATTATTTAAGTAAAACGTTTTAACAATACGGACGCGGGTAGCGCTTAGGACACGTGTGCTTTAAACAACTACTGCGGCGCCATCTACTGAAATGCGTGTATCAAAAATGGCGCGCAATTTAAATTAGTCAGTTATATATTGGTCACCCTGTATAACAAATAAATTAAACGGATCAAGTTAGTCAAAGATACTCATACATTAAAAATTAGAATATTTACCATGTTAAGAGTGTGCAAAGAATTACCACTATCAAAAAATTGAGATATACCCGCCCCAAACTGCCTAAAACCGACCCACCCCCCTAATTTTTCACCCCTTAAAAATGATCGGGACCCTCTCAAACGTCAAACAACGAAGTTTGAGCGCCGCTTGTTACCTTGGTAAATTGGATGATCAATATTGTTTCCTGTTCTTCAAATATATGTATTTCAAGCTCGTTTGCAGAGAATATAGGTCAAAGAATTGAATTATGACTTACGTATCAGGGCATGATAGAAAGATATCTTCCATGAGAGCCTGATCATTTAATTGCATTGCCACTCTGAGTGCATGTGGGTACTGTTTGAATTTTCTGAACACAACTAGAGCTGTATGAAGCAATGAGGTGTTTTCAGGATCAGCAACATATGGAACACAACTAAAAAAAAATTTTTTTCATGAGTTATCAACGACTCAATGATTAAATTACAGAAAATACAATACCTTGTTAAGTAAAGGCAGACCCTACTGTAATTATTCTCATCCACATGTTCATCAAGTATGTCCAGCCTTTCAAGCTCCATAAGTAAGTCACAGGCTTCAGCTTCGGCATTGTGTGCCATGTTGTATGGGACTATCTGTTCTGCCAGTTGGACTAGTTTTTCCTTCAGTTTAGGATTGTTAAATAAATCTAACTCCGTCCATTCTGCAGCTATTTCTCCTGAGAGATGTCTATACATGCAAATCAGAAAATATTTTAGACAAAAGCACAGAAAGGACATTGCAAAAAAATATTTGATTTATAATACTCGGATACAAGGACCTAATACTAGGCTTTACCATTTAAAATTGCAATTTGCTATAATTATTAGTTACAAACTGCAATTAACTATAAGTTGCAATTTACAATAAATGTAACTAACAATTGACAATAATAGGTAATTGCAATTTGTAACTAACATCATAGCCATCTACTATGAACCCATCCAGCTTCAGTTGGCCCACTTGGTAAATTTGCAAATATTGGCATATATTGACGATCATTTAAACTGATAGAGGCATAATTCTTAATTTTTATTTTGCAAACAGCATCTTAAAATTCTATTACACAAGAAACTAAACTAATTATAACACTTGGAGCTGACTAGAGCGAAAAAAGGGGAAACAACAAAATTTGTGATTTTTATTTCTAAGAAACAAGAATTCGTAACTGTGTACTAGAAACCCATCCTAGGAGTGGTACTTCATGGTCTAAAAGCCATTTCATGCATTTTTTGGAAGTATGGCAGGCAGCACAGTCTTGCTGGAAGATGAAGTCATTTCCAGAGATCCTGCTCTGCTCCAAAGTAGGCAACAAAAATTTCTCTAGGATGTCTAAATATTTATCTGAGTTAACAATGCCATTGATAAAATGTAATTTGCCAACTCCTCTTGCCGACATTGAAGCCCAGACCATTACTGAAGATGGAAATTTAACTTTGCGCTTGAGACAATCAGGATGATAAGTTTCATGTTTTTGGCGAATAACTCTGCTCCGACTATCACCGACGCAAAGTTCGAATTGTGACTCGTCACTCCAGTGCACACGATTTCACCTCTCCATATCAAAGCTCGTCTATCAGGGTCTGTTAATTTGGATTTTTTTACATATCTGGGTTTTTGGGCAGTTGAACCATTTGATTCGTATAATCTTACAATATTTCGGTCACTGTATCTAGATAACCCGAGCAATATTCCAATTTCACCATTTGATTTTCCCGATTTATGCAAATTAATAATTGATCGAATATTTTCATCTATCGCCTTTCCTCTGCCCATTTTTGACAGCAACTACAAGGTACCTGATAAACTAAGGTTCGCTAAAACAAGCGAGCGTCGCTGACAAACAAGCATTGTTACCACCAATATTTGGGTATTGAAGTTTTTTTACAGTTGTCGATTTTTTATGACACAACATACTCTATTGAATCCATATATTTCCTAAATTGCTATAAATAGTGTATTTTGTCTTATATCTTACGATATCCTTGATATCTCCTATATTGTAGTGGGTTTTTTGCCGGTAAAAGTAAAAAAAACTACAAATTTTGTGTGTGGACCAACTGAAGCTAAACAGGGCTCGTAATTGCAGCTTCAAGCTGATAATTATACCTAACTGCAACTTGAAGCTGATAATGATACTCAACTGCAACTTGTAATAATATCTAACTGCAACTTGAAGCTTATAATTATAGCTAATCACACCTTGCAGCTGACAAAGGCCATGTATATATTGTAGGTGAACATATATCACACCTAGTACACAGCGTAAACAGACACAAAACTATGATGCTCTATGGCATATCTACCTCATTAGACTGGTAAAGTATAAAATGACATGTATAGGGTAAAATCCATGCTGTCAAAGCAAAGGTGTGTATCTAAGTAGTCAAATTATACAAAAGCCTACCTCACATATTCATGTCCCCATTCCCCAATGTCATCTATGTCACTCAGAAGTCGATATTGCAAGCAGTCTCTGTTTTCCCCCATGGTCATTGCTAATACTGAAATAATATCAGCACAGACTGCCTTCACACTTAAGGATTTGATTTTTTCATATATATCTTTCATTGTTTGATAGTGTGGTTTCATGAATTTGAGTGGTTTCGGAACTGATGTCATAGATGTTGTAGAAGCTCTTATATGGTTGCTCAATGCTACCAGAGCAGGCAAGTATAAGTTGTCATCACTTTCCTGAAATAAAAATATCTTGATACCACATACTGTTTTTATTAAATAGGCTGATATGAATCTTGACAGCTAGTAGAACTGGTAGACTGTTTAACATTTCCCATACAAAAAAATGAGGGCACTGTCATATGAGTCAATGATTGATGTACAAAGCTAGAATGAGATGCAAAAGCCTGGCGTGTTCATCTAATAAATTGAAGAATTTTGCTTTTACTCTTTCTGCTCAGTCATTCCATGACAAATCTGAAATATGTGTCTAGTTTAGAGTGAAAAATGAGTATTTAGACCTACCAAAAGCTTCTCGATGCACAGATTGAGTTCATCTTGGAGCTGCTTATCTTCATCAGACTGAAAGATATGCAATTTTAAAAAAAGAGCGACTCAAAAATAGCAAAGTCTTACCAGGTCGTTTTTGTTTTTATCATCAGCAAGAGGTTTGCTTTCGACCTTAACACTTTCAGTTTTTTTATCGGCAGTCATCTTGGGCCAGATATTAAACTAAAAATTAGTGAGATTTTGCTCAAATTGTTTTACGTTTAATCAAGACCAGTTACCTTTTTTGTTTCGGGAATAATTTAGGTTAGATTTTCTTGCTCAATCACTGTGCTGTCAAAAGTGTCAGACGCCTGTCATTGTCACTTGATTCTAATACCCTCTCCAGACTCACGCGCGGATAACGGCGTGAAATCGCGGTGCGAATCCCGAAAGATGTTCGCGCCTGCTTCACAAAATAGTAGCACTCTTGACGCGTATGGATGGTGCAATTGCTGCTGCTTTGGCAATTTATAATTACGCATAATACAAGTAAAACTAGAGCAATTGAAAGAAGTAGAAAAAACACAACCACTCCCGGCAGTCGCTATGAGTCAACTGAGCCACCAGCGTGCCATTTGCCATTCGAACCCTTTGTCGCGGGACAACAAACGAGAACAACGCGCGAACGCGATGTGAAGCCGCGAATGGGATCCACACTCATGGTACGGCCAGGTAGTACAGCCACGCTCCTTTCCAGCTCCCACTCCGCGCGTCTGCTCCCGAAGCGACTCGATGTTTACGTTGATCGGTAGCAGACGCGCGTCTGCTCCCGAAGCGACTCGATGTTTACGTTGATCGGTAGCAGACGCGCGGAGTGGGAAAGGCCGTACGGTATCGCCCCAGCGAGGTACAGCACTCACACGCTTCAGTCTCTCGGCAACCGTCGGCGCAGCGGAATGTCGACGCATTCACAGCTCCGTCTAGAGCTCTATTCGGTTTACTTTTTTAGTAGTGGTGTTCACTACTACATTTTTGTCTCAGTGGTGCTTTAGTGCTGTGACGTGGGTGTCAAGTAGTGTCTCCAAAGTGAGCGTAGAGAACAAATTAACGCACATTAGGATTTTTTCGATTAATTCAAGAGACTGGTCTAACATATTGGCAACGCGACAGTTTTCCGCGTCAGCGTTGCTACGCAACGCGGTTATGAGCTTCGCTATCCAGCTGGCGTCTATCGCTTTCTAACATGTGTCTATACACACTTCTCTCTCGTACACATTGAACTCAATCCGCCAGACAAATTTGGTTCTCAGTGCTTGTTTGAAAATCAATTTGTTTCTAACTTCAACGTGATTATTTCACCAATTAGCGTCGGCAGTCGTATCTACACAACCTGCCCTTAAAGAACACTTTCTTTTCTCAAGGAAAAAAGTTGGAATGTATATGTGTTTCAAAGTTCTGTAGTAGATCTCTCTATTCAAATGATCCTCTAATCGCTATGTTCCTCGAAACACAAATATAAAAGAAACTCTGAATGAATTATTTATAATTATTTATTGGTGGAGCTATCAACAAAGGGGTGGGGCCCACTTTTCGGATCACTCACAATGAGAATGACGTGCAATACACAATCAACAAATGCACAAACATTTTATTAATATTGTTAAAACATAGTTTTAATGCATATAATTAATTGTAACATGATCAGTCGTCAGTATATTTTCAGCGTAATTACACATTTTATACAAAGTGTTATCAAAACATGCTGAAAAATTCAAATGGTGACTCTTTTGGGTATTCTAAAATTAGAGGATTTTCCTTTCAAAGGTACAATAGTCCAAGCAATCAGCTCTAGTACAATTGCTGTTTTTGAAACACTCTGTATTTATAGGCACCCAGTGTACAAATGTATACGTAAAAAAATAAAACCTCATGCCATGTTCAGTTCGCACAATGTACTACTGCAATCAGCTTCATTTGATAAATTTATTTATGTAATTTACAGTCACCAACTACACATTTTCCTCGTCATTACGTTCTCAGGATTAACAAAAAAATTGATACAATTTTACAACCATAATAACATATAATAGCACCTACAAATACTAACATATCTTTGTTTCTTTTAATGTACAGTTTTCATTTACAGTATTTAAATATGTACAATATAACAAATTCAAAGTAAAAATGAACTGCCAATAACTTAGTGACAGAAAGCATACCAAATTTGAGTAAATTATATGAACATAGCATGTTGTATGGTTTGATGTATGAAGTCTAGTCTAATAGGGAATTTTGTTATTCAAAATATTGTTTTTTTTTTCAATAATCTCCCATGGTTGTATGGCCAATAACACCACATGTATTGATAGAATCTTCTTTACTGTAAATATTTCAATCACAAAGGTTATCTTTTTCAGGGCAATGACAATATACACAGCACAACAATTTTGGGTGGGTTTTCGGGTTTTGGCGATGGATGTCCTTTTTGGGGACGGGAATCGCTACCATATGCGGTTCTGGACTATGCTGGTTTTGACTGGTGCCATCTTAAAATTCGGAATGATGACTTCGCGCGCAATGTTATGGATTAATGAAACACGTGATTAATTTTATTCTTATCACTTTTTCTCATTTCTTAAAAACTCAACTTGCTGCGAGACGAGGTTTCAAGAAAATCAAGGATTTTTCGAAGAGCAAAAGTGATAAGAACAAAAGTAATCACTTGTTTCATTCTTCCACAAAAGAGGAATGTTCACACACAATTTCAGAGCTGTACTTATATTTGTTAACAAGTTCCGGTTGAAGAAAAAATACACGAAAAATGCATCTTTTGACCAACAAATTAAAACATTATTTTTTAGTCATCTACATACACACCGTGAAATTATCAGATGAAAAGGATTTAGAATACTGCTGCAAACAGGTAGTTGAAAAAAATCTAAAAAAGGGACGTGTCACCTCAACGATGGATGACAGACAGATTATTTTTCTTTAATTTTAAGCCTTTGATTAAAGTATCACTATATGAGTCACCCATAACAGATGTATCAAATTAGAAAAATATAATAACATTTTCATGTACAATATACATGAAAAATAAAAATATAGTTGACACATTTAAGTTACTCCCTATTAGACTGACCGTGTTTATTTTACGTATTTTAAACCTATATTCATAGTTATGATTCAACAAATAACATTTTCATCTCATTCTATAAAGATGCATTAAACTCCGGCTCGTCGTCCATTGTCTTGTACTGTACACACAAAATACAAACTGATTTAATTTGAAAAGGTTGTGTTTCAAAACGGATTGTTCTTTAACAAAACACTAGAAGGCCAATTTAACTGTGAACAGGACATTATTTGAATTGTCACAGGCACATTTTATCCACAGTATAATGGTCATCACGTTTTTCATTATTCCATTTTATATACTCGCAAAAATTAGCAATTCTGCGTTAAGATTAGTAATTCTATGAATTTAAAAAGGCAATTATTTTGTATGGACACCATCATATCATGTACTATTTTGTCAAAAATTGTCGAATTTTACAGAATCTCCTAAGTTACTTCTAGTGACATCTTTGAGGGGTATATATATATTAGGGCATTTTTTTATAAGACGTCACATTATTTTTTTTTTCTGAATACGTCCAAAAGATTCAATCATCTCGGACTTTAATTCAACTACACTATTTTTTTTAATATTAGTGTCTACAAATGACGAATATTACAACGTGGATAAAATATCATCTATGGTTATTCAACAATCCTATAGACAGAATATACGCTGTATAGTCCAATGCACTGTTACACTGTGTCCAAGAAGATAATATTAAAGTCCTGGCGATATTAGTTCATCACTTCACTAAAACTCCCGTGTAATATCCAAAAAATAACACTTTCGCGCGAAAATTCAAATTTCAGTCCATATGTAATATTGAATAACTGTTCAGAGTGTCTTTTTAAAAATCCATTTGTAGAGTCCGCTATTGAAAAAAACGAAAACACTGCACTATTACAATCATTTCTTTTTCTTTTATACAATAATTATATCATCTTTCGTCGCCCGATCCGAATAGTGGGCTGCGCATACTCTTTTTTTCATTATTATACAACTATAAATTTATTTACCATAAACTATTCTTTAATCCATATACCTTTCAAAATGGTTTAATGTAGGTACAAAGTTACGTAAAGTCTGTCGCTTTACCCAAGAACCTGACGCTTGTTTAGAATCCAATTTATGTTGTCCAACTCGCCCAAACGCTCATTATCATTAAAAAGGCGGTCTTATCATCTCTGCTTATCGATCGTTAAATGAAACCACATATGTAGAATTGCATGTTTACTTACGTTTCAGCAACAACCTTCAAAAATACCACTGAGGCGGCCGAAACGTCAATGAACAGTCAATTCTACCAATGTCGTTACATTTGACTGCCAGAAAAATATGGAGAAATAAATGCATGCAGATCATTCTAAGCAATGAGGATGCTTCATATCAAATAAGCCCATCTTATCCCTTGACCACTCACATGTGTCAAGACTGTCAAGGAATATAAGTAGTCCTCACACGAAGGCTTAAAGTGAAGGAACGCGTTTGCAGCATTCAAGTTAGCAACTTTAAAAAAATGAAAATCGTTAAAATTTATACAAACCTCGTGCGAAGTGAAAAAAAAATCCGTTCCATCAGGCTTTGGCAAAAACCTCTGATAAAATGAACACAGACTTTACGCACTTTGATAGTCACGAACGCATATAAATTGATACTGAGTTTGAAGAAAATCCACACACATTGAATACAGCAAGATCAGGATACAAATTGGAATTCTAATTTTTCGTTTCTCGTCAAGGCTCACACAAAAAACGTTTATGAATGCGTTTAATATAAAAAATGTGTAGAAATCTATATCTCTATCTCTCTCTCTTGCATTAATTTTTCTTCACCAAACTTGTGGTTAGTTTTATGGAAAAGCTACAACATATTATAGGCGGAAAACAATAAATACGCATTTTACTAGCGACTAAAGGTATGTAGACTATCATTTTTATCAATTATATGAAATGTGACACATAAGACAAAAAAATGCCACTACTTGTTTGTTCAAAAAACAAGAGACCAGTGTTAAAAACTCAAGGTATTAATTTTTCTACCATTTTGCAAAAGCAAGCACATCCAACAATACTACTAGCGTTATATGAGTTAAAAATAATTCTTCATACTTTTAGTCCCTAGACTAGTGCTTTGACAAATTGAGAAAAAATGCTGAGTGGAAGAAGTCTAAGACTGAAAGTAGGTGGATAATCAATGCGAGTCCTATGCTACTACATCAAGAAAATCACCAATTTTGACACCAATTTGTTAGAAACTAACTAAACTATTTTGATAATTCAGACTTTGCAGCTGCGTTCATGTCGAAAAGATGAATTTCTTGACACAGTGTTTGGATGATGCATTACATTCGTGAGTCCCTTGCAAATAATTACCCTTATTTAAACTAAAAACTGTTGTTTTTCACATAAAGTTTTACTCATTTTACTAATTATTGTGAAAGTCATCATGACAAAGAGAGTCGATACAGAACTTAAAAAGATGTGCCATGAATGGATATTGTCAAAAAATCTAGAAAAAACGTACTTTTAATACTGAATCAGAACGTGGCCGCCGAATTATATTTATTGTAAGAATATTCTAAATTAGTTTGACACTTATTCAAGTAAACAAGGTAATACAGCTTTTACAGGAAATGCTGTATAAATAGATATCAAATACATTCAAGATAATCGAATAAAGATGGAAACGTGACAAAATAGTAAAAAATAATATTTTACTGCCAAATTCGGGTGCAACATGAAAAATAAATAAGAGTCCACTATCATTGTCTTGATTTTTGGCAAGGTCTATGCTGCGAACTCAAATCGTCATGACAAACCCAGTACATATTTTAGGGAAAAAAATTATGTGTGTATGTGTGAATGTTATGATACTAAACGAAGAAAATTGCATGTAAAAAAGCTAGCCCGCAAAAAAAAGGAAAATAGGGTAAATTCGGAAAGAAGAGAGACATGGTGCTTCTTTCTATATTGGAGCACGTTAATTGTTTCTCTTCTAATTCCTGTTTCCTCCGCCTCTGGGGCCCCCTCTCCTGTTATCACCTCGATCCTGGAATACAAAACGGCGTCAAGTAGGTACATTGTAGAAATTTCAATCCAATAATAATTTACTTTTTTCTTTTAAAATAAAAATTCAAATTTTTTTATTGCTTCAAAAAAATCATGATTTTTTGTTTTGAGTATATATTGTTTACCCTCCTATGTCCTCCGCCACCCTGGTGCTCCTGATCCCTGTGATGACCGCCTCCACCTCGATGGTTCATCTGATCCATATGGTGACCGCCCCCTTGGTGTCCCTGCATGGGCGGCGCGTCGCCTCCTCGATGATCGTGATAGCTGTTCCTATCCCCTCCCCTATCGCCCCTATTGCCCCCTCGGTGCCCGCTGTGGTGCGAGGGGGGATGGTGGTGACTCATCGGCGGGCCCCCGTCGTGATGTTGGTCTCGGTCGCCGCCCTTGCCGCTGCCTGGCTGCTTGCGGCTGTCCTCCTCTTCTTGACGCTGTCGAAACGTGAACATTTTGGTTTTACTTTCATCCTACAGATGATTCCATGTACTTCGGGATTAAATTTGGTGCCATTTCTACACTTTTCGGAGCGCAGGTGTCATCTAGAGTCAAATTATAGACCTTCCTTGAGGCGCGAGCCTTCCTTGGAAACAATGGATATCAGATATAGTTGTAGTCACCGTTCCTTTATATATCTCCATCTCCCTCATACATACACATGCAACCTACCCGTGTGCGAACGTTTGTTCGGTAAAAGGTCAAAGAGTTTTTTAGTTATCTCCGTCTCGAAAACTTTATCGTTATGATGAGTGGCCATCAATCATACAGGGTTTGTCCGCAAAGTTTTGAACTCGGACCGTCGAATAAGTATTCGTTTAACTGCCCAGATGTTAAATTTACCAAAATCTGTGGTTCATGACATTGTGACACAGCATTTGAACATGCGCAAGGTGTGCGCGAAGATGGTCCCAAAAGTGCTCACTGACGACCAGAAATTGCGGCGAGTGGAAGTGTGCCAAGAAAATTTGAACATGTGTGAAAGTGACCTCCAATTTTTGAATAACGTAATCACAGGTGACGAGTCGTGGATCTTTGAGCATGATCCCGAGACAAAGAGGCAATCTTCCGAGTGGCACACGACGGCGTCTCCTCACCCAAAAAAGGAAAGAATGAGGAAATCCAAAGTGGAAACGATGCTCATTGGCTTTTTTGACATCAAAGGCATCGTCCACCATGAATTTGTTCCTCCTGGACAAACCGTCAACGCCAAGTTTTACGTGCTCAGGAGACTCAAACGAAGGGTCAGTCGGGTCCGACAAGACATCGCAGCCAACTGGAAGTTGCACCACGACAACTGCCCGGCTCACACCGCCTTTCTTGTGAACAGCTACCTGTCCAAGGCCGGCATCCCCACGCTTCCGCAGCCGCCCTACAGCCCAGAAGTGCCCCCCCCCCCCGGACTATTTTTGTTTCCTCGCCTGAAAAGGCCGATGAAAGGCAAGCATTTTGAGACGACAGAGGGGATCCAAGCAGCATGCACCGCGGCTCTCAAGGCTATTCCGGAGAATGCCTTCCGTGACGCCTACAATGCTTGGAAATCGCACTGGCAGCGCTGCATCGACGCAGAAGGAGCCTATTTTGAAAGTTTTTAAAGAATTGTAACGATTGGCTCAATAATTTTTTTTAAATCGACTCAGTCCTATTACTTTCCGGACAAACCCTGTATTTGTCAGAGTGACAACTGACTTGACATCGGCGTGCAATTCAAGTTGTCCTGTTATCAATCTTCAATGTAAAATCAATTGCACAATGCCCGGAAATACGATCAATGTATGGCGTTGATGACGTAACCGCCAAGAACGGTGACTACAACTATATCTACCTGAAAACAGTGAAACGATGACGTTTCCTTGAAGAACACACAAGAGAGAATTTGAATTTTCATTTCACAGAAGGTTGTAGCAGTTCTCATCACAAGCTGTCATCGATGTCAGAGAGATTTTTGTTTGCTGGCCATATCTGTTAAACGATTTGTGTTAGACATCAATGACAAATGCAAAATAACACTGTTAGCTTTATTTAAAACCAAAATCCCGAAGCAACCATGAAACATTTCTATCTATCTATTATCAATCACTATACCTTTTCGTAATGTATGAAATCGTCAAAAATGGAAGTGGAATGCCTGTAGGAGTGCATGATCCTAAGAACCTGAAGACCTCTGGCGTGTGGCACCTCCTGGGTGTCCCTAGAATTTGTCACCGGCTTGTTGTCGTTGTTTTCTAGCTTGATGTGGCGCAACTGCACGTTCGGGACGTCTTTCACGTATATCCAACGCACCTATGAACAAATCAATCTCCAGATTGCTGACTGAACCTGACCCAGTTTCTTTACTTGTATACGAGGTCTATAAATTAAGTGCTCAGACTGATTTTTTTTTTATTCAAATAAAATTACAATTTTATATTGTGACCTTCAAAATAACTACCTTATGAAACCACACAGCTGTTTGAATGTTTCCAAGTGTCCCAAAATGTGGTCTCTTGAGGTGATTTTTCAACTTAAGGATGAGAAAAAAGTCACAAGGACTCAAGTCAGGCGAATAAGCAGGCCGAGGACCCACAGGAATGTTTTTATGGGCCAAAACCTAGTTTACTGACATTGATGCAACACCCAGTTGTTCTTGACCTGACGAATAGTGGTGCGAGTTAAATTTTACTACGCTACGGACAACCAAATGTCTCGAGCTAGTTCAAACTTGCACTGACGGCGGATCACATGTTCCCCTGTCTCCCCTCCAAGCCCGCCGCCTCCAGTGTTGCCAGATCGAACGCTACGTTGCCAATCGCATTACTTAATTTACAGATCTCGCATCAACCTTGTAATTGAAGAATCAATAAAAACACAATAAATATTGCATCCATGATAGGTGATCTATTTTTTATTCGTTGCATGTCCAAGTTCTTCATATTTCAATATTCAAGAAAAAGCAGAACGGAAGTATGAAAGGAAAACAAAAAAGGGAGTGCAGGAAAGAGGGATAGAAGTAGGGGAAGAAATAAGGAAGGAATGTGGACAGTGAAGGAAGGATGAGAACAATGAAGGAGAAACGAAAGAAAGAAGGAAGGAAGAAAGGAAAGGGGGGTAAGGGAAGGATGGGGATGAACGTAACAATGATAGGGAGGGAAGAAAATAGGGTTAGAAAGGAAAAAGGGAAAGATGGGTTAATACCGAGGCAATGTTACCATTTACAGTTCCTGCTCATGCTATGGTGGTATTTGCGATAATATACGAATATCTATTAAGGTTTGCAGGCGGTCTACCTTAAACTGTCCCTTCCACTTATCTTGCGACCAAACAGAGCTGCTGGCGTTATAGTCAACTGGAGAAACCATTTGAGCCATACCGCAAAAGTGACCGCTACCGTTCACGCTAAAGAACAGGTAGATGGGACCACCACCATTATTTTCACGCTCTCTGCAAAGAAGATAACAATAAATTGTAGCACAATAACAACAACAACTAGCCGGAGACAGAGTCTTTACTAAGCCTCATTGGTCTGACATAGGCCTAAAGCTATATATAATCGTTAAAACGAGCTTTTTGCTCAGTTTTCAAGGGTGCATCAAAATATTGAACTGATTTTTTGCAAAAACTCCTTCAATACCAAAGAAAATTGACGTCAATGTATGGTTTCAGTTTCAACCGAAACAAATTCTTTGGTGATTGCAAACAAACTAAATGAATATTTTGTGGAAAGTATTGTTGATATTGTGGGTACTGGCCAATGCTGCACCTGACTATATGAAAATCAGTTTCCAAGGGGAAATGTTGCATACACTTTCAAAATTTCACAGCGTATCATTGAATTATCTAAGAAAAAAAGTAAACAGTTCAAAATCAAATAACAACTGTGCCGAAATCACTACTAAAAACGTGCTGAAAAACTGTTTCGAAATTTTGGGATATCCTGTATTAAATTGGATCAATTGTTCACTGAGAAGCAGTTCTTTTCCTGAAAATTTGAAATGCTCTACATTAACACCACTTCCCAAAATAAAAAATTCTAAAAGATGCAGCGATATGAGACCAGTAAATGTGTTACCAGACATTGAAAAATTATTAGAGTCCATAGTGCATGACCAATTAATGCAGATTATAGAAGAAAACAAAATTTTAGTGGAGGCGCAAGCAGGCTTTCGAAAAAAATATTCCACAGAAACAGCTTTCCAGTTGGTAACTGAGAATTGGAGAAGAGCCATAGACTCAGAAGAAGTTGTCATAGCAGTATTTTTGGATTTGAAGAGGGCATTTGAAACGATTGATAGAGATATTTTGTTAGGTAAATTGAAGGCATATGGTATAACAGGAAGTGTTTTAGATTGGTTTAGAAATTATTTGTCTAAAAGGATGCAAGTTACAAAAGTTAATGACACTATTTCATCAAAAATTGAAAATACGTTGGGTGTTCCACAGGGTAGTATCCTGGGACCACTTCTTTTTATTTTATACATAAATGATTTACCTGCCATAGTCAAAAAATGCAAAATTCAGATTTTCGCCGATGACACTATGATTTATATAAGTACTAAAAATATTCAGTCTGGTATTTCTTATATTAATGAAGACTTGAAGCTTGTCTCAAAATGGTTAGCATCTAACAGACTAAAATTAAATGCAAGTAAAACGAAAGCCTTGTTAATCGGAAAAAAAACAATGTACAAATGTTCAACTGAATATTGATGGTGAAGATATTGAATTCGTAGAAAATTTTAAATACCTGGAGGTTTTTGTTGACTCTCGATTAATTTTTGATATTCATTATGAAAAAGTTATAAATAAGATTAGTAGTAAAGTGGGATATTTATCGAGAGATTCTGGATGTCTGAGTTCATATAACAGAAAAATTATCTATAATACCATCATTCTTCCAAATTTCTTGTACTGTTCGACTATTCTATATTTAGCAAATAATTCCATTTTTGAAAGACTGCAAATTTTACAAAATAGGTGCATGAGAATAATACTGAATAAAGATAAATATACTCCAATTAGGCAAATGCTTAGCAAATTAAAATGGCTCAATGTAAAAAATTTTATCAAATATCTTGTAATGATATTCATTTATAAAGTAAAAAATAATATATTTCCATCAAGTCTAACTAATTTAACATCATCAAATGTCGACCATCATTTACATAATACCAGAAATAAAGATGACTTCCATTTAATGACCAAAAAGTATAACATATACTACAAATCTGTATTCCATCAAGGGTTGATTGAATATAATAAATTATACTCGGAGATAAAAGACCAGAAAACTTTGACAAAATTTAAAGTAAAATTGAGAAATCACTTGTTAAATCTACAATTATAGGTTGCCCAGCATTTACATCATACACTATATGGCTTGAATTTACTAGTTCTAAGTTGTTTACAATTATTCTGTTTATGTAGCCAAATGTGCTAAATAAATCTTTCTACTACTACTACTACTACTACTAAAATTCGCTCATTTTTACCTGAATGCCTGATCAAGTCTTTTATTGCCATGTTCAGTGCTGCACCAGATTTCGTACTTGATACTGCGATGAATGTCATCTTCTGAATAGGATTTGATGACGAAAAACCTCGCATTTGGAGCTGTCAGATCGAACTCGGTGGGATTGTAGTTGTTCTTCACCTTCAATTCGTCCAGAACCGGATGAGTTTGGGGCAAGCTTGGCGACACCGGCGATATCTGGAAAATATTTCATTCGAAAAGTAACATTTTATTCAAAGTCATAATCATACTCAAGCGAACCTGTTGGCTATGATGCTGTGGATGTTGATGCATCATCTGCTGAGTGGTAACGTGTTGCTGATGATGTTGAGCCTGAGCTGTCATCAAAACTGCCATAGAATTCGTCGCTCCACCACCCACACTCGCCATCATACCCTTTAATCAAATACGTTATTGATTTATCCAAGTATCAATAATATTTATTCACATCAATTATAAACTGAAGAAAATGCCATATTTTTGTTCCAGATTCCATGGGATTTTTTGGAAAGCACCTCAACGTGTGTTAAGGCTCTGGGGTAAGCGTTTCCGAGTATCGCGCATTACCTCGAATCTCCAAACCACTGAAGAGACGCGTTCCTGAATCACTCTCTCCCTTTGGAGTTATTACCTTATTCTCATAACTTGCTTAGTTCTTAAGCCGCAAGCGTTACAAAAATACATTTTCAAATCAAAATAGTTTTTTCAACTACCCAAAGTTTTTTTAAAAAACAGGAAAAACTGCCGCTGTCATTGACCTTTTTTTAAATGCTAAAATTTCATAACTGTATCTCAAAAACAAAAAGTTATGGTTTATTTACAAACGTATGTTTTACATAACAGTATATAGGGGTACCCTAGAGCCTTAGGGCCCCCGCAGACCCCCAGACAGTGTTGGCTAACTTCCACTTGCGAACACACGAAGATTGTTTAGTTGGTCGATAGTTCAGTTCGCTCCGAGCTTTGGCGTTGGGCAGTCGTGTTTTTTTTGGTAATCAAGCAATTTGGAATGCATTGTGTGAGATTTTTACTAACGAATCTATCGCTAAGAATAACTAACGAATCTATCGCTAAGAATGGGATGCACCCAATACTTTCGGAATCACTTCTTGATTTTTCTTTTTCGATGTATGGGAGCAATAATAACATGTCTGGACAATATTGTATTTATTGACATTGTGCGACCATCGGCCAATAGAAAGTCTGCAGTCTGCGGGGCCCTTACAATGTACGAGATACGATAAGAAATAAAGTTCGTTATAAATGATGAAGAGAGATAAAAACGCTAACCTGCACATGATGCTGCTGATGATGATGCTGCGGCGGGGGCGGCTGATGCATGCCTTGGTGTGGCGGCGCGTACGGCGGTGGCGGTCCCGGCTGGTACGGGGGCGGGTGTTGAGGCAGCCCCGTCGTGCCTGCTTGACCCCTCGGCTGATACGGCGGTGGGGCAGCACCGGCCCCGCTATTGGCAGAGCGGTTTCCACCGGCGGGCCAACCGCCTCCAGTGCTGGCGCTGCCTCCAGTAGGTTTCATCGCCGGAGGAGGCATTTGCACGGGGGCAGTTGCCTGCGGCGGGCATACTACGCTAGCGGAGGCGGAGCTACTGCTCACAGCGCTGCTAATACTGCTGACGCTTGGGGTGCTTTTTCCGCCTCCCGTGTCCCAGGTTCCTAACAAATATTCAATTTAAGCTACGCTCTATTCAAACATCATTTATCATACGTCAGAACAACCAACAACGCGCGATATTCAAATTCTCGAGCTTCTATTGGCCAACTGTCAATCAATGCCTGAATACGCAGTAACAGGGGACTGATTGCTCGTGTTTCTTTTGACGCGGCGTAATTGAGGTTTGAATAGAGTTAGGGAGGACGCCTGTGAAGTGAACCTGGCTAAGTACAATGACATCCTACACAAGTGTCCATTATGTTTTGATGTCTACACAGGTGAACAGCTGATCAGCAATTGACATATTTGTATTAGACTGTAACGTTGGCAATAATGAGCCGGGTGTAAATCTGGTAAAGCTCAGAACCATATTCAGAGCTGTTGTTCACATACTTTTAACGAGTAGAAATTGACAATAAAATATAGGAAGTACACACATAAAAATGTTTATTAGAAAATTATTATAGTACATCTGAGGCAAGTGAATAGAACAGACTGTGTTGTCATTTCCAGTAGCTGTAATTTTAACTGCGAAAATAAAATAGGCACGTGTTTCTGGTATTGTCCGTTATCAGTGTAACGTAATTCAAATATGGCCCTTTCATTCCGTTTTAAAATCATAAGGTGTTTCATGTTCTAAAAAGTAGAGATGATTACCATAGTCATGATAATTAGCAGCGTTTTGCTTGTAGTTTTTTTGTATGCAAAAGTCCTTTTCTAAATCAGAGTTACTAGCAAGTACGAAATGAATCCCTAGCGTACAATAAACCACAAAAAAATACGGCCCTGGCGTATAGAATTGTGCGTCATTTGTCGATATGTGGAATTTTGAAATATAACTAGATAATCAGCTGTTATTCTACTGTAATGGATACTAGTGAAAAAGACAATAAGACGATCTTATAAAAGGTTTGCCCCGAAAATACGTACAAAAAAATTGGGGTGTCGTGTCAAGGTGTTGTTGAGTGGTGGCCCGATGGTTCCTCTCTCTATGCAATCCCCGCTATGATCAGTTCGAGCCTGAGCACTCTGAGAGTAAGTAGGATTTACGTCTGCTTTTTGAAAGTAACTCTTTTTTACTTGCCGTCAGCATGGAGCCCTCTCTGATCGAGGAACCGCGCATCAACATCGTTTCTTGGAAAGCTACGCAAAGAATTGTCGTGAGATTTTTGAATGTTTGAAACAAGTTTACGGACACAATTCTCCGAAGGAACCAACCGTCAACACGCGGTTGAAGAGGTTTCGGGAAGGCCGAGAATATGTGAAAGATGACCAACGCTCAGGACGATCGTCCACATCGAGCACTGAGGGAAATGTTGAACGAATTCGGGGCTGTGTTCTTAAAGGCCGTCGATTGACAGTTTGAATTATAGCTGAGGAACTGTCAATCCTCAAAACAATCGTCCACGAAATTCTGACAGAAAAACTTCCGAAGCTCTTGACTGCCGAATAGAAACCCAGGAGGGTTGCTTGCTGAGAGGATTGGTTGCAAGCAGAGGAAAGGGGGGACTTTCGAGCAGGGGAACCGAGAACAAAAAAGTCGAAAAACTCAAGGTCCAATGTGAAAACAATGTATGATAGTTTTCTTTGATTCTCGGGGCATTGTTCACCAGAAATTTGTCCCTCCCGGCCAGATAGTGAACGGAAATTTCTACATTGAAGTTTCGCATCATCTCAAAGCTCGTTTGGCCTGAGTTCGACCGGATTTGGCACAAAGGGGCAGGTGGATCCTTCATCACGACAACCCAAAATGTAGCATGAAATAACGCGTTAACACGATGGTCATTCGTATGATTTGCACTATAAAAATGCCACTTACCTGGTATACCAACGCTAAAAGCGAGGCGCGTTTAGCCTTCATATAACATGTCACCAACTTTAAACTTGAATCCAGCACACATCCATAAACTTACCAATGTCCATGTTATGTTTCCCAGGAACAATTGGTCCTGGTGGCATGCCTGGTCCTTTCTTCTTCAGTCCTTGACTCTGGATGGTTAGCTGCGGTTTGGCTGGCTGACTGGCTATGCTTGCCCAAGTCGTCTTTTTCGGTTGGCTGCCCAACGAATCTTTCGAATCCACTGACGACTTCAGATCTGTAAAGGAAAGAAAATGCTCGTATAAGCTTCTCAATTCCATTTAGGATGTTTTTTTTAAGTACAATACATTCTTTTTTGCTAATTCCGGTGAAACTTTGCCGCTTTACTAATTCATGGGTTAAGCAGTAGAAGAGCAAATAGCTAAAGCATGCTCAAATAAAGACTGTATCATTATCCAAACAGCCTATCAAATGACGCCGAAACGTACAAAACTAGTGGTTAGCGAGCATTTTCGTTACTCTGTCGCTCTAGAGCGCAAAAGTGTCAATTGCGGGCGATTGAGATGGCAAACGACAACTTGACCGAGTATGAGGTATAAACCGTAATTTTTCAGGCGATTCTAAAAATCTTTATTTCTGATGAAGTTTACCTAGATTCTGCATCGCCTGTTCGACTTGTTTCACGGCATCAACGGCGGGCATCGATTGATGTGCGGCCGCTGCTGCCGCGGCAGCATACACATTCTGCTGGTGATGGTCCCTGGAAATGTTTTTCTTATAAAATAATATTCTAACAAACTCTAAAAACTAAAAAGCAAAGGTTTTGCATACACTAATATCTGACCATACTGCACAAAAGTTCATTACAGAATATATAAGTGAGCAAACAAATGTTTTCACTTATAAAAGAATGTTTAATGTTAACCATCAGCAATGCTTTCTGAATGATTTAGGTAATAGTACATGGTCTGAAGTATATAATAAGAACTATAATGATTTGAATGCTCAATCGGAAAACTTTAGCTCTATATTTCTCTCAATTTTCAATCAGTTTACTGCATCATCATATACAGGGTTATCCAAATTAAGTGTCCACCATTAGTAACTTTGTTATTAGTGAAAATACAAAGTTGTTTGAATTAGCAAACTAGTAGCATTTTTAACGCTGGTAAAAATGAGAAATAAAAAAAAACAATTGAGAGTCGTTATTTTGATTTTTTTCAGTAAAATAACATTTTTTTAAATGGAAACCCCTGTATATTATATTTTTTTCTGTTAAAGCATCAAATTTTAAACAAAAAAGATTACAATAACTTTTCTCCTAGGTTACAAATTGTTGAAGTTATGGCCTCCAATCTGAAACAATTAAATTGTATCGACAAACTTTATTTTCAACATCAACTTATAATCTTACAAAATACAATAACAATTTTTTTTAAAGAAGATTCTCGAAAACACCACCTTGTTGTTCAATACATTTTTGGGCACGTTTTTCAACTGCTCGAACTGTCTTAAGTATGGTCCTACCATCTATCTGGGTTATCTTTTCCCTAACTGCAGTCTTTAACGCGTCAAGGTTATCGTACCTTCGCTTGTAAATTTGGTTCTTTAAGTAACCCCACAAGAAGTAATCAAGTGGGTTTAGATCTGGTGATCTGGGAGGCCACTATATTGGGCCATTTGTTCCTATCCACTGATCATTAAAAGTAGTACTTAGAAAATGATAAGTACCTCTGGAGTTGTGGGCAGGTGCGCCATCTTGCTGAAAATGCAGATGATGTCTACTTATAAGATCCAATTCGTCTAAGAAATTAGTCAGAATTTCTGACATAAATTCCACATATCTTTCACCAGTTAGGGTTCCCTCATAAAAGAACGGGCCAACAATTTTTGAACCAATTATACCGCACCAAACGTTGAAACTGAAACGGACTTGTGGGCTTCTTGGATGTACTAACAAAAGATTTTCTCTTGACCAATAATGGTGGTTTTTTCTATTAAACATTCCAGAATTTGAAAAATTTGATTCATCTGTCCATAAAAGGTAACGAAAGTTATTTACATTTTGGCGACAGAAGCTAAGATACCAATGGCAAAAAACAAGTCTTCTCTCTGGATTCCCTGCCAAAAGCGTTTGAACTGGTCGGTACTTATACGGAATAAATTTGTATTTTTTAAAAATCCTTTGAACAGTACCATAACTGAAATTAGAGTCCTTGAGAATATCTGCTATTGAATTCTCACAATAAGCTTCAAAATATCCAATAACTGCAATTTCCATGGCCTCGCTTATTATGAATTCTTTTTTTGCCCTTGTTTTAGCAAAAACATTTTCGTTGCCCCTAAATTTTCGATAAAGTCTCAGAAAATATCGTTCATACGGTTGAATGCGAGCGGGATATAATTCACTGTAGTATTCTCTTGCTCTCAAGGAGGATTTTCTGCACACTAAATAGCATTCTAACATATCACACTTTTCTTCATGGGAGAACATTTTTCTTTAAATTAATGACACAATAAAGCTTATAAACAAGTATTTACACTAATGTTTGACATTATTTGATTTTATCATTGTTTTCCAAAGCCTTCTAGTTGCGAGTATGTCCAGTTTAACAATTTGTCGCTTATCTTAATGCTGTCAAATCGCGAACGCCATGTTGTTTTCATAGCCGTCTTAATATTATAATACTGCAAATAATTAAAAATATTTATCGTTATTTTGACTTTATTTTTGACTTTAGCGGAAAAGTCATTATGAACTTTTTTGTTTAAAATTTGATGCTTTAACAGAAAAAAATATAATATACAGGGGTTTCCATTTAAAAAAATGTTATTTTACTGAAAAAAATCAAAATAACGACTCTCAATTGTTTTTTTTTATTTCTCATTTTTACCAGCGTTAAAAATGCTACTAGTTTGCTAATTTAAACAACTTTGTATTTTTACTAATAACAAAGTTACCAATGGTGGACACTTAATTTGGATAACCCTGTATATAGTCATCAGGAATTCTTAATCAAGCTTATAAAGACAAAACCTAATAAATTTATTCTGCATTTTTTTGAAGGCTAGACAATTATTCATATAATATGGAGACCGGATCATTGAGCCATATTCAAAGAAAAACACCACAAGATATACAGAGTAAAATTGACAGATGAAAAGGTCAAGATGGCCGCAGGGAAAATTATATGAATACGGGGGTCTTGTGGCACATCATTTTGAAGCTCCTGACGAGTACTTTATAAGCCTAGAATATAAAGTCAGTACCTTTACCTACTACAAAATGGTGGTACATTTAATAATCAGGTGAACACAAACCCACTAACATGCATATCTCCACAAATAATTGTAATTCCCTGCCGTATCCACAGCAACAGCGATAAAAACTTGTTTTGTTATTTTTCGTTGACAGTGACAAGAATATACAAGAACAAACATCATTGTACAGTTAAAATATTCTTATCTAGTTTTCAGTTTTAGTGCTAGATGCTGTTTGAACTAATTTTAAAATGGTCAATTCTCGTCCACTGGAAGAAAAAATCGAAGCGATTATTATTTATGGTGCGACGCGTAACTTTCACGAGACCGAAAGGATTTTTAATGGTCGTTACCCGAATCGTCCTATCTGTAGAAAATATTTAAGGGAACTTGTATCTAAATTTACAGCTACTGGTAGTGTAAATAACAAAAAGCCCACAATTCATCCGACCATCCCGGAAGAAAAGAAAGTTCGATAATAATTGGTGAGATCATAGTAAATCCTCAACAGTCTACTTCCTTCATCGCGAATGTATGTGAGGTTTGTCTTTCTACTGTATGGAGACTTTTGAAACCCCCACCCATACAAAATTCAAATGGTACATCAGCTAACTGAAGATGACCCTGATCAAAGAACAGAATTCTGCGAGACTAAGACGGAAACCATTGCACGGCATCCTACCTATATCCAAAATATTTGTTTTAGTGATGAATGTACATTTTTCTCGACGGTAATGTGCATAGACAAAATTGTCGTTATTGGAGTGACACCAACTCACGTCTTCCGGGAAACTCATACTCAATATCCACAAAAAATCAATGTTTGGACTGGGATATTGGGAAATCATATTGCGGGGCTTCTATTCATCGAACCAAACTTTAACCGGGGAACTGTTTTGGATATGCTGGAAAATACTATTGACCCTCTAATCACCGAAATCGTCGAAGCTTATCCTAATGAATTTTATACTGATCTTGTATTCCAGCACGATGGTGCTCCACCACACTACTACAGACAAGTTAGGAATTATTTAGATAACAATTTCCCCGTTCGTTGGATTGGCCGTCGAGGTCCTGTGGAATGGCCAGCTCGCTCGCCAGATTTGACACCTTTAGACTTTTTTTATAGAGCTATTTGAAGCAAATGGCATACAAAACTGAACCTGCTTCAGTATTGTGTATACGGGTGAGAATAACAAATATTTGTAGAAATATCGATGTTACTATGTTTGAAAATGTTCGACGCGAAATTACGGACCGGCTGTTATTGTGTCAAGAGGTTCAAGGCAACCATTTCCAGCATATTCTAAACTAAACTCAACGTATTTATTCGAATTATCAAGTTAAATGTCAATGTATTCAGGTAATTATTAAATGTACCACCATTTTGTAGTAGGTAAAGGTATTGACTTTATATTCTAGGATTATGAAGTAACCGTCAGAAGCTTCAAAATGATGCGCCACACGACCCCCGTTTTCATATAATTTTTTTTTTTCCAGGATGGCGCCCAGCGGCCATCTTGACATTTTCATCTGTCAATTTTACTCCAAAATATGGTATCCACGCATCAATTTCATTGTCTCAAGTTTTAGTTTTTCGAATTGATCCGTTCGAAAAATCAAAGGGGGAGAACATCAAAGAAAAGCACTGTATATACAGTGTGAGTCTTCATAAAAGGCACATATCAAAATCAGGGAAACTACACTCTATTTCATCGACGGATAAATCATCAAAAAAACATGAATTTGATTTTTTATGAATATATATTTTAAAATTTTTAGTAGCAGCTTCTAACCATATTGAAATAACTCGTTACAACTTTTAAACTAAATGTCCTATCATATTGGAATACATTTTGTAGTGATTGCTGGTAAAAGGACGTTCCTGAAAAGTGAAGAATTCCAGGAAAAGTAATGACATCCATTTAGAATAAAGAATTTTGATGAAAATCTGTTTTTTTTTTTCATCATTTTTACAATAATTTCAAATTTTCTATAAATATCGTCCCTTGTACCCTACCTTTTTTTATTTGTAAGTTATTCTACATGTTATCAGCTTTATAAAAGTAAAAATTGCACGTTTATTACTCAAATGTAACAGTTTCTATGAGTGTTTATAAAAAAGCCCATGCGCATCGTCTTGCTAGGCACCATTGTTTATCATGTAGATACCTTTTTTTGGTGATTCAATGCAGAGTCGGGCGGGCTGAAGTACGAGTGGGGAGGCGGGCCCAGTTGAAAAACAATTGAATGTTGGGCAGTTAGGCAGCTATTTGTGTTTCTCCTGCCAACTTTATCAGTTTCGTTTGCTACATATCACGCTTTCGCTTTTTGGTCGCGATGCCACGTATAAGTGATTTCCCTCCGGCACACATTGCCGATATCCATTATTATTATGGAATGTACCGAGGGAGTGCTAGAGCTGCTTGCACAGCTTATCTAGCTGCATTTCCAAATCGACGCCCTGTTCCATCAGCCCGTAACTTCCAAAAAGTACATAGCAGACTGGCTAACACTGGACTTGGTTTGCCTCGAGATCGCCGCGAACCAGGTGTTATTATTCATGTTGCTATCGAAGAAGCCATTTTGGATGATTTGTTTGCTGACCCGACTACTAGTACGAGACGTTTGGCGTTACGTCATGGCGTATCAAAGAAATCGGTTTGGCGCATCTTGAGGAAAGCAGGGTTGCATCCATACCATTATCAAAGGGTGCAGCACTTGCATGAAGATGTTGATTGGCGTCCAAACTGCGTTATGTCTACATGGATTTTAATGAAAACAAGAGACAATCCTGAATTCCCGAAAACAATTCTGTGGACACATGAATCTCAATTCACGAGAGACGGCATCGTGAACTGTCGTAATTTACGTAAGTGGTGCCCAAAAGATGAAAACCCTTGGCTGAAAAGGGCTTCAACATTTCAAGTGAAATTTTCTGTAAATGTGTGGGCCGCACTGATTGACAACTTTTTGATTGATCCAATAATACTCCCGAGGACATTAAACGGAGAGAGATTTCTGGATGTTTTGCGGACTGAACTGCCCTTGCTGTTGGAAGAAGTGCCGCTGCAAACCCGTCGAAGAATGATGCTTCAAATGGATGGATGTCCTGCCCATTACTCGCTGATTGTCAGGTCTTTTCTTAATGAAAATTATCCAGGCCGCTGGATCGGTCGGCAAGGACCTGTTGGGTGGCCGGCGCGTTCCCCAGATCTCACACCTCTCGACTATTTTTTATGGGAGACAATGAAACAAAGGGTGTACAGCAGTTCCATAAACAGCGAAGCGGAACTTGAAGAAAGAGTTTTGCGTGTTGCACACGAAATCAAAAATGATCCAGAGATGATTCGTAGGGCAATCAAATTTCACTTCGCGCTACAATGTGTTTGCAGCAACGGGGTAGCCATTTTGAACATTTGATGCATTAAGCCAAAATGATTATCCTATAGACAAGTCTATTTGATTTTATTTGTTAAAGATAATGAATGATTCATGTAGGTTAATACTGTTGTTTTATTCCTACTCTGGCACTGAACTGAGTTCACTGCTTTTTGAAACGCTGATTTAAAAACTTGTATCTAAGTAATAAACTTGCAATTTTTCACCTTTGGGAAGCTAATAACATGTAGAATAACTTAACATTTAAAAAAGGTAGGGTAAATAGGACAATTTTTATTGAAATTTAGCAATTGTTTTAAAAATCATTGAAAAAATAGTGAGTTTCAGCATATTCCTCTTTATTTTAAATTTATAGCATTTTTTTAATTTCGTGGAAATTTTCACTTTACTGGTTACGGCCTATTATTTATTTGCAATCACTACAAAATTTATTCCAATATGATAGGACATTCAGTTTAAAAGTTGTAACGATTTATTTAAATATGGTTAGCAGCCGACTCTAAAAATTTTAAAATATTCATAAAACATGAATTATTGTTTTTAATGTTTTTTTTTGATAATTTTTCCGTCAATAAAATAAGGTGTAGTTTCCTTGATTTTGCTATGTGCACTTTATGAAGACTCACACTGTATAGAAGAGTGTGTCCGAAGGGATGGCAAACATTTGAACGGAATGATATTTAAGGAATAAAGCCCGCCGAAATTACGAATATGTTGATAGTAATAAAAATTTTCTTTTCATTAAGTATCTATTTTTTTCGTAAATCAAAAAGTGAACTTTCCCACTGGACACTCTGCACATTTAAGACCATACTTAAATATAGATAAATACTACATGTTGATAATAAAAAGCGTGTAATTTTTCCAAAATTATTTGTTTTACTTGGAAACAAAATCTCAAAATAATGTTCTTACCTATAATAATCTAGATCCGCGTACTTGGTTCTATGGTGACTAGCGGCGGCTGCAGCTGCGGCCGCTGCCGCGGCAGCTGCCAACTGGCCGCCCCACCCTCCGTAATCTGCTGCGGAGGGGGGCGCAGGAGGCGGAGGCCCGGTGGCTGCTGCGGTCGCGCCGCCTCCATTGTTCGGATGGAAGTAGTTGAAGCTGGACGGGTGTGTCGGTGGCGGCGGAGGCGGCTGACCGAACGCCGCTGGGGAGGAGAACGTCGTCGACGGCGGGCCGAACACACCTGGAATTATGCACATGTTTCATTTATTTATTCATGCTAATACAAAACATTGTTTACAATCGTCAAAACACAGGAAAAAAATATCATCATATAGCATGAAAGCCAGTTAAATGGTAATGTTGGACCAGCGAAAGATTGCAAGCCGAAAGAATGCGGACAAAAAATTGCGAAGTTGTCAGATGTTCTACATAAAATGCGGTCCATACATATTAACATATTTAAGATATAGAATTGTTCCGCTGAATTTGGCAATGTAGCTGGAAAACCCAGGCCGCAGGTAAACATCCGGTCGCTGATTGGTCCAAAACTCTTATCTTATCTGAAACTAGAATAACGTGCCGATGGCACGGTCATTTATAAACCTACTCCCATAGGCGTAGGCAGTTGGCAAATACTTTGAAAATATAATTTACTGTTTAGTGGTGATAATGGAATTCAAGCATGGGAAAGTTATTCACAGCCAGGCAAGGGAAATAATAGCAAACGTGATACGTGCTTGCGATGCAGAAGCGGCTAACAATACTTTCGTTTATCCACTGGTAGCTAGAAATGCAAGGGCGGCATATTATACGGGTGTTAGTGAACGAACTATAAGTAAAATTAGAAAAGAAGATAAAGACAGGCAAAATGCAACCTCCACACAGCCTTTAGCTTCTCCCGGAAAAAAGAGATCACGCCCTTCTGTGATCCAAAAAATTGATGGAGTCGATTTTTCCATTATTCGGAGAATGATAGAAAAATTTTACTGTGATTTTAAAGTGGTACCTACTTGTAGTAAACTTCTAATCAAACTGAAGGAAGAAATGGAATTTCCATTTGGTAAAGAATCGTTGAGGCTGCTTTTAAAAGCAAAAGGATTTTACTGGCGTAAATGCCACAACAAAAGGAAATTACTAATGGAAAGACCCAGTATTTTACATTGGCGATACAAGTATCTTAGGTCTATTAAAAAGTTCCGGGAAGAAGGAAGGCATATTATTTATTTGGACGAAACTTGGGTTGATAATGACCTCACTTTCAAGAAATGCTGGCAAAGCGAAGAAATTATGGGTGTCCTGAGCAATATAAGTTCTACAGGTAATAAAGTTTCTTTCACCTCGATTTTGCTTATTATACATTTTTCTCAATTTTGGAATATTCTTAATAAGTGCTCATTTAATTTGTCTAATTGAATACATAATCCCTTGCAAGTATTTTTTTCTCAAAAATATGTTTTTTATACATAGTGATTCAAAAAGGTGTTGGCAAACTTAAAATAACACTAAAATGAGGCTATTTATTCATTTCCAGGACGACTTATAATTGTTCATGCGGGTTCGCAAGATGGTTTTGTTCCTGGAGCCTGTCTCATTTTCAAGGCTGGCTGTGCCACTGGTGATTATCACGGTCAAATGAACCAAGAAAATTTCACGAAGTGGCTTACTGAAAAACTATTTCCTAACATTCCTCCTAATAGTATTATAATAATGGATAATGCACCTTACCATTCAGCTTTGGAAGACAAGCCTCCAACTAGATCTTCTCTAAAAAGAGACATCATCACGTGGTTGAGCAAAAAAGGTATAGAGCATGATCCTAATGCTAAAAAAATGGAGCTTTATGAAATAGCTTGTCTACATAGGCGACCATCTGATGAGAAAAATTATAAGATAGATAATTTAATAAGAAGTTTCGGACACACCCCACTTCGAACGCCACCCTATATGTGTCAGTTTAATCCCATAGAGATGATTTGGGCACAAGTAAAATTTTTCATTAGAAGCCATAATACAAGCGGCGAATTTACTATAAAAAAACTAGATGAAATTTCTAATAAGGCCATCGCTTCAGTAAGTGCCAGTGACTGGCAAAAGGTTATTGGACATGTTATAAAAATTGAAGATGAATATTGGGAAAAAGACAGTCTCATTCAAGAAATACAGGAAGAAATAATAATCAACATAGGAGGTGAAAGTGATAGCAATCACAGTTCCTCAGACAGTGATCATGACTCTAATCAGGATTGAAACTATACTAGATTGGCTACCTTTTAGAATTTTTAGATATTCATTTATTATACTATTGGTTTGTGGCTTTTAGTATCTCAGTAGAAAGTCTAATTCTATGTGTTGTTTATGGGTTATTTCATCAAGAAATTACTTTTTGTTTTCCTATATTTTTCTATTCAGTCAGATATTTTTGACTTGTTGTATTCTATTTTAGAAGAATGCATAATTTGTTTTGCTGTTCAATCATAATGCGTACATAGGAATATTACTTGTTGCCTAAAAAATATATTTATTTTGTTCTCAATATTCAGTGTTTGTGTATATTTATTTCTTATAATGTATGTTTGGTATCACGTCATTATGAATCGCAAAAAAATATTAATACTACCAGTTGTAATAAAATATAAATTCAATTAATAATTCAAGTCTCTCCGATCTCCGCCTATGACTCCATATAAAATCGTCTAATGGTAAGGTTTTTTCATCGCATTTCCCCCTTTCGTCCCTAGCAATCTTTGGCTGGTCGATCAATACATTACAAGTTCACAATACGTTAAAATTGTGAAAGTGCTCTACAGTCAGTGATATCTAACTGGAAATCTTCATTAGACAACAAAAAAATGGTTTGCGTGGTTTTCTTCGACTTTCGCAGAGCATTTGAAACTGTTAACAGAGAATTACTAATTGGGAAGTTACAAAGGTATGGCTTTCAAGGTAAAGTCCTAGGTTGGTTTTCACAATACTTGGAAATGAGATCTCAAAAATCACATATTTATTTATATTATTATATTATCTGAATCTAAGATCAATGTACATGGTGTTCCTGGGCCCAGAATTGTTTTTGTTGTGCATAAATGACATTGTTAATATAATTAAGAAGTGTGAAATTCAACTCTTTGCAGATGACACTATGCTTTTTGTTAAGGGTGATTCAGTGGATGATATAATAAACTTTTTAAATGAAGATTTAAATAATATATATAAATGGTTATACAATAATAGTTTAAGTGTGAATGTAAATAAAACTAAATGTATGATATTGAAATCTAAGCATAATGTAACTAACACATACAATAACAAAGGTATAGTAATTAATGGTAGTAGACTAGATCAAGTTGATGAATGTAAATATTTAGGAATAATTATAGATGAAAATTTAACGTTTTCAAAACATGCAATTTATATAACCAAAAAGCTATCAAAGAAAGTGAATTTATTATGTAGAATGGGGAAAGACCTGAGTGTCTGGGCTAAATTAATTATATATAAGACGATAATCCTACCACATTTCAGTTACTGTGCAACAATCTTGTATATGTTTAAAGGTTTCTACAGACACAACTGCAAGCTTGTCCAGCATGCTTGTTCAATGTTTTTGTACAAGCTCGCTTGAATGTCTGTAGGGAAATGTGGTGCAAGCTTTGTAATTGTACATGCAGCTTGAGGATTGAATTGATTTTAATTATGCATGCTTGAATTAGGCGCGCTTGCGCAAGCAAAACAGTACGTGTGTACTCAAGATTTTCAAGCATGCACAAGTTGGGGTCCGTTGATGATCGTATCCTGCTTTTGAATCAAAGGTGATACAAGAGACAAGGTTTTAATACATCTCTTCATCATCATAATTGTGCCAGTCACGCGGATATATTTTCAGCTCACTTAGTAAGTAAATGTGAGAATAGGTTTTCCCTTTTATCAACCATTCTTTACACCACACCGCACGGTTTTTTATTCGGGATTTTCTTTTCTTCACAAGAACAAAAGCGGCCAAAGCGAGCGAATCGTCGTCGGAGTTCGACATATTTAATTAAACTACCTCTATTTTTATCAAGCATGCTTGTACGTGTGGCGCCAAAGGGAAATTGTGCATACTTGTACAAAAATATTGAATAAGCATACTGGACAAGCTTGCAGTTGTGTTCGTAGCCACCTTCAGAAAGGTGATATTGATATTATTCAAAAAAAAAAAGAAAACCAGGCATTGAGAAATATTTTGGGATGGGAAAGATACGGTAGAATTAAAGACATGCTGACATCTACAAATTTATTAAGTGTAAGCCAGGAGATCTTTTATAACACTATGGTGGTAGTATACAAAATAAGGAATAGAATGTACCCAGAGCATCTTATTAATAAATTAAAAATGGTCAGCGATATACATAGTTATAATGTTAGATCTTATTCCAACTTTTATGTGTCTCAGGTACAATCTTCCTTTGCCCAAAACAGCTTATTTTATAAGGGCCTTGTAGATTTTAATAGGATTCCAGAAGAAATTAAAACTACAAATTTTGTTAACTGCAAAAGGCATTTAAAAAAAATATGTAATAGAAAATTGTAGTTTATAAGTTTATATCCAAATGTTTTCTCTGTTAGCACATTGCTATGAAATAAAGATCATCATCATCATCAAAATCGGTATTTGGAAAATCATCAATTTTGTTAAAAGCATTTCAGAAAAAAAAATTGAATGAATGTTAAGATCATTTTTCACTCAGTGACATTAGAAGTGCTACACCCAGAAAAAATTATTTCTTCAACTTGATTTTTTGGCAATGAGGTAGTCTTATATCAAGAATAAAACAATAACATCCTCACGAAATTTTATTGACAAGTAATAAGAAAAAAAAATAATATCTTGAGCTCATAAGGAGTCTCATGTAATAAGCATTTCCTAGCTCAAACCCAGTCCCACAACACTTCACGGTTTTTTGGCAATATCATATCATATTTGAATTCAGCGCCGCAAATCACCTGTCTTACAAGTGTCATTCGATTGCAAAAATATCAAGACCATATCAATAAAGCACTGCAGCCTACAAGAGGTCCAAAATGGCTCATCTTCAGCCACCAATTGGACTGGATGACAATTTTTGGGGGATATTCAGATTGGAGAACAAATATAAGATTTTTTTTAACTTACTATTGTCTCTGTTCCTTTTTAATTTTTTATCTCTTTATTCAAACCCAATAACACAATTATTAGACTCTTATACGAAATTCAACCATAACTGTACATTTGTCATGACATCATGTCATATATCATGTGTATTATGATAGATATTTTTTGCTTACCATCCATCGAGTAAGAATCGTGTGGATATCCGCTTAGAAACGTCACTGGATCTGTCCCATTGGACCATGTTCCATCTCCCACTCCGTAAGCTTGATAAGGATAAGTTCCCCCACTGCCGTAATAACCTATACATATAAGATAGAAAATATACTATTTTAAGGACCAAGCATATTCCTATTGTCTTCTAGAAAGTCTTACATGATTAAATCTTTTTATTTTGTCTAGTTTTTACCTAGTGCCAATTTAAAAGAACTTTCCGCTTTCAATGAAATTGGATGTACATTAATGGACAAAAGTATATAGACAAATTAATATTGTGCCGTATTTCTTTTTTAACTTGTTTTATTAATACACCAACCTGTATACATAATTCGTTATAGCATAATACTTATACATAAATAAATTCATTAGACTCCCTTCAATAAAAAATTAATTGAAAAAAACTGGAACTATGAAGGACACAAATATATAGACAAAGCAAAACAATTATAGAAAAAAGAAGCAAAGTTCATTGAATTATAGAAAACCAACCATGTTTGTGTTAATATACTAAGTGACATATAAATCCGAACACCCAGTTTAAATGGTTTTATTTTAATAAAATTTTGTATAAGTACTTAATGAAGCATAATAAGTAAATGATTTAATTTCAAAATGATTGCACTGCTTTAAAGCCCTTTGACCTTTAATAATATGTGGATGCACCCTGATGTGCTACGCATTCTCCAACGGACCTAGGCATGCTTCTGATCAGGTGGTCAATGTCCTCCTGTGGTATCTCATTCCAGGCAACCACCAACTCATCTCGAAGTGCTTCTAGAGTCTGAGGAGGACGTTACAAATTGAGCAATCTCCTACCCATCATATCCCACACGTGCTCAATTGGGGATAAGTCGGGAGATCTTGGTGGCCATGGTAACAATGTGACATCATTATGATGAAAGAAGTCTATTGTGACTCTTGCAACATGTGGTCGGGCATTATCTTGTTGGAAAGTTGGATCTGCCAGGGTGTCAAGATAGGGTAAAAGATGGGGTTCTAGAACCTCGTGGATATAACGCTGCGCGTTCATGTTACCTCTGATGAAGATTAAAGGTGACCTGGAACCATAAGCTATAGCACCCCAAACCATAACTCCAACAGTGTGATGAACATGTCTTTCAACAAAAAACTGTGGATTCCTCCTTTCACCACGTCGCCTTCTAACCCTGGCACGACCATCGGGCATTCCTAAACAAAATCGAGACTCGTCACTAAAGACAATACTGTTCCATTCCTGATCCCAGAGTGACCGTTGTCTGCACCACTCAAGGCGATTACGTTGGTGTTCTCGAGTTAAAGGGAGGACCCAGTGTGGCCGGTATGAAAACAAGCCAAAACTTCTCATTCGTCGGTAAACACTTCGCATGCCAATAGGTCTTCCGTGTTCTGCAAACCATTCATTTGCAATGGACCTGGTAGTTGAGAAACGGTCCCTTAAGGCCAATAATCTTAGGCGGCGATCTTCACGGTCTGTTGTTCTACGGCGGCGTCCAGTGCCCCTTGCTCTTTGCGTACGGCCTTCTCGAAACCATGCCTGACAACACCTAACCACAGTGTCTACACTTCTTTGCACTCTAACTGCAATTGCCTGAAAAGAAAGTCCAGCTTCCCGATGTCCCACTATACGGCCCCTATCAAACTCACTAAGTTGACGAAATCGTACAGGTCTCCGTACTCTAGGCATCGTAACCGATCGTAAAGGATGTCAAGAACCAAAATCCGCCAACGTTGATTCTTTACTGCGGCTGAAATATTCATTTTTAGAGCGTTAGTGAATTAAAAAAAAGCAGTATAAAGACCGGAATGTCCAACTGATAAGGCTGAAAATTTTTTCACTTGTTATTTACAGTAAGATAAATACATTCACCAACTTTTATTAAAATAAAACCATTTAAACTGGGTGTTCGGATTTATATGTCACTTAGTATATTTTGTAGCATAACCATTATTATCAATCACCGCCTGGCATAGTCTCAGCATAGATTGTAGATGTTTCTTGAGGCTTACAAGATACCTTTTTGTTCAATATTGCCCAAACTGCTTTACGCTTCAGCTTCAAATTTTTGGCAATGTCGATTTCACATTGACCATCTTTGTATAACTCAATGATCTTAGTTTTTACATCGAAAGAAATTTCTGGACCTCACGGCATGGTCTTAAAATCACTCAACTTATTCCACAATACTTGATGAACACAATTAATCCTTTTCTGGCATGAAACTGTACTAAACTAATGTTGAAAAGAATTTGTCTACATATTTTTGTCCCTCATAAAAAAGTGCATATATTCAGACTTGTATTGTGTTCCTTGCAGATAATGTAAAAACAAGGAATTTAGCTTTTCTATTAATAATGCATATGTCTAAAGGTATTTAGGTAAATATTCATATTTGTCTATATATTTTTGTCCATTACTGTATGTATGAATATACCTACATGGAAGATCAACAGATACTGCAATATTTCAATTTGTTCAAACACTATTTGAGCAATAAGAGGAGGAAAAGTTAGCAGTTGGTTTCTATCTAGACTTGTACAAAGCATATGATTGCATTGACAGATACATATTGTTATTAAAACTACAAAGATATGGGTAAGAGGAGCTGCAATTGAACTGTTCAAGTCATACCTCTTAACGCGTTCGCTGCCGATGACTCCGATCGGAGCCAATCGGTGATCTTCGCCATGTGCCGACGGCTTCGATCGGAGTCATCGTTTTCGGGGACATTTTTTTTTTCTACCAATATACACCTTTTTTAAATTATTAGTCTGATTGGTGAAAAAAAGTATTTGGCTATTTGGGAACAGTTAATCCAGTCTGAGTAGGCAACGAACGTGTTAAGAGACAACAAAGGGTTTACATTGTTAAGAGAGGTCAATTTTAAGTCGAACATTGAGTCAATGCCAAACGGTATAGCACATAACTGATACAACATTATTTAGAACTGAACAGAGGTCTAAACAGAGTACTGTTGTGAAATCACAATGCCTCAATATAGAAGATCATAAACTACAAATGAGTGTTAATATTTTAGGCATCTAAATATATCTATTGATGAATTTTTAGATTAACACATATTCTAACTGCTGAAAATGCTTAATTCCATTTGCTGTGGTTTTAGGACAATATCAAGATGTCTAAATAATTTGAGTATGAAAATATTGAACTATGCAAATTTTGAAAGTGTTCTGAAGTATGGGATTATTTTTTGGAGTGCAATATGTTTATTCAAAATAATGTTGTTGTTCAAAAGAGAGCAGTATGTCTGATAAAGGGACTAAAATTTCATGAAACTTCCAGGGGAGTGTTTAAAACTGAAAAAATCATGATTATATGTGACACCTATGTTTATGAGTGTCTTATACTTTTCTCAAAAATGAAAATTTATTTGAGTTTGAGGTACAAACTGATTATGATACTCAAAACAGTCAATGTCAATTATACAATACGCAGATTCCACAGAAAAAATCCCTATTTACATGTGATCCATTTTTTTTAATAATCTACCAAATTAAATTAAAAATATAAACAGTTTACACAAGTTTGAAAAGACCATTAAGCAATTTCTAATACAGTCACAGTTTTATACCATAGATGAATTCTATGTGAGCTGTAATAATTTCATGTTGTAGCTATTTTAAGATAAATAACCATTTTACATGAAAAAAGCTCAGAGGTAAACTATAGGTAAGATTGTATTGCCACATCATTTCATTTTACAATTTCTGCAACACCATTGTACAATTTGAAATACAGATTATTATTGAGCTCTAGCAAAATTATTAAATTAAAATTGATGCCTTTTTGAGAGTATAAGGTAGATGAAATAACGAATTCCTGTTTTGCTTAATAATGAAATTCTACCTGTGCTCATGTTGTAAATATCGGTTGCACTGGAGATAGGTACAGATGCTCCATACGGTGTATGAGCTGCTGCGGCATTTGCAGAGCTCTGCTGCTGTGCCTGTTGCTGCTGACTTCTCCATGGCTCAAACTCTTCTGTACCAACAGCAGTATTGCTGCCTTCACCACCTCCTAGCTGCTCTTTAGCACCATTGGACACTAAACATGTTACAAATACGATGCATTTTATAATCCATTAGAATAAACAAGACTGGATATATTCGAACTATTGAGAGAGCTAAAATAATACCTTATAGAACTGGACCATATGATATGTCAAATTACAGAGTTACACAGTCACAATAACATCACATAACATCTTTTTTTTTATTTTTTAGTAAGTGTATGTCATTGAATTTATGTTTTTTATGAGTGTTATTTTGTGTATATTGAGCATGCCAGCCTTAGTTTTTTAGTGAATTCGTTTTAAACTAAATATATATTTTGTAAATTTCGTGCTTTTCTTCAATATGACACATTTGTGTTCTATGCTTATCATCAGAGATATGTGTGAGGGGCATAGATTTATAAATAAAGATTATTAATATTATTGTTTTATAGAATAATATAATAATTTGCATTGATTGTACTGATTGAAAGCTAATTGAAAATAGTAACTAACAATTATTGCTACTTATAACTGATAAATATAGCTAATTGTAAATTGTATCTGATAATTATAGCCAATTGCCCCTCAAGATGACAATTATATTTAATTTGCAGCTTGTAACTACCAACAGCTGTAACTGACAGTTATTGCTAATTACAACTGATAATTATAGCTAACTGCCTCTTGTACTGAATATCATAGCTGATTAAAACTGATGATCATAGCTAACTGCAACAATCATAAATTCAATAATTTTTCAGTAAGATACTAAATTTGAGATAACACTAATAATTTGTAAAAGTATTTCACATAATGAAGGTAAATGATTGTCAACAATAATAAAAGTGTAAAAAACTGCTTCTTTGGGGGGATGAGATTTACCTACTACTCTATAAAAGAAACATCAAACCACATGCCTTAGCAGGACCAGAATTAACTGTGCAATTTAAAAAATGTTTATACATTATATGCATTTCAAAGGTCTGTGGATAACCTCGAATTTATCATTAACAGGTATTAGAAACATCAATAAAGCATTGTATTGTTTTAGAAGCAGATAAATAAGTAATTAGATCCAGTTTTCTGTGATAACAGCGGCCTGAATATTCAGATTTTACGACCGACTTTCAGATAAGAATATACAGTGAACCTACCTTGGTTGCCCTGTCCTTTCATCCGCTGTAGCAGCCATATGAAAATAAGCAGAATAATTAGATGAATACAGATCACAGGACATATTTCTAGGAAGTATTTTCTTTAAAAATTCGCAGGAAAGTTGATTATTTTACCTGATCTGGCACGCCTGCTGACATTGACTGTTTCTGGTAGTCTTTGTGCCGATTTCTCTTGGCTGCGGCCGCTTTTGCACCGTTTCCGAGTCCAAATTCTCGGCACTGCCACTATTGCACGCACTCCACACAGTCCACTAAAACTAGAACCCCAAGAGTTTATGATAAGCAAGGAGCCAGTTTATTTAAATTTTAAAATAAAAAGGGAATAGTCTGAAAATGTATCGTCCAACAATGGCGTTCTCACACGGGGTTGTTGCGCATCTTTGAGCGCGTGCGCCGCACAACTGCCAGCCAACCAAAAATTAAAATATTTTACGAAAAGATTAATGTTGATTTTAAATATTCCACATTTAATCGTCTATAAGCATTAATGATTATTTTCAAGGGTGCTAACAATACCCAACAATTACAATAATATAAAAAAGCATAAGCATTTTCAAAATTTGAATTTGACATTGACGTTTCACGCAAATGTCATGTAGGATAGAGATGGAAGAATTACTAAGAGTTGGCATATTAAAATAAATCTTTTTTAGATTCGGTTTAGTCGTCATTTGCCTTTTGACAGCTAATCAAAAATAAATAATTTGTTATGGTTATGTAGTACGGCAGTTTTAAAAAGCAAAATTTTAATGAAAAGTTATGACAAAAAGCCAATTGTCTTTCAGACTTAGGCAGAATGGCCCGCAATCTTCTCGAAAGGAGCCTCGCAAGAAGACTCCAGCCAAAATCCAGTCAGCAAGGTACCTCTTCATTGATGCATCATCACTTATTAATTTATTTATATATCTTTATAGCAAGCAAGAGTCAAACGGTCCAGGCATTCTATTCCCAGCAGGAGATACGGCCTTCAAAACACTACTCTCAGCTAGGTTTTGTGCAGCAATATGGTCCCACATTTCAGACTGCGATGAAACATTTAACTATTGGGAGCCCATGCATTACCTAAGTATGTGAATACTTTGCATGAAATCCTAATTAACTGTAGGACTCGGTCTTGATTATTGGTTAGCACACAAACATCTTAATTATGTTCAAGAAATAAATATTATTAGTTGGTTAGTGCTAATAATATTAGGATATTTGTTGAGTAAAACTGACTTTGCAAAAAGTCAATAAGTACCTAATATTGTCAGTGAATAATAACCCCCTTTTTTCCCTATATACAAAAGTGGTGGATGCAGTCACTAGTCGATATTTTCAAACAAAATTAAAACATAGCATATGGAAACTGCCTTAAAAATTCAAATAATTGAGATTGCAATCTGTTCTTACTTTAAATGGATACAGTGTACTTTTAAAAACTGATGCAATCTGATTTTAAAAAATAGTAGATGTATTCTTATTGAAAATATTGGTGGATTTGACCTGATTTATAAAAATGGTGCATGTGGTCTAATTTTTGAACAATCCTAAATTACTTTTAACCCTCAATCCGCCCAGATTCTGCATAAGCCGCTATTTTTGATTGTAAACAGCATATAATTCATCAACAATCTTTCAGTATTTGGTTCTGGACTGCAGACATGGGAATACAGTCCTGCATATGCTTTGCGATCATATTTCTACCTAATGGTTCACGCCGCACCAGCCTGGATTTACCACAAAATACTCAGCCCAAATCCATTGCTCATGTTTTACTTTATCAGATGTCTGCTGGGATTCGTTTGCGCCGCAGCCGAAGTTTACTTTTACAAGTAAGAAAATATTCAGATTGAACGAGGTAATGTATACGAGAGAGAAACGCGAGAAGCCTACAATACGTATGCTAGAAAGTGTGCCGATAGCGACGCGGCAAGCCATAGCCGAGTCCGTGGCCTCGTCACTCGGGTTGCTAGGCAACGTGGTGCTTCTAACATACGCTACTCGCTCGTACACATTACAGCGTCAGTGATATATGGATTTCTCTGTATACAATCAAATGTTCATGGCAAGAGCGATATACAGGGTGGGCCATTAAGTTGAGCGGTGTTAAAAGATCATAGAAAAAACTATAAAGCATAGGGAAGATTACTTATATTTCTAATAAAGAATAAAGTAGACACATAGGAATTTTATTTAAAAAAAAAACATCATTGAGATGTGAGCCAATCTTGACTTCAAATTCGTGAAAACTCGCTGGCACATTGCTCGTTGGATAGCGGACATCTCCTTGGAAATGTGTGTACTTGAGCTGGGTAATCGTCGTCAGTTCGCGCTAACGAGGTATTCCCAGAGAAAAAAATCCAGTGGTGTGAGATCTGGGCTCTGGGTAGGTCACGGAATGACCCTTCGTCGCGATATCAGTTTTCCACTAAACATTTCGTTTACAGCTGCTCGTGTGCCGCTCCCGCGTGCGTGACACTAGCAATGTCGCTTTGAAATTCGTACTTCTTTCTGGCCCGCCCTGTTTCAGTGAATTAAGTGTATATTATAGCTTCTTCCTGGCTACCCACAAACCATGCAGGCCAAACACAGCCGCAATGGCTTGGGCAAAATGACAGCGACGCAGTAGTTGCGCTATTTCTCCTCAGATGGCACTGACGAACTAGCGTGCAAGTCAAGGATATCTTTATCCTATTGTATATTGAATTTTTTTCCGTTGACTCGTGTGGTAGTAAATTATAAGATATTTTTTTCTAGGGCGGTATGTAAGGAATTCGGTGTGCACATAGGAAGAATCTGTCTGACATTTCAAGTATTCTCAGCAGGCATGTTCATATCAAGCACAGCGCTGCTGCCATCTAGCTTCGCAATGTACACTTGCGCTGCGGCATGTGCTGCTTGGTGGCAACAAAGATTTGCGCTAGCTGTTTTTTTTACTGCACTTGGATCATTACTAGGTTCGTAGAGCTATTGTAGACTCGATAATTTACTTACGAATCGTTACATAATAATATAAATAAAATAACTGAATAACTTGAAAAATGTTTAACTGTATTGCAGGTTGGCCATTTGCTGCCCTCTTAGGTGTCCCAATAGCCTTTGACATGCTGGTAAGAAAACAGCTATATCTCGACTTCCTGTTCTGGTCTCTCATCTCTGCCGTGGTGGTTTTGGGACCAATGGTTATTGTAGATTCAATGCTTTACGGACGTCTTACTATTGCACCGCTCAATCTTGTCAAGTATAATGTCTTTGGAGGTTCTGGTCCTGAGCTCTATGGCACGGAGCCTTTTTCGTACTACATTTTGAATGGGTTCGTCAACTTCAACTTCGTCTGGGTAGGTTTGATTCGCTAATTTATTACTTACGACCTAATGCATAGATCCTTGCGACCTCCTTATTGTGAGAACGACTCTGGCCACTTAGAAGTGACAGGTGAGCTGTCAAATAAAAAAGGTGACCTGTTTCGATCTGACAGATTTCCAACCGCCCGTCATCGCGATTAGTTAGACAACCCTCATCTGAAAAGCATCGAGTATGGACAGTGCTGTCGGGGCAGCAGCATTCCAAATATGTAAGCAGTACTAAAGGGCCGTATCGTCAGTCGATCCTAAAATTATAGGTCGCCTTTACGGCCTTTTTTGATTAATTTCAAGTAGGTACATATGATGGGGAATGTTTTCTATAGAAACTACTAGTCGTGAAATAAGCAAGGGAACATTGATTTAACTAGCATGCAACGCAGTAAGAAGAACTGAGATCGAACAAGGTTTTCTTTTTTGAGGAGGATATTTTCCAAATGCTATTTGAATGTGTCAATACAAAAGAGGCGTTCTCACAAAAGCTGGGATCAAATGAAAGATGCAGCTCTAAGATTGAGAATACTGAGAATCTATTAGACACTTGCAAAGTATGAAAGGTTTTTTAGGTGTTGGCGTTATTGAGTCCATTGGCGATTATGATGCATCACTTTTTTGTGCCAGTAAAAAACAAATGTACCCTTTATTTACCTTATTGGCTATCTCTTAGTCCAATGTATTTGTGGTTGGCTGTGATGATGTTCCAGGCACATAAAGAGGAAAGGTATATGATATTTATGTTTCCGAAATTATTTTTTGAACATTTTTCTCTTTCAGGTTTTTGTTTCCAATATACCCATTTATCTGCCTTAGTGGAGCTGTGACCACAGACATATTACAAAAGCTCTGTTTTAGAGTATACAGTATGGTGAAAAAAGTGCCTTTAGGCACGCACTATTTGGATAAGACGATCTTTTTAATGATTTCTGTCATGGCGATTACTTCATGCCTAGGTAAGACACGTTTTCTTTGAGGTTTAAAGGGAGGTCGATGTAACGATTTTCCTTTCAGTTTCTACTGAGATCTTTTTCTGGTACGTTTTTTGCAGGTGTATCCCGGGTGTTTGCTTTGTATCGTAACTACCATGCACCGTTTGACTTGATGATGGAATTGAACCGATACCCAACCGAAACGAAAATGCCCCCTAAAGCCCAGGTGCAGGTCTGTTTCGGCAAAGATTGGCATCGGTATCCCTCAACGTTCTTTTTGCCCAACACGAATTGGCATGTGCGATTTGTCAAATCAGAATTTGATGGTAGGTAACTGCCATTGATTAACATGACCTCCAAGAACATACTATATTTAAAAGTTTGGAATGTTCACAGCCTTATTGCCAAGTTCGAATGCAGTAATTGATAAACAAGGACTTCATTTATCTTATAAAGGAAACTGTTTATTCTTAATCATGACAGCAACCAACATTGCGTTGAATACTATACAACTCATACATCATAAGGAGGATAAATGGCAACACTGCTAGATGTTGCCCGCCTAACAGCAGTGTTTTCTTCATTTATGCTCCCTATGATTTATGTCGTTCTTGCTAACACAAGGTATATTTCTTCCACAGGTATGTTGCCGGCGCCATATTCTAGTGCGCTTAACTCGACTGCTCTAGTCCATGAATATTTCAATGACCAAAACAGGGAAGAACCTTCTCTGTATTTTGACGTTGACAAGTGTCACTTCATGGTAGATTTAGACCTGGGGACCGAGACGGAGCTGGAACCAATCTACGCCAATAAAACAGATCGTTGGAAAGTGATGAAGTCATATCTGTTTTTGAATGCCAAGCTATCTGATCGGTACTTCAGGGTGTTTTATGTACCGTTCGTCTCGGATAAATATGTGGTGTACGGGAATTTCAGTCTGCTGCAATCTACCAAATTGAAAATAAAGTAGTATTCCGTATTTTGTACAATTATGTCATTAAAGAATTACCATCGCCACAAACAAAAATCGATTTTTTTAGTACTGATCAGGAATTGTACAAGTATGTGTCATTTGAAGCAAACAAACGATTTAGCAATACATAAATTTATTCTATAAGGGAAGTTACTGGGTTAATAAAGAAACTTGTATTTGTGTGTCATACATTCCAAAGATTCGTTATGAGGTAGGTACAGTAATAAGCAGTGTTCTAGTGTGTATTACAGTGATGTATAATATCTATGTGTTTTTTACTTTGTACTTATTTTGTGTAAATATATACATATGACTAATTGGTTGTGTTATTGCCTATAGGATGAAGAATATTCAGCATAAATAGGGCTGGACCGTTTGCTGAACGCACTCAATGTTGCAGTTATTATCGAATCGTGTATTCACTTGGCACCGTTTCTTCAAGCTTTTGAAATTTGTTGAAAGCTTCTACACAGTAAATAGAGTTCCCATCTCTATGCGTGTGTAGATATAAAACAAATCATCCCTATGATCTGAGTCGCTTTCCAGTGCTTTTTAATTGAGAGTTGTTTGTATGCACCTGGAGTGTTACGCTCCCTAAGGCCCGTATCGTCAGTCGTCCCTACAATTGTAGGGCGCTTTTATGGCCTCCTTGATTGTCATACTTCTTTCTCTTCTTCAAAAATTTCTAGATTAAACTTGTCCCGTGTCAGCGCCAGCGCTCTCCTATTGTGAAGATATAATCAAATTCAAGCGGATAACCAAATGGAAATGGTATTTACCATTTTGGGTTGGTATTTACCAATCCGTTCAAGCGAGTGTAGTTATCAGTTTGGTTATAAGATCCGTGACGTCACGAATCAGCTGTTATATGTCATAGTTATCACCGCAAAATTGTGGTATTTACCCAACTCAAGAGTAGTTTTATATTTCTGGTTATTATTTGAAATATGACAAGTTAGAATTTTGCCGGGTATTGGATATTGTTATTGTACTTCAGCTTCATTTTTGAGAAAAATGATACAGGCTGACTTCAGTTTTACCATAAAGTGGAGCACCTTATCAGTTATACTCATTACGGTTGTTGGGGACACTTTAAATGTAGTTTCTATGCTTAACAAAGTATCCACAAGAATATTAAAATATGGCCATATAAACTCACTAGATGATATCCACCTGTATACGGTTTTGCTAATTTCTTTTTTCATCATTTCTGCTGAATCAATAAATGTTTTCTTTGACATGCGAAAAAATTTAGAGAATTGAAAGTTATCATAGCTACAAAGCCATGGTTCCATCATTAAAAAAAAAACTGAAAAAAACATTTCTCCATGAATATTATGAAAGGTTTCCTATTTAAACTTTCCATATACAGTTGTAGACGAAAAAGCACCGATTATTAAGTGATAATAAAAATAATCAGATATTATATATGCGCTTTTCTAAAATAAACAACTTGCAACAAAACCGCGGTTAAAACCAACGCGTTCAAGCGATTCGTGTAACTGACGTCATCAACCCGTGTGTCATCTTGAACCATATTATAACCGCGGTACATAACACAGAAATTTTGGTTATTCGCTTGGATTTGATTTATGTTTTCTTTTTAAATTGTAGGAAATTTCAGGCTGATAAAACATGATATAACTCAAAAGCAAGCACAATTTGATGCAAATAGATGTTTGTGACATAACCTCAAAATAGAGCGCTGACATGGAGAAGTAGAAAACTATGACAATCAAGGAGGCCATAAAGGCGCCCTACAATTGTAGGGACGACTGACGATACGGGCCTAACTGCTCTAGCAAATGTGCACAGGAACGCGACGATAAAAAGCCAACCTGTTTGTTGATGATTTGCTTTGACGTTGACAATTTATATCACACTGCCAAACAATGAAAATTTTGTCAGACTATCCAATATCCAATTGTTGTATGATAATACTTTTAGAATGATGACGCAATACGTCAGAGGTCTGCATTTCTATTGCAAAGCTTCTGGATAAATGTGTTGAATTCATATTTCAATGTAGACATTCAAAATTACTTTCAAAGTGTCTAGTTATAGATGAAGCCGCTATGTATGCATTCTTACACTCTCGTGATCTTTATTATTCAGGAACATCTCAAACGAACGTTATGACTCTGGGTCATAACATCATCAGTTTGTTTTCATCCTCCATTAATCAAATCCAACGAACAACCAACATTTCTGTGTTATGTACCGCGGTTATAATATGGTTCAAGATGACACACGAGTTGATGACGTCAGTTACTCGAATCGCTTGAATGCGTTGGCTTTAACCGCGGTTTTGTTGCAAGTTGTTTATTTTAGAAAAGCGCGTGGGTATATAATTTCTGACTATTTTTATAATCATTTAACAATCGGTACTTTATTAATGGGAGAAATGTTTTTTTCAGAAAAAAGAATTTAATGATGGAACCATGGCTTTGTAGCTATGATAACTTTCAATTCTCTAAACTTTTCCGCATGTCAATGAAAACATTTATTGATTTAGCAGGAATGATGAAAAAGCGATGAATAAACATATTTTAATATTCTTGTGGTATATGGCTACACAGGATACTTTGTTAAGCATAGGAACTAGATTTAAAGTGTCCCCAACAACAGAAATGATTATAACTAATAAGGTTCTCTACTTTATGTTAAAAGTAAAGTCAGCCTGTATCAAGTTTCCCAAAAATGAGGCTGAAGTACAATAAAAATATCCAATACCCGGTAAAATTCTAACTTGTCACATTTCAAATAATAACCAGAAATATAAAACTACTCCTGAGTTGGGTAAATACCACAATTTTGTGGTGATAACTATGACATATAACAGCTGATTCTTGACGTCACGGATCTTATAACCAAACTGATAACCACACTCCGGTAAATACTAATCCAAAATGGTAAATACTATTTTCATTTGGTTAACCGCTTGAATTTGATTATTGTCTGGTATCGGTTTAATGTGAATTTAATGCAAAAAAACAAGAACGAAGAAAAAACATAACCCAACAATCTTGACACATTGTCATTTTCGTTATTCCCACTATTTCGGAGCGTATAACACCGAATAATAAGCTGGTGCATGGGAGGCAGGGGATGTCAAAAATGAGCAGCTCAGGTGAATGACACTATAGCAGTGGAACGGTATTGACAGGTGGTGGGTAGCTCCGAGTAAAACAAATGAGGCACTGGAAAGCGGCTCTGGTACAGATGAAACAAGTTCTCAATAAATAGATTCGCCCATCTCTATACGGTTAGAGATGGGAACATAGACTCATTTTTATGAAAGATTCACAATCATCACCTTTGATTTGGCTGTGTTTTGTTTTTGTGGTACTCTGTGGCATGTGCGCTAACCTCAAACAAAAGTAACAAGAATTCCAAATATCGAACAAGGTGTCAACATAAAGTTTAGGTACAAGATTGTGAAGAAAGAAATGTGTGGTGAAGATAAGGAATAGTTTGAACATATGAAATCAAAAACCGATGTATAATGTCTGTTCAACTAGGAAAAGTGGTATCATATGTCTTGTTAGAAAGATTCGGCCCCCTAGTTGAAAGAGTAGGCATGTATTTGTTTGAGTATGGCACGAATCCATTGTTCTGCATTAAAAAATTTACTGATTTACCGATACCTAAGGTAAGCTTATAGTCCAATTTTAAACTTAACATGCCTTTAAATTTCTTATAGTTTCTTCAAACTTCTTTAACATCTGGTAATAAACAAATATTACAGTCTAACAAGACTTTAATAGTGAAGTTTGAAGGGGAATGTAACACAATCATTGTTTACTGTAGCCCACACCATCATTCTGTCAGTGTCAGTGAATTTCTGTATAACCTGATATATTAATAATTACTGACTTCAATATTGATTGTGACATTTCCCTAAGAAGCCCCTTCTACTCATTTCAATTTGAATTTTTTGTTCTGATGTATGAAGTTTCAGCTACATTACTAATAATACTGTTTTGAATTATTACTTTCTAGATCAAAGAGTCCTTAGCAATTCTTGTGAAATACCAGCTAGTTACATTTGCCCCTAATAAAAATGATTGTGTGGCAAACTATACATTGCAACCAAATAAGGTGTTGTTACACCTCAGATATCCTAAATATATAAATATGATCAAAAAGAAATTTGGGGATGAGGCCGAGGTTATTTTAGAAGGTACAGTCATGAACATTTTTAAAAAAACCATTAAAACATGGTCACAGTCTTCAATTCACTCATCTGGCAGTTGCCTGCAATATTGCAGTTAACTGGGGATCGTGAAACTGATTCTCAGTTGTTACTTTTTCAGAGATACTGCAAAAGAGTTACTTGACAGGTAGTGAAGTTATACTGCTTGCATATGAAAAACTAAAAAAAGATAATAATCCAAATGTCACTTTGCCTGCATTAAGAGACAAATTTATGTCTTTGATTACAGCAAAATATCTGATAAGGTAAACAATAAAAATATTATAGATTGAATATATATGATTGATCATTTTATTTATTTTTCTCCTTCACTAATTTTGTTAACAGACTGCCTTACAATGAATCCGATGACAGAGCTGTGCCAAATTTGGTGGTGAAAGATCAGGAGTTACATGTGACTCCACCTATTGATATAAAGGAATTGACAGCCAATCCACAAGGTGGTAACTCTAAAGATAAAGACATCTATTGGACAGTTAACTTTGACAGGTTCCATCAAGACATGAGAGATAAAATCTTAGTTAATGCTTTCACTCAGAAGTTTGATGAGAATGCTGGTTAGTACACAAATGATTACCTGATGTTTTTTTACGAGCCCCTTCCCACTTCAGTTGGCCCAACTATTGAAATCCTGGTTTTTTTCTTATCAAACACCAATAATAAAAATGTAGCGGGGTGTTATAGGTTTAAAATATTAACAATGAATATTTTGATAATATATAGTAGAAAACACCAACTTTATCACTCCCTAATCAGATTTGCAGCATAAAAATAACACATGTTGCAAATACAGCATATCAACCTATTTTCATTTCAATGCAAAATAAGTCTATAACGCATAGGTAACTGTGTAAAATAAAAGCCATTACAATTGTTTTTATTAATCACAGCTGTCAGAATACATTTAAAATAGTTTAGGGTAGTTAAGGTTTTCAAAATGGGTAGAGGAAAGGTTATTAGTGAGAAAATTCGGTTACTGATAATTAAATTTTTTAATTCTGGGAAATCAAACTCAGAAATTGCAACATTGTTAGACTTATCGCGGTTCAGTGTGAGAAATATTGTTGGAAGATATAACGTAACTGGTTCAGTTAATATTAAGCCACGATAGGTGAAGAAAAGTAATATCACAAATGCTGACCGAAGAACATTAAGAAGAATCATCGTGAAAAATAGGCGTGCCAATTATTTACAATTAAGTGCTCTGTGGAGTGACACTGTTGGAAGGAGAATTTCGAGGTCCACAACTCATAGAGAGGCCCACAAACTGGGATTTAGCACTTGCAAGGTAAGTTTTCTTATAAAAAAAGTGAAGTAAAGACCCTAAAGTTGCACAACTTGTTTATATACCAAAGAAAAGCCACTATTAACTCCACTGCAAAAGAAAAATCGGCTTAGATGGGCTAAAGAACATAGACAATGGACACCTCAACAATGGTGTGCAATACAATGGAGTGATGAGGCCCGATTCGACGTATGTGTTGGCGACAGTCGCAGTAGAGTTATTCGCAAAAAAAGTGAAGTATTCCATGTTGACTGTCTGAAGAGAAAAGTGAAAATTCCAGCATCCATTATGGTCGGGGGCAGTATGTCATCAAAAGGAGTAGGAAAACTTCATTTTATTGATGGAAATGTGGATACAAACAAATATTTGGCAATTTTAGAAGAATCGCTTTTGCCAGTGATGGAAGATGGTGATACCTCAGAAAAGGCTATAAAATGGATGGAAGAAAATAATGTACCACTTTTGAAATGGGTTTCTAACAGTCCAGATCTGTCACCTATTGAAACTTTGTGGCACGAAATGAAAAAGGTTCTACGACAACATCCTGCTCGTACAGTCACCGAACTGAGACAAAAGCTTCAAGAAATATGGGATTGTTTTACACCAAATTTTTGACAAAACTTGGTTAACACTATGCCCCAAAGAATTCCACCCGTAATAAAAAATAAAGGTGATGTTACCCAATGGTAATCTTTCAATTGTTGCTTTGTTAACTTCGCGCATTTATTCGCACATTGTTTATTTGTTCAGATGTTCTATTAGTTATAGGTCTAAGTGATTTCAAATATGTATTTTTTACGACTAGAGTGTATCTAAAATGTTTTTGAGAAAATAAATTGTTTTAGAAGTAAATAGTTTCGTCATGTTTAGTTTATAAAGGCATATTTTGGTACAAATCTTGAAGTGGGCCAACTGAAGTGGGAAGGGGCTCGTATATTAGTCATGAAATTTGAATGACAAAACTATTCTATTTGTTGTAGGTGAACTAGTAAAACTATTATTAAGGCAGATGTATATAAGGACAGAACCTTGGACAGATATTTCTAATCCTGTTCCCTTATTAGAAATTAAAGATTTAGTTAGGAAACAGTCAAGCCTCAAGCTTTTGAACACATTTTTTGATCAGTATGTTAATGTTATAGGTAAGTTTAATCTGTATTGAATTTAAAGTACACACATTTCTGTGCGTTCAGATTGTTGGTTGACAGTCAGAATAATCGGGGAAAGGTTAAATTTGACTAGCACCACTGTTCATCAGATCCAGAACTACTGGGTGTTACATCATGATAATGCTCCTCGTCACACAGCGATGTCAATAAACGAGTTTCTAGCCAGTAAAAACATTCATGTGGTTCCTCAGCCTCCTCATCCACCTGACTTGAGTCCTTGTGATTTTTTTCTCTTTCTGAAGTTGAAAAACCACCTCAATGGAACTCATTTTGGGCCCATCGAAAACGTTCAAACGGATGTTTCCGAGCAGCTATTCAAGTATCGGAGTTCACTGCTTTGAGGAGTGGAAGAACCGTCTTCAATAATGTGTGGCTTTCGGAGCAAGTTATTTTGAGGTTGACTATATAAAATTGTAATTATATTTGACTAAAAAAAAATAAAAAAATGAGTTTCATTACTTAATTTACAGACCTCGTAGCTTATGCATTTCTTTTGGTTTTGTATTCTATGACCTGGTCTGAAAATAATTTATGGTTTTCCACTACATTAACAGAACAGGATAGCAGCAATCTGATCCGCAAATCAGGCGAGGCCAGTGGAGGTTCATTCCAGATTTTCCTGAAAGAGGCTTTCATTCAGTTTGCTTGGGAGATAGTGGAACAGAGTGTATTAGAAAAATTTGACTCTAAAGCAGCGCGAATCTTCAGGCTAGTTAAATTGAAGAAGTACATTGACTCCGATTTGATCCAACAGCAGGCTATGATACCCGCCAAGATGGCAAAGAAACTCACTTTTCAACTATTAGAAGAAAACTTTTTGCAGATTCAGGAGATCAAAAAGGCATCAACTGGTTAGTATATAGGGTATGCTGAAAGTTGAGACTTTCCTTCTTGGGAACAATTACAATTGAAATAACAAATGATTTGTTGTAAAACAGCATTTGCTTATTTCTGCAAGAACTGTATGCTGGGTAAAAGAGAGTCTCACTTCAAAAACACATTGTTCAATTTGGTGCTGATTCAACTTATAAGCAAATGTACAGTAATGGACAAAAGTATATAGACAAATTAATATTGTGCTGTATTTCTTTTTTAACTTGTTTTATTAATACATCAACCTGTATACATAATTTGTTATAGCATAATACTCACTTATACATAAATAAATTCATTAGACTCCCTTCAATAAAAAATTAATTGAAAAAAACTGGAACTATGAAGGATAAAAATATATAGACAAAGCAAAACAATTATAGAAAAAAGAAGCAAAGTTCAGTGAATTATAGAAAACCGACAATGTTTGTGTTAATATTTTGTAGCATAACCATTATTATCAATCACCGCCTGACATCGTCTCGGTAGAGATTGTAGAAGTTTCTTGATATAAGATTCATCAATCTGTCTCCACTTTTGCTCTAAAGCGGCAAAAAGTTCATCCTTGTTTGAATAATTTTTATCTCGTATTTGCTTATCTAAGTATTACCATAGATTTTCAATGGGGTTTATATCGGGAGACTGTGAAGGCCATTTGAGAACTGGTATTTTTTCATTCAGAAAGAATTTCTTTGCGAGATTTGAAGTGTGCTTCGGGTCATTACCTTGCTGGAAGATTGATCTTAAGGGCATATTGTCTTTCATATAGGGTAACATGACATGCTTTAGTATGCCTGTGTATACAAACTTATCCATAATGCCATCTATTCTATGTAAAAGTCCTATCTCAAACCCCGAAAAGCACCCCCAAACCATAACAGACCCGCCTCCATGTTTGACAGTGGGCAAAGTGTACTTGGGGTTCAATCTTTGTCCACTAGGACGTCTAACGTAATGAAGACGATCTGGTCCAAACATATTGAACTTGGATTCGTCACTGAAACATACCCTCTTCCAGTCACAGATGCAACCGTGCAAATTGTAATAGGTCCTTACGGTTTTTCCTCGAGATTAGCGGCTTCTTATTCGGGCGACGTGCAAATAACTTCAAATCATTTAATCTTCTACCTATAGTTTTCGTAGAAACACTGACAATTCCTTTTGTCTCGATTTCGGCTTTTATTTGTCTTGGGGTTTTAAACGGATCTTTGGACGAAATTGCTTTTATTAATCTAACGGATCTAGCATTTAGTTATCTAGGCCGACCACTTCTTTTAGAGGCTTCCAAGATACCTTTTTCTTTATATTTGTTCAATATTGCCCAAACTGCTTTACGCTTCAGCTTCAAATTTTTGGCAATGTCGACTTGACATTGACCATCTTTGTATAACTCAATGATCTTAGTTTTCACATCGAAAGAAATTTCTGGACCACGCGGCATGGTCTTAAAATGACTCAACTTATTCCACAATACTTGATGAACACAAACTAATCCTCTTCTGACACGAAACTGTACTAAACTATCCTTGAAAAGAATTTGTCTACATATTTTTGTCCCTCATAAAAAAGTGCTTATATTCAGACTTGTATTGTGTTCATTGCAGATAATGTAAAAACAAGGAATTTAGTTTTTCTACTAATAACGCATTTGTTTATGGATCAATGAAGTATGAATTCGTTTTCTAGAGGTATTTAGGTAAATATTCATATTTGTCTATATACTTTTGTCCATTACTGTATATACTTAGGTACAGGTCCACACAAGTCCTTCATGCTGTTTCACATAAACCTGGAGAATGTCGTTCGTATGCTTTTGGAGTTATGCTACAAGACCCTCTACAATATTATGTCCAGAAGAGATCACGAAAGGACGGTCAATAAGCGAATTATCGATAAGAAGCAAAGAGTGGACACCATATCTATCAGTATGAGGTCTCAGGGAGCCACAGAAGAACAATTAGCTGATGTAAGTACATGACCAATATTCAAATCCCAGTTGTTATTTCAATTGGAATCATGTTTTAGATTGAAGACATGATCACTCCACCGGAAAGAGAAATACTGGAAAATATAGATAGAATGATGAAACGGCTCAACATGGCGGAATTAGAGATAGACGATACGATATTTTTACTGGAAATGTATTTAGTTTATCAATAAAATGTGATTTATACAGAATTCCGTCATTGATCCATAACCCTTCTGGTTTATAAAAACTAAAAAACATGCTTTAATAGCAAATGAAACTTAAATGTTGAAAATAATTTTTTAATAAGTATAGGAGAGTCCAAAAATCTATGACATAATTATTTTGGAAATATAAAAATTAAATTACAGTAAAAGAGCTTGTGGTGTTTGATATTGAATGTTAGAATTATTTTTTTAGTTGCTATTTACAAAATTGTAGTTATGAAAATATAGTTAAATTGCACCCCACGCTTTTTTACTTTAATTGAACTGTTTATTAATATTTTAATTGTTGTATTGATCTTATTGCAAATTCATTAGTCATACTTGATTTTTGAACTTTCTATTGCAGCAATACAAACTTTCCTACACTTGCGAATTATGTTCTAATTTTTAGTTCAATTTTCTATTGTAGCGTATTTTTTTGTTTTTTTTTTAAACTATTAATAATCTTCTGTTCCAAAACGACAACAAAAGTACTTGTGATCAAGAGCTTCGATTTTTAGTAAATTTTTTCAGATTTCGGAATTTTTTTCAAAATTTCCAAATCATCGAATATATTCATTATAAAGTGTAAAATATTTTTTTTAAAATTCAAATTTGATTTTTCCCAAGATTACATACAGGTGAAGCCACTAAAAGCGTGTTTATAAGATGCTATTGGCGAGGTTTTCGGTGTTTACACTAAAATGATGCGCGTGTTTCATTATTATGACTAACGCAGGGCTATACAATTACAAGGATGAATTATGCACAAAAATCATAATTATAACTTTATTATATCAATATAAATTATAAAGTAAATGATACACCTAAGGGGCTAAACATTGTAAACAATATAATTACAAAATACCAATCTGTTTGATTTTGTATAATACATCTAAACATGATAAACAAATAGATTCCTCCAACTCTTACATTCTGTGTAAGACTATGTTTAATAATTGATCATTGCAAAAATAAGAATAAAAAGATTTTAATATTAACTAAAATATAGTAAGTAGTATACAACAGTACGGAATATCATTGCATTGCCTTATTCAACTTTTGGACTACATTTTCTGGTTGATTCAAGTGAATATGACACATTATAATTTTCTAATAGTTTTTTGCGCATACGATATATAGTATGTTATCTTGGGCGTCAGAATAAATCGGGAGAAGGAAAATCCAAGCACTGGGTGTCCTGCCCGTGCTAGTGTTATCATTCAGACTGCCTATAATGTGCAAGTTGAATCCATGGTAACATACTGTATGCTGCTCCTAAATAGATTTGAATTCGAGCCTCTCACGAAATAACACCAAAAGTAACATTGATACATTTTGGTCACTTCTCAGTTTACTTGGCTTCAACTTTTTTAGCGACTTCCTTAGTCTCGTCCGCAGTTTCTTCAGGGTTCAATTTGATCCCTTTATATGCGTCCGGAGTATCGCCTTCAGGTGACTCCATTCTTAGTTTCAGGTGCGCCAGGGTATTGCTAAAATTACAGTGTTCATATCAAATTATTTTAAATCTTGACGCCATTTCGAAACGTATTTCAAGAGGGCTGTAATAGTTTTTTCAGTCCAAATAAAACCAGTTACCTGAAATGCTTTGTTATCTGCTCTGTCTCATCAGAATTCTCCAGATTGGCTAGCTCCTCTTTGATTTTCTTGATGAGCTGATTAAGAATCTCCACGTCTACCTGTTCGTTTCCTTTTTCGAAAAAGAAGATGTAGTGGTTCAGCAATTCCACAAACAGTTGAACCTGTGAACCAAAAGTATGGACGTTAACAAGTTTATTTCACTTAAACAATGATAAACAAAAATTTGTATATGTCTAGATAAAATTGTAACCCAAATAAATCTGGTATATCTGGCAATCAATTTCGGCCTTGCGGCACTTCACAATGGTACATCCCAAATTGCTTTGTAATTTCCCTCAAAAAAACTCAAAACAGCAAAAAAATCACAGAAACCAATATATAACAATTCCATAACATACCTGTACACTGATATCCATGCACTGCTTAGCGATCCTCAGCCCCTTCTTGAGACATTCGACGACCCTTTTTCCGTCGTGTCCCTCTTCACCATTGCTCGCCTGCGTCTTGCCGCTCCAGAACAGGTGCGAGCATGTGGCAACACCGCGGCACTGGTCCGGCTTTTTCAGCAACTTACTGGCAGCTAACGCGCACTGAGTGCGTAGTGGCTCAGCGTTTTCTTCGGAGAAACAGCTTATTTGCTCCAAAGTACCTAAAAATATAGTTAATATGCATTTTCTAAACAGAACGGTCAAAATTCTACAAAACGTCAGGAGACCCTTTCTTAAAAACGAGAGAGTAGAATAACAAATAGCATTAAATAACATATTCCACTAGAAAATACCCATCCAATCCAGTTGAAAGTCGTGCGTGAAAGTAAGCATAACCAACCACTTATGCTTACAACCATATATGTAAGTGTCGATCACCGTCTTTCGGCATCAGCGCTGCCACCTCTTGGACAGTTGCAGCAGGTTATAGGATTTCCTTTGCCGTTGTTGAAAAATTCTGCGAATACGAGGAATAATAATTACCAGAGCGGTTGAGGGATGGTGTTTCCTTGAAGCGCTGATGCCATGTTTGGGAATAGGCAATTTACTTTAAAAGGAACATTGAGTTTGCTTTTATTACTTTGAAGTGGATTCAATCCTACCCAACAACACGGCAGTGATGATGAACATTTTATGTGAACGTCCAAATACAGCATAAGGTTGTGTATTTTCTTGGAGAATATGTTAATCAATGCTGAAAGGAATTGGGTATAGTTCTGTTATTTTTAGAAGAACTGTATTTAATGTTTTGAAATTATTTAATAAATTTTTGACGCAAATTTGGGACTGGCAACATGCAGATTGGTTAAAGGTATTCCTATGCAAAAAATCGGAAATTGGATATTTATTCCATCAGATGGACTATGTGGGGTACGTACCAACGATCAACGTGATAGCAGCCAACTGAGCCTTCGAGTCCGAAATTTCATCCTCATAGAGCGAGAACGCCTGAGACATGAACTCATACGCGACAGTCTCGTGGTTTTCGAACGCAATCCTGTCAATTGCGAGCGCCCCCTGTAAGAACAAACGCAAAGGCAATTCGGCCAGTTCCGCTTTCACCAACGCGGTGATTGTCTGGTGACAGAACTGGAAGATTTTCGTGCATTTCTTCTCCCATCGTTCGTCCTTAAGTTTGCGGTATTTGTACGCCAGTTGGTATGCTTGGAACACCAGTGGTGGCAGGGTGTATTTTATGCGAAGAGGGCCGCCAGTCACCAGAATCTGAAAAAAATGTACAGATTGACAGAGTAACGTTGCCACAGCATATTTAAGACAGCAACGCGAATTACATTGAATTGTTGGGAGAATTTTTACGGCCTGGTAGATCTTGTAAGCATCTCAAGAGTTCTTTTGAAATTACCAATTGCCTCTGCGCCTTTTAATACATTCCTTGTTACCATTGTGCCATTCCGGCTACAAAATGACCCTCTCTAACTTTTGATGACCTTCCAGACGAAAAAGTTGTATATAAAAGTTATTGGGTCCAATATGTAATTTAACATGCAATACTTTTTCTAGTAAAGTACTTGTATTTGTAATAACAAAGTTTCATTTTTCTAAAAGCAAGACCCTGTATATTTTCAGGGAAAGTGATATTCCTTTTTTCTGACTAAAAATACCTACGGTACTTATTTTCATTAGTTTAACAAGAAATTTAAAGTTTGTGCGTCATTTACTCGTGTGTGTATCTGAGTTTGACAAAGTCTGCATCTAGCTGCGAAGTTTTAACTAAAGCAATAAATATAAGTTTAAAAAACCATATACAGTAATGGACAAAAGTATATAGACAAATTAATATTGCGCTGTATTTCTTTTTTAGCTTATTTTATTAATACACCAACCTGTATACATAATTCGTTATAGCATAATACTCATTTATACATAAATAAATTCATTAGACTTCCTTCAATAAAGACTCACCTTTTTAGCTGCCTGTAAAATCAAATAATGTTCATCTGGTACGTCAGACTTCAATTGATGTATAAACCTAGCCAACAGGCACTGTTCTTCCATCAGTTCTTCCATATCCATTTCACCTACAGGATGCTCATTTTTATCTGTGACTAAAGTATTCAACAAAGTCAGAGCTTGTTCCGCTTCTTCTGCAGAAGGCACTAAAAAAAAAACATCAAAATTACTACCACAGAGCTCAAAAATAAGTAGGTATTTTGTTAACTCGACAAGCTATTATCACAAACCTATTGTCTCATTCTCCAAAGTGTTGTTCAAAATATAAATGCTGAGAGCCTTCCTGCCATAGTAGTCTAGATGCTGCATAAGTCCAGCATAATGCTTTAGTTTTAGGATGACCAATATGTCATTGTATGTATCCAGAGGGATTTTCAATAATTTCTGCAGCTCCTTTGCCACTGGAGTATGAGATTCCAGATGTTCGAGACCTAGACGTTGGAATATCTGAAAAAAAAATAGGGTCAAATAGGCTTGGGACAGAGTTGTTAATCATCCTGATTCAACTTACTTCGACACTGGACAACATAACTTTATCAATGTAATCAATCCTGTCAGGATAGCATTTCAAAGCCAAGTTAACAAGAGCCACTTGTAGAGCAACCATATCTTCAGGAGGCAGATATTGCCGGTTTGCTATTATCGACGACACTTGATTCGAGAATACTTCAAACAATTGCACTTCTTGAAGAATTTGAGTGCCTGAATAAAAAAAAAACAGCTCAAATAAACCAAAAGTTCAAATATGTAAACGTTTACCTTCCCCACCAATTGAGTCAGATCTCTGACTAAAGGCCGCTAATCTCTCCATTAGACTAATGACAATGTTTTTGACATTGACTCCAGATTCTAGTTCGGCGCAAGATTTTAAAAACGCGTTCAATGTCTGGATATGAAATTCGTCAGGGAACACTTGAATAATACATTCCATCAAGTATTCTTGAGCAATGGCATCTCTACAGCTAACTACCTACAAAAAGAAACCAAAACAGTCCCGAGTATTCCACATGGCTCGGACTTCTTCTATTTCTTGTTTACACGTCAAATCTATCGATGGATATAAAAACAAACATTCCATTCTATGCAGATGATAGCAAGCTACGAGGGATATCTTTTAAGTTTTGCATATGGAAATAAAACAACACGGTAGGTAGTTTTAAATGACTTTATTGTTTTTCGAAGTATTCTCCATGAAGATTAATACACATCTGCATGCGCTCGAACCAATTTTCGAAGCACTTATTCCACTCGTTTGCTGGCAGATGCAAAACGGCATTTTTGAAAGCGTCAACTGCTTCTTCAGGTGACTGGATCCTTTGAACACGCAGTCTGTTTTTAATTTTCGGGAAAGTAAAGAAATCGTTAGGACTTCGATCGGGACTATATGTAGGATGGTCCAATAATTCCACGTTTTCTTCCGTTAAATACTGCCTTGTTTTTTGGGCTGTGTACGAGCTTGCACTGTCTTGGTGGAGGATGATTCTTCTTTCAGGGTTGATTTTTCGAAGCTCGGTCATTACTTTTGGCAAACAAATGGTGGTATACCAATCCGCGAATTGAGACGGTCAAGCGTTTTTTGACACCAATTTACCCTGGCTGCTTTCTGCTCTTCAGTCAACAGGTGGGGTATCCATCGAGAAACTAATTTTCTTACTCCTAATTCTTCATGTAAAATTTTTTGAATTGAGGTCTTTGAGTAGTTCAAGGACGCCTCAATCTCGCGATATGTCGCATGTCTATCTTCAATGATGAGTTTGCGCACAGAATCGACGTTTTCCTGGGTGACTGCCGGTTTTGGTGCACCCACCCTGGGATCGTCGCTAAGACTCAACCGTCCACGTTTGAATTCTCCATACCAACAGACAGTAACTCAGCAAGGCATTCTTGTTGCGATAATTGTCTCTGAAAGTTGTAATAAATTATGGCGCGAAAATGTTCTCGGTTGAGTTCCATTTTTCTAATGACTTGGTGACACTTAAAAATTCACTGTAGTGGAACACTGCACATATTGTTGTGAAACTTTGAATTTATGTTTACTAAAGAGTGAGGTTAGGATTCAGTATGGACGTTCTATCCGCGCGGCCTACTATGTTTCTATATGCAAAACTTAAAAGTCATCCCTCGTATTTGGAAACCCTGCATTACAACTGGTCGAAATTCGATCAATGCAGAAAGTCCACATTAATTCATATTGGGAAGATAAATCCTTGTATAAGCTACAGTATAGGGCAGGTAGAAATTGAAAACGTACAGTACCAGAAAGACCTAAGAGTTACAACTGCACATAATTTAAATTGGGAAGCTCTCATTAACAACAAAATTAATAAGTCAACTCACTGATATATTTGATTGAAAAAGCTGTTAAAAACCATTCTATTGTTGTAGTGCTAATAATAAAATAAAAATAATCACGAATATGCAAAGTAAAATAAATTTCAACATTTTTGAACCTAATAAACATGAAATCATATCAATACTAATTCAATGTAAAAAGGTGTTTACCTGTTCCAAGATGCCAGGTAAGACCATCTTCTGGTATTTCTCTAAAGTGACAGATTCCAACTGGCTAAGTCTCACGAGATTAGTGCCTACTAATATTCTCAATTCTTCCCTTTCTCTTTCCCTAGCCTGTCTATGTGATAAAAAAAAGTTATATATCAATAATACTGCTACAGGTACAATGAAAACGGATGTAATCTGGAAAGTTAGGGGTCATGTCTGTTAAAAACAAGGATGTCAATTGCTGATCAGCTGTTCACGTCACTCAAAACGTCATGAAGTACTGGAAAATAGGTTACCTTTCTAACAAATCTATATTTTCCATCAACTTTTGGCAGTTTTTGCTTCAGGAGAGCAAAAATGGAAATTGCTGCCATTGAACTTCTGTGGTTTGAATTCAACTAATATTACATATCTTTTCAAGAATCACAAGTTTCTTTAAAAATGAAACACACCTGTCCCTGGAATGCCCCTGATGCTGCATCCTGACCCATAGTTTGTTCATTTCAGCAAAATTCATAAGAACAAAATCAATGGAGTCCTTTACAGTTCCCTCTGGATTATCTCCTTCAATATCTGGAGTATCTGGCAGGACATTTCTAGTACATTGCAGCAGGTAGTTGCGCAAGAAGAGCCCTCTCAGAGGATGCTGAACACCTTCAAAATAAAAATAAAGAATCAGCATTTAAATGATACACAAAGATATTTTTATATAATAGCAGAAATAGCTTCCCAAGAAACGGAGATGTAAGATATCTGTGACACTTATTATGCATACAATTTTGTTTCCTATACCACAGTATTATCGCGAGAAATTTCGAAAATCTGATAAAATGTTTTTTGAATGTACATCACAAAAAACCGATTCCTTAACCCTGCTATAATTTAGAAAGTACTGATTGGATTTTGATGAATTTTTCACACAACTAGTATGTCAAGAACGAAAAAGTTTCGTAGTTTTTGGAAATTGGTCTAGTGTTGGCGAAATATAAGGCTAAAACAAAAAAAAATAAAAATTACTCAAACTTCATATTTTGACGTTTCACAGAATCCTGTTTATTTTTGGAGAATATTTTAAGGGATTGCCATTCTTTTACGATACCATGGCTTAGAATTCAACATTGTATATGTATAACTATTCTTTTTTCACTTATGGAGAGCATTCTAACTAAACTGTTTTAATGACAAAAAAAATTTTTACCTCTACACATCTCCACTAAATCCTTGAGCAGGTCTCTACGGAGTGCAGAATTGGTCTTAATGTATACAAGTCCCACAGTGATGAGCAGATACAACCTTGGCACAATATTGCCAGCATACTGAACCAATTCATATAAATCGTGTACTTTTCTGCCTCTTTGGAACTCATCTACAAGGTATAATTCCATGTGTCGCAGTTCATCTGTGATGGCCATATCTACAAAGTCTTAAAGGATTAGCAAAGGTTCCTACTAACTTGGACATGAAAGTTTATGAAACACCAGAGGAAATACCAAAATAACAGGTCACTGAAGCAAATGTCACATGATCAGCATTTACAGTGGTCCATACAATCAGTATTTGGTGATTATTCTTTCAGTGTCAGTAAATTTCTACATATCTGTATGCATCAGTAATTATTGACATACTGGCTTCACAGTCAATACATACCAAATTGCATCATAAATAAAGATCACACATGAGATTTTAATCAAATTCAGTGTCACTTACATAGTTCATAATAACTTTTTGGAGATAACAAGGACGTTCTAAGTTCAGATAACATAGCACTGGCATTTTTTAGGGCATCCATAAGCTTGTTTTTATCTAGGGCCCGTTTCATATGAAATGCCTGTGCCTTTACTACACCAAGAGCATCATGCAAGTATTTTTCCTGCTCCTCTACTGGGGAGACCTGTGACAAAAAAGCAGGCTACCATAAACGTTTTCAAAAATATGTCTTCTAGTACCAAGTGATTTTAGTCTCAAATATTGTATACATCACACAATTTACAAGTTGAAATATGATCAATCGCTCAATAGCATCAAGAAAGCCCTTTCTTCAGAAATGATTATTAAGTAAATCTGGTTTCCAGTAAAATGATTAATTCGATGGTGCTTGTTTTTCAAAAGTGTAATATTCACTTTTACGCTTAAGTAAAATATTGTGGCCAAATGAAAATCCTTTATTGATACAATATCTTCAAACTTCATAAAAAAATATATTTCTGAGGAGCCCTAATTGTCTCAAAAGAAAGTAATCTCCACCGATACTTACCATGATATTTGTTTAACGTGAAACCCTCAAGAAAAACAAGTTAGTGGAACGAAAAAACACTGGAAAAAACATCAACAACGTTCACCAAATTTTAAGACTGGAAAATCCAAAATACAAATTGTGAAAACTCCAAATGTCATAGCACTTGTAAAGTGCTGTCAAAATGATATGTTGTCATCTGTCAAAGCAGAGATTAGAGATTAGTGATGAGTCAAACAAGAGATGTACTAAACCGAATCAGTCAGTACATTCGGCTTGTCTGGTTTTTTAAAAAGGCGGCACAATTCGGGTCAAACCATGTAAAGTAGCTAGAATACTTCGATTAGAAACTTTTGTACCGATTTATGCAGATGCTGTGGACATTAAAATGCACCTAAATATAAAGTACATCATATAAATATAGACAAAAATTTATTAACGAGACATTTGTAATATAGGTATTTATTATTATCAAGAAAGATTACCCCATGTGACACAGTAATTTTTTGGGACTGGATTTTATATAGTAGGCTGACATACAGCGACAGACGACTACAGAGTGCTCAAAGTAGTAAGTAACATTTTATGCTATCACATGATCAGATCGAAATTTATTATACATTAGACATGATTTAAATTTACAATGATAGTTTGAATACATTAGTGACAACAATTAAAAATGCTATTTTGAAACACCGTCTATTAGTTGGCACTATGCGCATTTGCCATAAGTCTCGCAACTTTGATCTCGTTCAGTTTGTCTCCTTGTGTGGCCCACTGGCTCTTCTGGGTGGCTTCACTGGCATGAATAGGGACGGCTGTCAGCAAACCAGATACGGCATTGCTCGGCAAGATCCTTTGATGCGACGGCGCGCTGTGCCTCATACTATTTGCTACCTGCTGAAACAACAATTTTTTGTCAGGAAAAGTTCAATTTAACAGACTGAAATGAAATACAGGTATATGGATTTCGTGATGTGCTTGGATAAAATCTCATTTCCTGGTGAATCTCAGACGACTAGATTCCAAGTTCGATGTCAGTTTTGCCCTGGACTCGTCAAGGCACCCCAGGCGGGCAGCATTTGCTTTTCTAAAATAGGCACTACGACATAGAATTATTTGATGTGCAAATTCAGGGCTCCAAATTACCTGGGGGTACAAAGCTTTGTTCAGTTGTAGCCACAAGTAACGAAACTGGACATTTTGCGTAATAAGTTGTATAATTATTATGAGAAGATTTCCAAAAATCGTTGGATAGATGTGATCAGGAAGAAAACTCGCCCGCTGACTCAATAGGGATAGAGATCTACTCGTCATAATTGTCACTTTGGAATCAACCTTCATTCATCTCATATTTGCTTGTAGTAGCTGTGTGTGTTGCCACAATGCTTGAGGTTTATGCTGTGGCTATGATGTGATTTAACACCTACTTCAGAGATGGCACTAACGGAATAAATTCATAGCTTTTGTAAGTTCTATACTATAGCTCCTTGTGGCATTTCTGCATAGATGGCGTACAAAGGTGACCATGAATTCAGACTAGGTCGACGACTTCAGACTAGGTAGAATCAGCCAGCCAAGGATTTGTCTCCTAATTCGCATAGCCTGTAGTGAGGATCAAAGTGCACTTGACATAAGCCCATTTTTTTACAGTTCTGTCATTAGATTCGTATATTTAGTGAAATTTTTTAAAAGTGCGGGTGTTTGCAGTTAATTGTAGTGTTGATGCTGATATAACCCTGTCACTTTAGTGGGTATTGGTAGACGAATGAGCCAAAAGTATATACCAAATCTACGCAATTTTTTAATTTCTAACATATTCCAGTGTGCTGTGAAAAGTTGCATTTACTTGTAATAACGGCTGGCGAAAATTAAAATTTTACCTTACAAAAATCCATCCAAAGAAAGACAAGTAATCTTGCGGAGACTTGGATGAAAACAAAGGACAAACGTGGGCGTGTCCGCAATAAAGGAATAGGAACGTCGCTCGCGTTTCCAATCCTACTATTTCTGCTCCGCAGGGGTATTAGTACGTAGGTATCTTCAAAAGTGATATTATGTCGGATTGTTTTTGACATTATATACGTTTTTTGTGATATTATGTAGTTCTTTTATGGTTTTGTTTGAATTCAACGCCCCAATTTTCCCTTTCTTCTCCAACTTTTGCTTATTTGTAGCAACGGATACGTGAGGCGTAATATGAGGAAATTCCCAAAAACTGTTGCGTATGTGCGATTGAGATAAAATCGTGCCTCCATGGTAAATCCGGTGCTTAGATTTGGAATACGATATCAATTTGGAACTTGATTAATTTAGGTTTCGTATTACCGATAAAAGCGAGGTATGCTGGTTGCTCTTGCTACTGTGATGCTGCGTATTGATCAACTTAGAGACACCCTGGTAGAAAGTAGATTCTCGAGCTGATGTGGTACTGTCTGGGGTACCATCGAATAATGCTTTAAAGTTGCCCTTCATCGCTGTACTTCCGAGATTTGCCATCTGCTTTCCATGTAGGTATCCAGTATTGCTGGTCACTCGCTTCTGGTTGAGCTGCGAGAAAGGACCCAGAAAATTGTGAAAAACTTATCAATATGGAAAACGATAGAAGAAGTTGCGTATAGTAGCGTACGTACTTGAATTTCGATAAAGTCGGAAACGCTACTGCTTTCGTATTAAAAATAGCCAGGACATACTAAGATTTTTACCGTAGCTGCAATGCTGTTAACGTTGTTGGCTACTCTACTGTATATAATGCAGTAGAAATATTCCCCTTTTAGAATGTTCTTGAGACCGGATCTTCCGGAGGATTGGCCCCAAACAAAAGCAGTCCTTAATTCTTGACACATACGGATGTTACGCATGGAAAAGCTATTTTTGCGTGCATGCCTTGTTAAAATCAATTAACATACTAAATATCGTGTGCGAACTCATCAATTAATGATGATTATCTATCCTATTTTTCATCTAAAAATAGCACGAGAGTTAAAGTTGCACGTACATCGGGGTAAAGCGACGCGAAAGGAACCGCGGCGACATTTATTACTTGCACGCCTCAAATTGACGCGTCGCTTCGCTTCACATCTCTCCGCTGCGCCCGCTATCACGTGATTATGTGTAAGAGGACCCACTCTGTCTCTTAGCGTCCCCTCAATGGACGTGCACCTCTAATGTCCACAGCTTTTGGGGTTATATTGAACGACAAAGATGTACCTGTGAGGAAGCTTTATCATTATCTGATCGAGGGAGATTGATCTGGATCTTCTTTCTGGCTTCAACAAGGATGCGTTCTCTGTCCAGTGGCCACTGTTTACTGTAGATGCCGTAACGATGTCGAGGGAGCTTGTCGCTGGCGCCGAATTTTCTCATTCTAATCAGTTTTTGAAATATTCAGTACAAAAAGCTGATACGTCCATAGCCGCTGGCAAGAAAGTATTTCACGAGTATCCATCACGCTTTGAGGTCTACTGAGGTGAACAGGGAATCAGCTAGAGACATTTTTGTGTTAGTCTGCAACGTTGGCAATAATGAATCGGTTATAAATCTGGTAAAAATCGTTTCTAGCGTTTTGTTTTTGGTATGCAAATCTGCTTTTCTAAATAAAAGAGCTGTTAGCAAGTACAAAATGAATCTGTAGCGTAGAAGCAACTACCTGGCGTTGGCGGATCCGTCAGAATTATGTGTCCTGTGCCGATATGGGGAATTTTGAGATATTACTAGATAATCAGCTGTCATTCTACGGTGATGGATACTCGTGAAATAGGGTATATTGTAATCGCAATATATTTCTAAAATGAGATATTACGTTTTTTGGGTATTATATGACGTGCATATCACGAAAAAACATGTCGTTCATTTTAGTCGGTCTGTTAGTCTGTCTGTCCGCTAGACTGTAGATCGCCTATAACTTGAAAGGTACTGCCCGGATTTGGATGAAATTTTCACACAAGGTTACTACTATGCCAAAGACGGAAAAGTTTTGGAGTTTTCGAAATTTGGACTAGTGGCGATGGAGTGAAAGGCAAAACATGAAAAAATAAAAATATCTCAAACTTCGTTTTTCGACGTTTCAGAGGCTCCTGATCATTTTCAGAAAATAACTGTAAGGGTTAGAAATTAGTGGATGCGGGTTTTAGTGGTTTTTTGATGTTATTATATTAATACACTTCCAAATCCACATATTTCACACCTCACAGATTTATCCGTACATTTGCCCTTGAAACAGAAAAATATCCTCAGCAAACACAACGGGCATAGGTCTTACATAGCGTGCGCCACGGGATTATAAGCATTGCATCTTTGGTAGTCGATCCGAGTGATTTATAAAAGCAGGTAGCAGACGGCGTGTGCTTGGATTGTGTTAGTTGATCTCGTGAGGTAATATTATTTAGCCTAGTATGTAGAGAAGTATAGTATATAAGAGCTATTTTAATCAGACATCAAGCAAGTAATTTTACACCATACCTCCAAAGAACTGGGGCTACTGTGTACGGTCATGCTCATTGCTGCAATCTGAGGAATTTTCTTCCATGAAAAAACCAAACAGTGCATTACTGGCTCTGACAAAACCTATATCTTTTTGATGTCATTGGACTACATGTAAATTGTATTAGAAGTTTCATTGCTAATAGGCGTATTACGTCATTATTCGGCTGAGCTGCTTGCAATACTTTAAAAATGCTTATTTTTCCGACTATTGTGTAGATACCTGTAATGGTTTCCTATCTTCCACAGCCAAGGCTCGAGCTTCTCCAACCAGATCTGTTGGTATCCAATGACAGATCCTGGTCTGCATAATCTCATCCAACCAATGGCCTCTCTTGCGGTCAAATGGTAGTGCTTGATCAAGTAGGCACCAATCAGGGAGCCTGTACGGCCTAGTCCAGCCTACCATTAAACCTGATATGTCATTACTAACCGAAAACATTACTGTGAGCAGATTATAGCTTTGCTATAATTTAAGCTGGATATATAAGGTGTTTTTAAACTTGGTATTTTCCTTCACGCATCGTATATATTTTTTGTAAAAATAAGCAAAGTTTTCTAATCACGCGTATAACAAATCCCTAAGTCTAACCTAGTTATCAGGTTCCGAAAGAATAAACGAATTCTTTCAGCACATGAATGGCATGTGTCAGTATCTAATCCAGGCATCGAGCACCGTGTAAGTAAACCGAATTGTCTGTTTATAAATGAGATGTTAAAAACATACGTAAATACTAGCACATTCCTAATAATAAAATTGTCGATTTAATTTTACGAGTTTATTCATATCGTTTCCCCGGATGTTTCCATCCCGCGTCGCGTAGTTTTATCTCATACAAAGGCGGTTTGTAGGAACATTGAAGTCGAGACAGAAGAAGTCCTAGACAGCCGCGCATGGTGCAAATTAAGGATGGTGTCAACTAACTTGTGTGTTTGAATCGAACAGGATTAGTAAGCAACAACTGACAGGGTGGTACAGGGAATTTGTCGATTTAATTCTACGAGTTTATTCATATCGTTTTCCCGGATGTTTCCATCCCGCGTCGCGTAGTTTTATCTCATACAAAGGCCGTTGGTAGGAACATTGAAGTCGAGACAGAAGAAGTCCTAGGCAGCCGCGAATGGTGCAAATTAAGGATGGTGTCAACTAACTTGTGTGTTTGAATCGAACAGGATTTGTAAGCAACAACTGGCAGGGTGGTACAGGGAATTTCTTACATATTGAGCTTTTTTTTCATGTATTACTTTTTCACGTTTTTTTACTATCTTTATTTCAAGTGTTAGCTGTTTCTGTAAAGGAATAGGGTTTGGAAAACTGCGAAGACAAATAAATCGAGTAGTGAACAATGTACAAAGAATAGTAAGTCTTTGTCTACAAAATAACGTACAGCATTTTGAACGTCTGCTATGATTTACCTCTACTTATTTATGATTGATATCGTTATTACCATCAATAAAATTTTCATTTTGTGTTTAGGTTTCACCATACCTTTTTATTTCCTTATAATTGTCATCCATCAACAAATTCTTCAGCAACTAAGGAAATAAATCACTGAATTTAGGATTGAAAAGTCAATTTAAATGTACAAAATTCCAATATACCTAGCGTCTATATGGAAAAACAAAGTTAGCGATGGAAGTCGAGAGAAGAAATCTCGAATTGAAAATTTGACTACGCCATCTTATAGAGGAGAATAATGACAAATGTAATTTATTTTGAAATCTCATCCATCAAGTAAAGTCAGGATAAAACCGAAACGATTTTGGAATAACTCTGGTCTGCGAAACAATCTGACTATCTGATAATTCCAAGGCCTACCTAGAAAATTCTGCTGTCAATGTATAACGTATTATACATTTTTAGAGTTAGAATTAAAAACTATATTTATCCGTGCAAAAATCCAATTTGGCGTATATAACAGAAAATAAGGTTGAGGCTGGAGGACAAGGGAAGAAACGCCATATTAAAATTCGAATTATACCATCTTGTAGAGGAGATAGCAATGTTAGTGTGCAATTTTTTTTGAAATCATAGTAAAGTTGAAACGCTTTTTGAAATATTCGGTTTTTTATTGGAATTTCGATTCTTTCTGAGCGGCATTTTGTTACCTGTACCTGAATACGAAACTTTGCCCCCATTTAAGCGACTTCGTATCTATTACACTTTCCGAGATCCCAGTGGTGAAGGTAGACTTTGAATCATCCGGTATATATTTTTTCATACTTCTATGCAATTTGTTACTATTTCTCTAAATATAAATATTGTGGTATATTTGGTACCTTGCAATGTACAGCGATTGCTCCTGGTCCCATCTCAGCGATATCCAGAAAACGGATTAGGACGTCTCGGGGTGGTGTTGTACCGTCTGGGAATATCAGGTCAACATGCTGGATACCCGCATTTATGAACCTAAACTCAAAAAAGCATATATTGACAAATAAACTAATTTTAAGTGATTTTTTGAGCTTAACAGATTGAAATTTCGAGTACTCTTCACAGTTCATTAATAATAATTTAAAGAGTTCGAAAAGCTATTCTGAGAATTCCTGCATGTATAGTGTTGTCGTCAGCAAATCTGTGGATCAGATTGACCATACAGGAAAGGAGGTCGTTGATATCTAAGAGGAATACTGGCGGAGCCAAGCCTGATCCCTGGGAAGCACCCCGTCTTGACGTTGTGGAATGAAGAGGATAACTCGTCAATTACGACGGATATCTTGCGGATAGAGAGGAAGTCAGCCACCCATCTACAAAGTTTCTCTGTGAGGCCATAGGATGGAAGTTTGGCATAAACATAAGCCTCACCAGATGACTGGATGAATTTACTTCACAGTTGTGTGACGAAATATGATTAGTAGCATATAACTTAAGCAAAATAACCATATTAATTTATTACATATTACTAAAAATTACACTAAAATATTAGCTTATAACCGGTTTCAATTGAAAATCCGTTTAGTGCGAAAAGTTCGACGCTTGTGACGTGGTGGCATTCGTAGTTGTAGTAGTAGTGGTTAGGTAACTAGGCGACCTTTGACCCTTTTTGCCGACCCTGTTGTATCAACACTGTACTACTCCACAAACTTCCTACTGACAACGGATTATTGAGGAAAACCAGCTCCAGCAATACGATGTGCCTATATTGATCTTGCACCGATCTGGTGCGTGATATAGGCAACACACAACACAACATCCATGGCACGGAATTAACTTCCCAGACGGAGATACAAATCCGTGTGTCTGGAGTCGACCGACGATTTAACATATAGTAGCGACAGTACCGCGACGTGCTAACCATTCTACCACCCAGGCCCCGAGGGAGGGCATTGAGAAAGTATTTGTATAGTAGGCCCCTTCTTCCGATGTTTTTGGGGCATTTCAAACTTGGTGCTCCTACTCAAGTGTATAGATAAATCCATATACTACGAGGGATCTCTTTTAAGTTTTGCATATGGAAATAAAACAACACGGTAGGTAGTTTTAAATGACTTTATTGTTTTTCGAAGTATTCTCCACGAAGATTAATACACATCTGCATGCGCTCGAACCAATTTTCGAAGCACTTATTCCACTCGTTTGCTGGCAGATCCAAAACGTCATTTTTGAATGTGCCAACTGCTTCTTCTGGTGACTGGAACTTTTGACCAAGCAATCTGTTTTTAATTTTCGGGAAAGTAAAGAAATCGTTAGGACTTAGATCGGGACTATATGGAGGATGGTCCAATAATTCCACGTTTTCTTCCGTTAAATACTGCCTTGTTTTTTGAGCTGTGTGCGAGCTTGCATTGTCTTGGTGGAGGATGATTCTTCTTTCGGGGTTGATTTTTCGAAGCTCGGTGATGACTTTTGGCAAACAAATGGTGGTATACCAATCCGCAGTTACAGTTCTTTGCTCATTAAGAGGAATTGTTGCAATATGACCCGCTTTTGACACAAATGTCACGACCATATTTTTCGAAAGGATTACTTTTGTTGACCTTTCTTCACCTTGGAACATCCAAACAGCCGACTGTCGTTTATTTTCTGGTTCATAACAGTAAATCCACGATTCATCACCACTAACAATCCTGTACACATTCTTTGAGTTTCCGGAATTGAAACGGTCAAGCGTTTTTTGACACCAATTAACCCTGGCTGCTTTCTGCTCTTCAGTCAACAGGTGGGGTATCCAACGAGAAACTAATTTTCTTACTCCTAACTCTTCATGTAAATTTTTTTGAATTGAGGTCTTTGAAATCTTCAAGGATGCCTCAATCTCTCGATATGTCACATGTCTATCTTCAATGATGAGTTTGCGCACAGCATCGACGTTTTCCTGGGTGACTGCCATTTTTGGTGCACCCACCCTGGAATCGTTGCTAAGACTCACCCGTCCACGTTTGAATTCTCCGTACCAACGGGAAATTGTCGACTGATGTGGCACTTCGTTGCCGTAAACAGACAGTAACTCAGCAAGGCATTCCTGTTGCGATAATTGTCTCTGAAAGTTGTAATAAATTATGGCGCGAAAATGTTCTCGGTTGAGTTCCATTTTTCTAATGACTTGGTGACACTTAAAAATTCACTGTAGTGAGAACACTGCACGTATTGTTGTAAAACTTTGAATTTAAGTTTACTAAAGAGTGAGGTTAAGATTCAGTACTGACGTTCGATCCGCGCAGCCTACTATGTTTCTATATGCAAAACTTAAAAGACATCCCTCGTACTGACGTCGTAATGCGTACGAGAGAGAAGCACAGAAACATGTTATGGGCGAACTGGAAACACAAAGGCCATCCTCTCTAGGCAAAATCGAGGAAACTGCACTATCGGCATCACGTGACGTACTGCTTGCCGGGATTCAATATCTTTATCTAAACGTAAAAATATCAAATATGGCGTTTGTTTTGTTTAATATCCAGATTATCAACGCTGATGCTTTAGGAGATGCTTCGTTGAAAATGAGTATAAAATATAAAGCAATAATATCAGAAGCTGTGATGGTATACGTGAGATGTATTGTGACTATTGTGGGAGATGCAGAAGCTCAGGAGACTCTGTCCTGAGTCAAAAGGTGCTACAAAGAAGCTGTGAACTTAACATATCGGCATGATATGTTTGGTAGATTATTTAAAGTTGTATGTCTGGATTCAGCCTCTTATAATCGTTGTAGTTGGCACCGTTATATGAAAGTTTTTTTTGTATTAAATGAGCCCTAAGCGTCATAAAGTAAAATTCTGCCCATCTAGGCCAACACATTAAAGGCATATAACTGAGCAAACTATTTGTCATTAAAAGTGACTAGTTTATTTACAAAGAATTATGAATTACAATAATGTTTTTTGTATTGTTTCAGAATGATCAAAAATAAATTCAAAGTAAGATACCTGTGTTTTGCAACATACAACGTGGATTTGGAATAAATCTATCAATATATTTCCATGTGATACAATCTTTATACCACTGTAAACAGCATATGATAATTTTTTAAAACTATATATATTTTGTGCTTCAAAATTTGTGTTGGGTGTTATTATTTTGAACCTTGTTCTCAGCAAAACTGCTGAAATATAAATATATATTGGGGATATTTTGTGAATATACGTTCGTGAAATAATCTTTCAATATCGGAAATATCATTTTCAGCAGATTTCAAATTGTGAACAAACGAAATCCCCGGCACATTCCTAGCATTCCTTATTCTAGGCGCATTCTCGGCATTTTTTCGATAGTCCCTCCAGATCTCCAGGCAAGTAGGCGGCGCAACCATCTGACAAACGTCAACGGTGTTGCCATCATATAACAATGAGTTCCAACTTCTTCAGTCTTATGTGTTTTATGACTGCGTCCATCGCCTCGTTACTCCGGTTGCTAGGCAACGTAGTGCTTTTATCTCTTCCTAAAATACGAATTGCACGCTTCTCTCTCGTACACATTACGATGCCAGTGATATAGTCAAAATCACGAAAGATGACTATTACGTCATACCATAAATTGTACTGAAGTAATCAATGGACGTACGTCGATGATAAACTCACGAGTCAGAAACATAATGACAGCAAATGATATTATATATAATATATATTATGATTTTGCGAGGTTAGGTTATTTCACTGATTATTTTTATTTTCATTTTATTTAATGGTTTTGAGTGATACCTTAATAATAATTTTAGTGAGGAGTTTTTGTTTAAAAAAAAACCAGTTATGAGCAGAATACCTTAAGACAGGAACACCAAAGACCAAAGTATTATTCGAAAACAACGTAACCTGCTTCCACATGACCTAACTATTCATCTTTCAAATATGATCGGTCATGCAACATGAAAGCATCGTCTATCTTTGTCGGATACATGTAAATTAGCAATACAGTTTGTTTAGACAATAAAATTCTGTTTGTCTCTGTCTAACATATCAGAAAGTTCATTAAATATATTCACAAATCGCTGTCGTATATCTTTACTACAGACTAAAATGATGACGTAATCGTCATCTTTCGTGATTTCGACTATATATGGATTTCCCTGTATAACCTATGCTAAATGTCAGATTTCTTACACTTTGGAGTCATAACACGCTTGGTTGAGTCTAATCACATACTTGACATCGTTCTTGAGGAAATACTTGAGATAGTACCCCGGAGGATGTCCCTGGTTGTTCTCAGACGGTCCAATGAACGCAAGGAATTTGCGCGGTACCAGCCAATTGATGTCGCCGTACTGCAGTAGGTCGTACATGTCGTACTCACTAACGTTGAAGTCCTCAAAGTTGAAGAAGTTGAACTGAACTGCTTTGTGCACTGCGTTGAGTACGTCTTGGATGCACAGATGGAAGCAACACGCTACTTGTGATGCGTCTATGTAGAGTCTAGGTGGCAAGAGATTAGTTTTGGACGTTTATGTTCAACATTACAGATGATGTTAAGATTCGTAGGTCTCATGGATAGAATCAAAAATGCGGTATTATCCTCCTAGACACAACTGCACTTATACAGGGGGTCCAGTGGGAAAGTTCACGTTTTGATTTGAGAAAAAACTACAAACTTAATGAAAAGAAAATATTTATTACTATCAAGATATCAAATTCTGAAACTCTCTTCAGCTGCGTATGAATCACCTCTCTTAAAATAAGCCTCGTTAGCAAAAGCACATTGCGCTCCGGTCCAACGTTCCATTGTGACTATTTAACCCGCACGCCGAACGCGTCGATCAAGACCTCCCCCCACTTCAAAGTTGAAATGTGAACTTTCCAACTGGACACCCTACTTGAAAGATGACACAAAAAAAACAGATGATAAGTTTCAGGTAAAGGCGAACTTCCTATGCGAAGCGACTCGTGTTGCTTACTTATAAGGCGATAACTCTAGCAGAATTTTCCAGATTTCATCCGGATGAAAGCCCAAATGGATGACAGCAAAGCACCCTATCAGACAAGCTGCATTGGTCTTTCTTTCTAGCTGAGAACAAGTGTAGTAGACCACGCTCCTCGTCCCCTTAGCGAACCGAAGCAACTTTCGCACTTCACAGCAAAATTTGTACAGGCAGGAAATGTTCAAAGGGCCGAAATCGGCGTAGTAGTTGTCGTACACCAAGTCATCGTCCATGCAGAAAAAGTATGAGTCGGTCGTGTTTTTCAGTTTGACGCTGCCTTTACTTTTCAACACCTGAAAAATCAAAATCGGATAAAAAAGTTGAAGTCGAAATCACGAAAGATGACGATTAAGTCATCATTTTAGTCTGTAGTAAAGACATACGACAGCGATTTGTGTATATATTTAATGAACTTTCTGATATGTTAGACAGAGTCAAACAGAATTTTATTGTCTAAACAAACTGTATTGCTAATTTGCATGTATCCGACAAAGATAGACGATGCTTTCATGTTGCATGATCGATCATATTTGAAAGATGAATAGTTAGGTTATGTTAAAGCAGGTTAGGTTGTTTTCGAATAATTGGTCTTTGGTGTTAATGTCTTAAGATGTATTCTACTCATAACTGTTCTTCCAAAACAAAAACTCCCCACTAAAACTATTATTAAAGTATCACTTAAATCCATGAAATAAAATGAAAATAAAAATAATCAGTGAAATAACCTAACCTCGCAAAATCATAATATACAGGGTGTCCGCAAAGTTGGGGTTTTCCTTTTCAGAAACAACTACCCTTGAAATAACAAAAGTAATGTGTAGTGAAACGAGGGCGACCAAGTAAAAAAAAATAAAGGAAAAAGTACTCACTCTCCAGTTGACGAGAAGGGCTAAGTACGTCTCTGCCCGAAATCATACCGCTCCAACAGAAAATGAAATCAGCTGAAGCGCTACCGAGCAGACGCAGAAACCACATTGATTGTCTTACACTTAATGGCACATCTTCTAACAAGGAAGGCAAAATGTTGCGTGAAAAGTCCAATCGATTTGGGAGAATAAATGGTCCAATGAGCATACCGTTCACCATGCCAGCCCAAACATTCACCGAAAATGTTTGTTGAAAATGACCAAACATGAGTGTTGCGAAAGTTATTCACCCCATTACGCGTGAACGTAGATTCGTCTGTCACCAATATGCACTTCAAAAAGTCCGGATTATTGTCATGTTGATGCAACAACCACTCACAAAACCGCACTCTTGCTGGAAAATCGTCAGGTTGAAGGGCTTGTACACGTTGGACGTGAAACGGATACAGCCTCTCTTCACGCAGCGTTTGCCACACTTTAGTTTTTGATACTTGCACTTCTCTAGCCACGTCTCTAGTGCTTGTTGTTTTTTGAAACGCAATCGATTATACGAGTTCGTTTACCTCTACACGCGTGACTGTAACCGTCGGTTGAAGGTTGCATACTAACCTGACACACTGACCCCGACCCAGTTCTGCCGTCGGGTTGAGACCTTGTACCAGTCGGGGATATCCCGGCTGGTCGCGGCTACAGGACGGTATTAAGATATTTTTGATGTTGCAGTGCCCTTTATCTCGGTTCCCTTAAGTCATTAGTGTATATGGTACTGAGAAAAATTGCTTATGTTTTCAAGATCTACACGTCGTGTAAAGGAAAACCCCAACTTTGCGGACACCCTGTATATCATGTCATCGTGATTTTATCATCGACGTACGTCCATTGATTACTTCAGTACAATTTATGGTATGACGTAATAGTCATCTTTAATTATTTTGATTATAAGGAGAAACTAGGTTATTCTGTTTAGATCTAAGACCCTGTAAAAGCTGATAATAATATAATAATAATAATAATGTTTATTTAACCAGAAAAAAAGAACAATGAGAGAAAACAGCATTTTGCTCATAAATGACAAATTTAAAAAATACACAAGTATGCTACAAAGAAAACATTTAAGAACTTCACACAAAAGAGTTATTTAATGCGCCAACATTCTGTTGTCTAATGAATATTTTTAATTTCTCCTTTAAACAGGCACAAATAGTTTAGTTCTTGTAGATCCTTTGGTATGGAGTTGTACAATTTGATGCGTAGATAGTCTTGGCTTTTTTGACCAGTCGCTGTTTACCTAAAGTTTTTTAACCGACTCAAAGGCTAAGGCGGAAGTGCTTGCTAAGATCTTTGCTAACAACTCCACCATGTTCATCCCCCTAACGCCCGAGTGCCGTCGATTCAAAGGTTTCCCTACACTATCCGGAAAGTAACTTCTTCCTCTCTGACTTGGGCTAATTAATCTTTATGCTATGAGCACAGTGATACGTGTTCGGAGCACCAGCTTGACGGAGATCCCCGATGCTCCAAAATGAAACGAAATTTTTGAAAACATGCCCAATTACCCCCTTCCACCTTTTTTCTCAACCGAGCGCAAAGTATTGCCCGAGATTCGGCTCCGCCTTGAGGCCCCTTCATCCGCAAGCTCTGAGAAGACGGCGATATATATATAAGAACTAAAAGAAAAAATGAAGAAAGGAAAAGATAAAAAATCTACTAGCTATCAAATACCAAAATAGAAGAGGCCTAACTGATTGTACACCACTGTTAACACGCGGTACGATTTTGTGTTCGTATACACACGTACTTAATTCCATTTTAACACTTAATTATTAAATATGTACATACTGCAAAATAAAACTGCTTGTTAAGAACTTCCACATAGTTGTAGATTTCTGCAGGAGTGTTGGTAAATTTGTCAAGTTTTCCCATTAAATACATCATCCTTTTTTCTCCCTATCGCAGTTTTGGATTTTCTACGTCTAGATGGCTTCATCTATGTCAAAGCCGATCTTCTTCGGGCACCTTTTACGGAACGATTTTGTTACTGCCGAGGTGGATCTGGTCAGGATAAAATCCAAACAATCATTTAATATTACCGATTAAAAAACTCGCATAAATGATGCAAGTCTCAGGTTTTGTGTATCAAGATCAAAGTAAAAATTTTGTTAATATTGAACCATACGATTGCATTACAAAATGGCCTTATTTCGTTCTATGCACCATGGGGAAAATCTACTGTAACTATATATTTCGTTCTTAAAAAGTGCCTAGTTCTTGGGGTGTATGATTCTTACATTGCAACGCTGTTTTGTCGACATGGATTTGCGTCCTACCTAAAAGAGTTGTTGACACACGGAAAAATTGCCCTAGCCCCGCTGCACCTTGACACATCTTTTGAATTTTCACCCTCAGTCAAAGCTGACGTGAATTGTCAACGCCACGTTGACGCACTCGACGCGTTTTTAGTTTTTCGAAAATGTTCAAGAAGCAAATACTTGAAGCCAGTTGATTTCACCCTCAGAGATCTCTGTTGAGATGTACATCCAGCAAAAATACCAAAATATGTGATATTAAATTCTAAGTTACTTTCTTAATTGTTCGGCAATGCCATATTCTGACTTTCGTCTTGTTCAGCAGGAAGAAATACGTGGAGAAAATATAGTGTGACTCACAACACACACCACTTGCTATTACTTCGACAAATTAATAATAAAGTTTCTATATTTTTACAAGCAACTTAGTTATATGGATGTTACTATCCAACTATTCTATATTTTAGCTGGACTTGACCTTGTGATTCGGTTTAAGAAACCGATTCATTTTTCAGAAACGTTTTTGAATAGCGCTCATCTCTATTGTTTTTGACAATGTGTAGACAGCTATCCTGTCAACTGTTATTTTGGACTAACCTCAAAAAAGGGTGGAGATTTGTTTTCGTTTACAAGTTTTTAGTCATTCGTCATAAAAAAACTCTCAAATGGCAAAAAACACTCGCAGTTCGGCATTTAGGAAGATAGACGTTGATCAGTATTCAGAAGATAACTACAAAGAAGATGAGCCCGATTCGGGGCCCACGCTAGGCCCTGATGAAAACGAAGTCAACGTTTTACTGCAAAAATATCCTTTTGTTGCCCTTTATTTATGTTAATTTGTTAGCTTGCAGATCTGCAAATATTGTTGCAATGTCATTAAAAACTTACCTTCTCATGTACTGGTTTGCTCAATACTTCACATATTTCCTTAACTGATAGATACAGGAAAACTGTTAGATGCATTGAGAACAGTACTAGTAAATGCTCCTGTTGGAGTTAAAAACCCACAAGTAAAGGTATTTAAACAGTTCTACAATTATAAGTTAATTGGCGCATCCAAAATCCTGTTTTATTGTTTAAATCGCAGTGCCTAAAAAATGACCTTATGAGAACTTTTAGCCCAAAAAGCCATCGTCATCTGTGTGCGGCTATCTTGTCTTATTTTTTTTTTACTGAATATTCACCTATTTTACTAAATCAAAGACTCAAAATTGAACCACCATTGCACATTATAATTTTTTTACAGGAGAATGCTCTGGCATTAGCTCTCAAAGTTATTCTGTCTATCAAAACATCCCAGATTGATGATATTTTGAATGCATTAGACAGAGAGCTGCTTGACACTTTGATGAAGTATGTGTATAAAGGTTTTGAAAACCCCTCTGAAGGAAGTAGTGGCCATTTGCTGTTGTGGCATGAAAAAATCTACAATATTGCTGGAGTCGGTTGCATTGTTAGGGTATTAGCTGATAGAAGAAGAGTTTGAATGTTAAATTTATTTAGTTTGTCACAAAGTTGTATATTTAATTATGTAAAAAGTGATGATTATAACACAAGGATGACTTAGCCATGAATATGAGTGTTAAATTGAGGACTTTAATGCAAGAATTACTTTTGTGTAGTAAATTTTTTGTGGAAAACATCTGATACTTAGAAAGAGTAGGGAAGGATTTAATTGTAGTATACTGTGGTTCTATACTGCCTATCTCATAAGATAGTAGCCTTGTTTCTTCACAATTTCAAATGAACTTAAAACAGGAAGATTAGTCAATTTATTTAGAAATATGATACGAGTTTTTTCATTAGAGCCCTTGGTTGTATAGACTTGTGTAACTTTGTGAGTTGGTCAGAATTTATTGAAACCTTGTTTTGAATTTAAGTACTACTGAAGGAAATCCTATTGAGCAGTGAATTTTAAGGCAATAAATACAAATAAAACACAGTTTTAATTCATAAAAAATGTAATACTTTTTTTTATACATTATTTTTATTTAATAAAGATAATTGGTGAACTATAAAATAATTTTATTATATATGATTATACAACACATCTTAGATACATAAGTACAAATTGTCCAAATCATATTCAGTCTTTTCTATTTTCTTTCCAAGAATCACAATACACCAAATCAATTAAATTCAATTCATAAACTGAATTAAATACATTTTTAAAAGTGATCCTCATACTTTCACTGCGAGTTACACAAACGTTATAACATCGAACAAAAAAGTGCCATGTTTTTTTGCATTTCATATCACAGTTTGGCCCCCTTCGCTGTGAGAAGCACGTCTCGCATGTCCCGTAGGCTATCTTCGAGTGCTTGTCGGAAATTGCTGGCACTGGTATCTGGATGTTCTACAAAGGCTGATATGCCAAAGTTCATATCCAATGGTCGGGGGTTGTAGCAGCATCCATACCTGTAGCATAAACAGAACAATGGGTTAAGTATTTAAATATAATAAGTCGGCACATATCTCACATTCGGCCCCATGACATCTCATAATTCTTTGTTTGTCATATTCGAATTCAATGGCTCAAACTTTCACAGTGCACAAATTGCGAGGTCTGTAAATTGAGTGATCGATTTGGCAACACTGAAGGAGGCGAGCTTGGAGGGGAGACAGACGATGTGATCCACCTTCAGTACAAGTTTGAACTCGCTCGAGTCATATGGTTCTCCGTAGCGATTTTTTTTTCTGAAACATTTTTTCTATTGTGTTCCAAAAATGAATGACATCAATTTCAAGCAATGATGTGCTATCAGGTTTTGCTTTAGACTTGGGCACAATGCAACAGAAACTCTTGCTAAACAGGCCTACAGAGATAGTGTTTTGTCAAGTACCCAAGTTTTTCGGCGGAAGGCATTTTCAAAAGGGAGGGGTTATACTTTGAACATGAACCACGAAGCGGAAGGCCTTCTCCAAGAACCGATGAAAATATGGACAGAATCGGGGATCTTGTGAGTCAAAGTGATAGAAGTAGAGTTAAATTTGACTCACACCACCATTCATCAACTCAAGAACAACTGCATATTGCATCACGATAATGCTCCTTGTCAGACAGCAATGTTCATAAACAAGTTTTTAGCCAGTAAAAACATCCCTGTGGCTCCTCAGCCTCCTTCTTCGCCTGACTTGATTCCTTGTGACTTTTTCTTCCCAAAGTTGGAAAATCACCTCAAAATTTTGGGAGAGTAGAAAACATTCAAACTTCAAACGGCTGTAACCAACCAGCTGAAGGCTATTTCAGTATCGGAGCTACAGCACTGCTATGAGGGTGTGTGGCTTCAGAAGGAAGTCATTTTACGGGAGATAATACAAAATTGTAATCATATTAGAAAAAAAATTCAAAACATCAGTCATCGCTGAATTTACAGACCTCGTATCAAATAAATTGTTCGGTTGCTTAGATTCCGAATCCGACGTCAATTTAGACTTAGAATCTACGAGTTCATCAGAGAATAATAATCCTTTATTATCCACGAGACATAAAATAAGCATGGGGTTCGTCAAAATAAATGAGAAACAAACTGGGCATCTACAAATTAACAAACTCGGAAACAGCATAGCAGCCCTTTAAGCTTGCTTTTAAATGTTGCAGTGATCGGCAGATTTTTATTTCCTGTTCCTATTTTTGTACAGGGAGTCCCAATATCCCGTCGGCATAGAAGTACCACGTATATTTTTATAATAATAATCTATTCATATCAATTACAGATTGTGAACAAATTGATATGCCACAAAAAGAAAAATATCCTTTTAGACTTAAAATAAGTCAATTGGGTATGGTTTACCTCTATGCAAAAGTACTTCGTTTGCCCGTTAGAGGGCGTCAAAGTTGACTTTTTACAACACACTTTTTCTAGAAGTCCTAACATTTGACTTTAACAAAAAAACCGAAAGGGCTCGAGAATGGTGAAAACTACCCTTACCCCTACTTACATTATAGCAGAATTTTTTTACAACTCTCCCAACGACTATGATTTTTTTCATTATAAGAACCTTTTATTTCCGAAAGTTATTGTCTCTTATAAAAACAGGTCATCCCGCATAGTATTCGGAAAAAAAATCTTTTTCGGAGCTGGTTGCTAAAAAAATTTAAAATCTGGTAGGCATCTAGTTGGCGGAAATGCGGGTTGCCATGTCTATGTCAGATTATTTTTGACAATGCTTGAGTTTCTTTTTGATTGTTAATTTGTTGTTTGTTATTCATACATTTTGAATTGGGTGCAAACCTTAACCTAAACAACTTCTGAAACGATAAGAAATTCCATACAGAATTATAGCTCTGTAACAAATATGTTTAGAAAAAAATGTGCTACTGAATTTAGTTATCAATTTTCAAGAACTAGAATCCTGTTTGTCCTAGAAATAAACTTTTGTAAAAAAATACTTTACGGTTATACCGGGTTTAACACAAGTATCGGAACGGCACTGTATTTCCAAAAAAGAGTTTCCCACTCCAGACCCATTTTCTTTTTTTATTGCAAACGAAAATGAGTAAAGAAAAATCTTGTACCAACCCATCAGTGGTGAGAGGAGCGTAACACATGAATCCATCGCACTTCGTTGCAACCTGACTTGTGGAGAGCCGCATATGTGTGCTGCGAAGAAAACCAGCATCCTGGTAGATCGCAGGCAGAGGGATCCCACATTCCGTCGCCAGGATCCTTAAACCCAACAAATGTCTGTCCACTCCCATGCCGTTCACTGCCTAAAATAAAAAATTCAGTCAAAAAGTTCGACGCAAGCTGTCATAAGTTCATTGAGGATTATATTGGGCACAAGTTAGCCCAAGGGTAAACTTCTATAACAAGAAATTAAATGGGTCAAGTCAATCAAAGCAGCTCCTGTAAAATTAATAATAAAATTTGGCATTCATCGGCAAAAGATAACCCCGAGTAAAAATTCCTGTGTCCGCCCAAGAACTGTAGTTGCTATTACTAACCTCGCCGCTCGTCATCAACGCGTCCGTTGCAAATATTCCCCTACCATTACGAGCAATTGTACGGAGAATCTATAGTGTGCGAAATATGTCTAATAGGTGCGTAGAGTTACCGGATTTGGAAGGGTATAAATATACTAGCATCAAAAAATTGACATTTACCCTCCTCCAGCAACTACAACCTATAATTTTTAACCAATATATAAATTATAAAAAACGAAGTTAATGTTTTTATTTTGTTTTCGCTTTTTGCTCCCAACTCCGCCAAAACTACATAGCTTATTCATCCATGTCATCAAAATCCAAACGGCACTTTCCAGTTATAGTCAGACCAAGGACATACAAACAGACAAACAGGGCGACGTGATGTACATTTCATATAACATCCAAAAATATACGATTTCATTTTCTAAATTGATCGCGATAACGATACTTCCTCGCCTTTGGCTTGGGAAGTAAAAAGAGTACTATTAAGGCAGACATACATTATTGTAACTTCATACGAATTCAGGAAATATCACAAAAACTTACGTAACTAGACTGTTAGAATAAAAATATTGTCTTTTTCACGAGTATCCATCACGTTAGAGTAACAGCTGATTATCTAGTAATATTTAAAAATTCCCCATATCGACAAATGACACATAATTCTGACGGATCCGTCAACGCCATATAGTAGTAGTAGTAGAAAGATTTATTTAGCACATTTGGCTACATAAACAGAACAATTGTAAACAACTTAGAACTAGTAAATTCAAGCCATATGGTGTATGATGTAAATGCTGGGCAACCTATAATTGTAGATTTAACAAGTGATTTCTCAATTTTACTTTAAATTTTGTCAAAGTTTTCTGGTCTTTTATCTCCGAGTATAATTTATTATATTCAATCAACCCTTGATGGAATACAGATTTGTAGCATATGTTATACTTTTTGGTCATTAAATGGAAGTCATCTTTATTTCTGGTATTATGTAAATGATGGTCGACATTTGATGATGTTAAATTAGTTAGACTCGATGGAAATATATTATTTTTTACTTTATAAATGAATATCATTACAAGATATTTGATAAATTTTTTTACATTGAGCCATTTTAATTTGCTAAGCATTTGCCTAATTGGAGTATATTTATCTTTATTTAGTATTATTCTCATGCACTTATTTTGTAAAATTTGCAGTCTTTCAAAAATGGAATTATTTGCTAAATATAGAATAGTCGAACAGTACAAGAAATTTGGAAGAATGATGGTATTATAGATAATTTTTCTGCTATATGAACTCAGACATCCAGAAACTCTCGATAAATATCCCACTTTACTACTAATCTTATTTATAACTTTTTCATAATGAATATCAAAAATTAATCGAGAGTCAACAAAAACTCCCAGGTATTTAAAATTTTCTACGAATTCAATATTTTCACCATCAATATTCAGTTGAACATTTGTACATTGTTTTTTTCCGATTAGACAGAGCCGCATTTTTGTTTTGGTTTTTTGTACGATACAGATTTATTTTCTACTTGTTAATAACATTTTGATTTAGAAAAGTTTACTTGCATACCAAATACGCTACAAGCAGGTTTTACTAGATTTATACCCGATTCATTATCGCTAACGTTACAGACTAATACAAACATGTCTCTTGCTGATCAGCTGTTCACCTCAGTAAACGTTGAAACATGATGGATACAGATGAAATAGGGTCTAGATAGAGGTGCCTCTGAGGTAACAATATGATTTTTCTAAATATATACTCTACTCTTCTTTGCCCTAGTAGGATTCCAACGTATCGTCAATTCATGCTGTAACTCGTGAGTTTGCGTGATAACTCTGTATTTACGTTACGTAAGAATAATGTATTTCCACCTTTAAACACGCTGAAAATGGCGGCACTGTTAGAAAAAAACATTCCGATTAGATTTTTTCTTAGTCAATTTCCTGAGAGGCTCCAAAATAAGGACAAACTATGTTGGCCACGTGAAAAATGGTTATGTGAATACCATATGAAGTCTTTTTCACGAGCATCCATTACGGTAGAATATCAGCTGATCTAGTAATATTCCAAAACTCCCCATATAAGTGGCACATAATTCTGACGGATCCGTCAACGCCAGGTAGACAGAGCCGTGTTTTGTTTTGTTTTTTGTACGCTACCGATTTATGGGTTACTTGCTAGCAACTATTTTATTCAGTAAAGTTCCATACAAAAATAAATACGGTCATGAGTTTTACCAAATTTACACCCGATTAATTCTTGCCAACGTTACAGACTAATACAAAGATGTCACTCAGCAGACGTCAAAACGTAACGGATACTCGAGAAATAGGGTGTAGATAGACGGACGACTAACCTGTTGTGCGTATTCTTTGTGTTTGATGACGGCTTCTTTAAGTGCAGCGACTTTATCTGCTACTGTCTTGCCAGTATCAAGCATCGTTTTGGCGAACTGTACCGACTCTATAGAACAAGAACGAATGGTTTCGGTTCTTCCGTGAATGAATTTTCTCGTTGACGCCGATTCGTATTGAGCACCTGGAACTCTGTGGATCCTAGACAACATGGCAAGAGAAACAGTTCATAAGCTTCATTGTATAATTAAATCGTGTGTAATCAAAGAGATTAGACATTTCCAATCTTCAAATTCTGGTAAACTCACCGGTCTATATATCCTGTCAGTCATGAAAATGAATACAAAAATGGAAGTCATGTTTCTGTTCGTTTTTCGCAAACGTATAGTAAATAGATAAAAATGGCGTCGAGTAGATTGACTCTGTCCTTCCCACGCGTTCGAATAAACAACTTGTAGTACAATTTTGGATGAGCTGCGAAGGCATCAAAAACACGTAGATTGCAGCAATGAGCGTGTCCACACAACTGTAGTCTCCGTTCATTGGAGCTCACGTATAAAACTGTTTGTCAACATTGTTTGACGACAGATTATAACAGAGGTTAATACGTATTTATAAATTTTACATACTTTAATATATAGTGAGAACCAAATTTGTCTGACGGCTTGAGTTCAATGTGTAAAAGAGAAGTGTGTATAGAAACATATGTTGGAAGGAGATAGAAGTCGGCTAGATAGCGAAGCTCATCACCGCATTGCAGTATGTACCTTGAATTGAGATACATGTTGAAAATATGCGTTAGTTTATGCTCTACGCCCAAATGATTTTATTATGAGCGTACACATTTTTGAATTGTGAATTGTGTCGGATCTGTTTAGGATCGATTCCTGATCGGTTCTAATGGCGGCCCATTTTACGTCGAAATGAAAGGTCAGGTTCGCCACAAATTCTGCAACATTGCATCATTGGTTCGCTTGGCAACAGCGCATCTCGTACATTCGAAGGCAAGGTTTCCACCTCCATGATCATAGATGAGCGATTTTGGTGTGATAATTTGTGTTGCGTAATGGTATTTGTTACATTTCCCATCCGCTCGCGGTCGCAAAATGTAGCAATAACTCAAGAGGTGCTGATTTTATTACCATCGACGGAAATCACAGATAATTCTAAAATAAGTTAAAACACTAAACCTGTAGGAATAACATGTGCGCTACAGGTGTCCTTACCTATAAAATGCAAGTTGTATCGCCATCTGCACAAAACTATCTGGACTCAGCTGGTGCAATTTGACAAAGTTCTTCCCGAAACACTTGAACTGGAAACTAGCCATATCGAGGTTATCTACCAGTCTGAAAGAAATTAGTAATAAAGTTTTTATTCGATTCTTCTGATGAGATTCTATACTCACTTGTCTACATTAACATTGGCTGAATGAATATAATTTGCAATTGTTTCATTGATATTGAAATTTAACTTCTCTGGATAGCAGTCATTCTTCGTGTCAGGTAGATTGTATGCTTGGTCAGACTTTCTAAAAATAAAAAAATTAGATTTTAATATCACTTATAGACATATATATATATATATATATATATATATATTTATACAGGGTGTCCGCAAAGTTGGGGTTTTCCTTTTCAGAAACAACTACCCTTGAAATAACAAAGGTAATGTGTAGTGAAACGAGGGCGACCAAGTAAAAAAACGGCGGACACCCTGTGTATATATATATATATATATATATAGCTTCTGCCTTTTGTTGGGTACCTCGACAAAATTCAATGAATTATACAAGTATCAAAAATCTTGATAAAGAAAAACACCTATCCAAACGATTATTCCTGGTAATGTCCCACATTTTCATGAATTACAACTGTATGAATAAGAAGACAGCAACTGAGCGTCATTTAACTCATATCTGCTAAACTGCGAAAAGTTGGAGCACGTACATATCTCTTCAAATTTCGAATTTTCACAACCATAAACGCAATCGGTTTTTTGGTCGATTCCACCCTTTCCCTCCTTAATTTCCTTTCCATTAAAATTTGAATAATTGGTTTTTCTCATAATAAAATAATATTTGTTGAACTCAGTTGTCCATCTCATCAACAATATAGTTTGTTTAACTGCCTCTGGTCTGTTGACAGGTTCTTAGTTAGCATATCTTGATAAATAACACCATCTGAAGTGATTTGGCAACAGAGCATACACTTTACAAAAATTTTCGTTCCATCCATCGACACTGACACCACCAACCTTCTGTCACCTGTCAAATGTTTCATCCTACTTGTGATCCTGTGCCCACCATTTTGTGCAGCATCAGGTCGTTCAAGATGTAATTTTAACTTTCGTTTTAAATATTTTAATCCATTTTAATTTGTTCCTGACATATAGCTGTGTGTAGTTTATATTAATTTTGACGAATGTACCATGTATCCAGCATTCACCAGGTTACTAGGTGTTTCCCTCAACCAAAACGTTAATAACAATTAGCAACAATCTCACATACGACTGTAAGTTACGTTATAATCATTTTGCACAATAGTTGATATTTCTTCTCAATGTTATTGCAGTTCCTGATGAAGATGACAAAGTCCATTGAAAGCTGGAGATTAATAAAGTATAAAGAGTCCTCTTTGCTTGAATTTTATCGAAGTGCCCAACAAAAGGCGGAAGCTTTATTTTTTCACCTAACTGGATATATACTGTATAGACTTACATGTACTCAGTTAAGAAATCTGTCATTACAGCTATCGGTTGTCCCTCACTTGGTGAGTGTTCGTACGTTAACCCAACAGTACCATCTTCGCCGATGACGAACTGCAATGCAAATATTTCCAAAGAAACACCAATTGTATTCAACTTGAATGTGTCTGGCTTCTCGGCTAGATACTACTCACCTGTAGGGTTTTGTCGAACCACCTGTTGCCAGAATTGCCTCGGCTGCCGCCTCCATGGATGAACTGTTTGCTAGCCGTCGATCTCCAGTTATCTCCAGAACATTTTGGCATGGGGTTGTCCAACGCCACAAGAAACAAAGCTGATGCCAATTCCTTCAGACTTCGCGCATTTTGCGGATCTGATTCAAAGAAAAAGTCTTTTCATACAAAAGTTACGAAACGGATACCTTAACAAACCTTTATTCAATTCCGTATATGCCTTGTGCCAGTTATCGCGATGCTCTGTGGTCAAAACACCGATAGGATTTTCGTATTCTTCAGACTCTTGAAGTATTACTTCCAAAGCGCTCTTCAATTGGCTTAAACTCGGCCAATTACCGTAAGAATCAACCACCTCCATTTTGAAAAACTATAAAAAACATGCATATCATATTCAGTTCCCGAACATATGTTGCCTTTAATTAATTCTTAGTTGATCCACAGTTCAAGATGCAGCTCAAAAAACATCTGGAAGAATTTGCCAACCAGGCAGACAAATCTCACTGGAGGGAATTCCGCAGGGCTCAGTATTGGGTCCTATATTATTCAAAGTTGAATATAGAATAATTATTCTAAGCTCTGAGTGAAATAATATTGGAAATGGAAGCAGTACAATTGATGCTGAAGCATCGTTTGATGCAAATGGGCTCTAAAACAACAATCAAACCCCATGGCGTTTTCACTACGAAACCTAGGCAATGTAAATACAAATACACCATCTGCATGAACAATGTGGCGAAAAAACTTTATGGGTTCCGACACCTAGCAGAGTGCGTGAATATATCTATCTGTGTTAACCGACTGTTATGCTAGGGGTTGGATTTTACGGCTGATTGTAGAAAGGCTTTTAGAAACTTGGGAAATTTAAGATTGCTCTCCCAATACACCATGCCTTTTCCATATAAAGTACAACCTTGGCATGTTCAGAATACACATTGATGTTTATAATCACAATACTAGTTATGGTGTAAGTATGTTATATAACCTAATGCCACAGCAATCTTGGCTAACAAGATGTCAGAAGTCTCCAGAATACCAGTGCATACATTTTTTCAACCATCTCAAAAAGCATCATGAATGTAAATAAATTTACTTAACTCTGGTGCTTTCTATAGTACAGATTAATTACTTCGTTATACATTTTAAAATTTTAGTTTGTTGTATGTCTTACATATATCCACTGTTTTAATTATAAGATTTGAAATCCATGTCTTAAACTTGTAATTTGTATATGAGCACCAATAAATTTGAATTTGAAATCGCTGGTATACATCTTGCATTCTTCCCAAATTCTTTTGGGCTACTTCTGACATATGATACACATTCAATTATGTTGTGTTATATCTTACGTGGTTATTCCGAGATACAATTATATGTCTGGAGTCCGGATTGAACTGCAATCTGTCCTTTTTCTCGCCTGGGATTCGACAAGTGCCAAATACCTTTTTCTACTGATTCATATCCAGCGGAGATGTACCCATTGTTTCTAGTGGAATCTGGTCTCTAAAATGACGGATATAGTATTCTCTATTTTTTATAGGCACTTACTTACAAATTATATGAATCTTCCACAGTATATACAATATTACTCAGCAACACAGCTTCCTAAAAATTACACTGACAGCTCGGCAAACATTGCGAGTAGCTACCATGCGCCATCGCTGACGCTGTGTAGTCGTCCATTTTGAGTTTGTAGTATTGTATATTCTGTGGCTAGAATTACCCGTGAATGTCAGTTTTGTACTGCAACGCGGCCAATATTAGTTTAGCTGTGTACTGCAACCGTTGCTCCTCATTTGCAAAATTTTCAAATGGAAATACTAGACCTGGACTTGAATAGACAACCACAGGTTGTCTATATTGCAAATAGGCTGTGTTTAGCCACCAAGTCTCTAGCCAATTTTCTTCTGTAGCTGCCTTCTCTTCAAGCAGTTTTTGCAACCGAGTACCTGTGCAATATTTAACATATGAAAAAATATGATCAATAATTTTTATCATGTTTTAATAAAGGGATACGAAAATGGAACGGCCAACCGTGAACATCCAATAGATAGTGGCCACTGACTCTCGCAGTGGTGGATTCTGATATGCGATCGTATAGACGTTATATAATTCCGATAGAGGCTACCTTGCCTCGCTTTCGTCCGTTGTACTATAGTTGTCGTCACCGTTCTTGGCGGATCAACGTGCTAGTGATTGTCAAAAAGCATGGAACGTATGTACATGGTTAGCCGTATTATTATATTGCAATGATGTATCTGCCAGAATCGACGTATTATTGTAAAAATGGCTCAGTTACACTGAGCTGCTAACGTTTAGCTCTGTGTGAAGAATGACATAGCCTAGGCTGCTAAATATCATCGGAATGCAATGCTTTAAAAATGTTTATAAACTTATTCAGATTTATTTGGCTAATTTATATTTCACTCAGCACTAAACTTTTAGCAGCTAAGTGCAATCAATGGGAGACAAAAATGAAAATTTTGCCTAACAATATTCTTTGAGGTTTCAATGAGCAAATTTCAAAATTCTGTGTATAATCAATGACCTGGATAAAGAGCTCATTTCCTGGATAAACAGGGTGTACAGATTTAAAATCTGATGTCAGTTTGACATGGGCTATCAAATGACAAAATTTCTATCTCAAACAATCCTAAAGTACAAAACGTTTTGATGGTATATTAGAAATCAGTGCCCCATATCAAGGCAAATTCACTTGTAACAATAAGATATGAAAATTGATTTTTTTTTGTTTTATGATATTAAATTAGGAAAACTTACCAATGCCATTTGTTGCACTAAACTCTCTACATAATTTCTTTGTGTTTTCTAATTCCTTCTCATTTAGGAAAGGAGTAACAGATTTAACATACTTTTCAATAGTCTGGCTCAAAGTGGGGACAGGCAAGCTTGGCAGATTTGATGTATTTTGAAAGGCTGGCTGAGTGCTAGCTGTTCTTGAGTTCATCAAGACTTTAGATATTGCCTTGTAACTCATTTGAGGATTCCCCAGCTGAAAAATGCAAATCTTAAGTTTTGAACTCTGCATAAATAGATAAGCAAGGGGGCAAGTAGCAACATCATGATTTAAAGAACTACCCCCCTTGTCTGTAAATAGTGGCAGGTCTGCCGCTTGAACTGTCACCAATATGGTAAGGTAAATGTAGAGTCAAAATGAAACTCACAATCTTTTGCCTTGTGAAATTCATACTGAGTGTCCCACTGAGGTCCTGATAACTAAAAAAAAATTAAATCAATATTGAAAATGAACTAATTTAGATAAAAAAGCTACCTCTCCATATCCATATGATAACAGATAGGTACTTACTGAAAGTAAATGCTGCACCTTATTTAAACTAGTTCTCCTTGACTTTCTCCTATGGCAGATAATTATTGTCACATTTATTATTTATTATTCCATCACCACCTTTAAATGAACCAAGGGATTCAAAAATATAATTATAATAATATGAGTCTATACTGTCGAAATTTTGCTGCGTACGCTGAAATAGATTCAATATTTTGCATTCAAAATTGAATTCAAATTATGAGCTGTTTACAATAATTTTTATCCAAATATTAATCAACCAATCAAAACAAAGCAGACGTAAACAAAAAGTGCAAAAATAGCCTATTTGTCTGGCATTTCAAGAGTTCGGTGTAATTCTGGGGGATTGAACTTTAAGCCAGTGGCGTTACCATCGCAGAAATTCCCGAGTTACCGAAATGGACGTTGTACAACAACAGATGAAATAATGAGTGGGGACATGGAAACTTTAGAGCTCTTTGAGGTTTCAGAGACTTTTTTGAGGTGAAAGTCGTAGCGTACTATAATTTCTAAGACACTCATCAACAAAAAAGAAAGTGATGCCGGTACGCCACTGTAGTGTGACATGTAAGGTGTGATTCATTTTTTGCAAAAAAGAATTGTACCTCCCATCTCTACTTAGTTCTAGCATTCATTGTAGATGGCAGTTTTGTACCAAAACAAAAATCCCTGTGTTAGATAGAAATGTGTGGTTATGTTTTTGAGTTGTTTTTTTTAATAGTGGTTTGCGATTTTGAATTTCAATATTACTGATGTTTCCTCTCACAACATACAGTATACACTTTAGTTAGTAATGAAATACCAATTATTATACCTAATTTGTGTATTCATAAAATGTTATGTTCTTGCTGATGATTTTTGTTATAGTGATAACTCAGAATGTGAACAAAAAATAAACAGGTATATGAAATAAAATCTACAAATGCATGTTTTGCTTGAGTTTTACATTTCTAGATACTTGCTCTACGACGTGAATCCTCCAGAGGGATTCAACTTACGTTTAGATGTTTATATGCGCTTATCGATACTCGCTCACAAAATGTGGAGATCATCAAATCCTGCTCTAAATAGATTCAAACTTGTTCTGCCACCTTGGTCCCAGCTTGTGCATTGGGAATACACGGAAACCCCCGAGTATATTCCTTGGGGATATTATTTTGATTTAGAAAGTCTCAAGAGATTTGCTCCTGTTATAGAGATGTATGAATTCTTTAATGGTCAGTATAAAAAAGAATGATTTTTATTTATAGAGTTATCAAGATTTTGTCCAAGATTCTATGTTGTTACTATATACTTGTCAATTTCCTGGTAGTGAAGAAATCAATTTAAAAAATAGTTTCATTAGTATTCTGATGATTTGCTGTAAAATCATGGACAAAATCCTAATATTTGGTATAAACAATAACAATGGAGGATTTCTTGAAGTGATGATTTTATTGTGGTTTTAGAATATCCAAATAAATACTCGAGAGTCACTATAGATGAAGTGTATACTCTACAGCATTTTGAGGATATGTTTGAAACAGGCAATTTTGAAGATAGAATGGAATTAAAAAATAAATGTAAGGAAGACCTATCATTTTTCTTGTATAGCAATATCACTGCCAATAAGTATTATTGTCTTTCATATCATGGACCAGCAACAAAACTTTCACAATTGTTTTTGAATACAACAGCCAGGTATACCTGAATTATCAAATTATTTCGTAAGACAACCAAAAATTGAGGTCAGTTTTAGAGGGAATAAAAATAAGGTTTCAATTTAGTGATTACTACATTTTATTTCATTATAACAAATACCCAAGAGCTTTTATTTTATTTGTAATAGGCTTATATTAACTATATGCTTCTGTTTTCCATTGTCGCAAGAGGACAAAATCGGTAGATTTAGGTAATTTACCGATTTACCTATGCAATGGGCTTAGATTAAATTATCATCATCATTTCTCAAGAATTTTTTTTCGTTTCTGTCAACAGTTGTGGTACAAGCAAACAAAACTGTGTAGTAGGGTATTTTTGGAGACTGATTTTGAACATGGTCACCAAAAATTGCTAAATAGTCATATTTGGAATAGAGAAATCAGATTCGTAATATAAGCACCTGATTTACTCAGAAACGGGATTTGCTTGACATCACAGAATTCTCATTCTTAGTATTATTGAATCTATCCTAGCTCTCTCAAACCACACTTTCTATTTTCGTCATCCCTTGTACGAAATGAAACATGGTAGACTGTAGTAATTTGGAACGTTAATTTGGAGTATGGCCATCAAAAAATGCTAAAGTGTCGCGAACCTGAATTATTTAAAAAAAATCGTGGAAAATGAGTAAGTATATTTCCGTAGAAATACCGAAATCTCGGTAGGTTTGGAAACACTGGATATCAGGTTGCTGATCAACGCACCCGATTTACCCAAGAATCTCGTTTCATAAAAATTACCATTGAAATAAAAAAGTATCGGTTATAATTTTTATATGAGTGTTTGAATTTGACGTCTATAAAAATTGTGGCCTCAATTTTTGGTCCCTCTTTGAAACAATCACCTTGTAACAATTGGATTTTGGTAGTTCAATTCTGATAAACCATGCTGAGGTGTCGCTTCATGAGCATTTCGGCGGTAAAGTCTACTGGCAAGCAAGGAGAAGTCTGAGATACAGTAAGGAACTTGTTGATGTTGCCGCAAAATTTCGAAAAGAACATTTAGATTCGGATGATGAGAATGATAAGACTGTTCTACCAGGAAATTGGGAAGATGAGAAGGTACTTAATGTTAAGTGATATATAGTCGAAATCGCGAAAGATGACGTTTACGTCATCATTTTAGTCTGTAGTAAAGATAAACGACAGCGATTTGTGAATATTTTTAATGAAGTTTCAGATATGTTAGACAGAGACAAACAGAATTTTATTGTCTAACCAAACTGAATTGCTAATTTGCATGTATCGGACAAAGATAGACGATGTTTTTATGTTGCATGATCGATCATATTTGAAAGATGAATAGTTAGGTTATGTTAAAGCAGGTTAGGTTGTTTTCGAATAATACTTTGGTCTTTGGTGTTCGTGTCTTAGGGTATTCTACTCATAACTGTTCTTTTCAAAATAAAAACTCCCCTCTAAAATTATTATTAAGGTATCACTCAAAACCATGAAACAAAGTGAAAATAAAAATAATCTGTCAAATAACCTAACTTCGCAAAATCATAATATAAATTTGTTGTCAATATGTTCGTGACATCGTGATTTTATCATCGACGTACGTCCATTGATTACTTCAGTATAATGTATGGTATGACGTAATAGTCATCTTTCGTGATTTTGACTATAGTCATTTGTTGAATAAAAAATTGAGAATATGAAAGTACAGAGCTTATGGCAGAGAAACACATTGGGACTTTATGTTTTTTTAATAGCCTGGTAGGAGAGCAGTCGGAGGTCCTTATTTAGCTATCCATTTGAGGAGGAGAGATTTTTTAAGATTCAGAGTCAAGGAATCTCCCAGTTTGAAAAGCGTAGCTGAGCAAGTATCAACAGTTTTGATACGATTGAATTTCGACACTGTTTATGTCGCCACTGATGCTTCCGTAAAAGGTAATTTAATTCAAACTAGACAAGGTTTACAAACTCGAGTAGTAAGATCACTCCGCAGCTAAATCATTGAAGACATACCTGCTTGAGCGACCGCTTTTCTGAGTCTGTCCGTAACTGAAAAAAAGTCTGTTTTCTAAGAAGGTTGGTGATACCATCTAATACGTATAAACATGAAATGTTTTTTGGCGAGTGGTCTCACTTCTCTTTAGCCTGTATGTTTTGGTATGGCGCGATAGTGCATATTATAGACCAGGGAAAATATCCAATAACTAAAAAAATCCTATATGCGTAGAAAATAAACGGTACCTAATGTATACTATTTTCTTGATCTAATTTTCTGGTTTTAGAATTCGAAAATCTGTCCAGTTTATTGAAAAAATACAAAGTGAAGACGTTTACTCCAAGTGAGGCATTCCTATCAAAGTACAAAGATGGAGGGGCTGCCATTGTGGATCAGATAATTTGCTCTCATGCCAGATACTTCATTGGCACACACCAGAGCACTTTTACTTATAGGATTGAAGAGCGAAGAGAGATCTTAGGGTTCGACGAAAGAAGTACCTTTAATTCGTTTTGCTCGAATGGAGGCCAGTGCCCTGAGACAAGTGTTTGGAAAATTGTTTATTGAAATAAATGTGTTCCAATTCGTTCCGAGTCTTATTCATTAAACGCTATGCTTTCCTTGCCTGTTTATGATCTGAAAGAAAATATAACTCTAATTCAGCAACCAAAATTATTTAACAGCTACCTAAGAATTGGTTGTGGTCGAGAGGAAACATGTGTAAGAATTTTTGGGGATCTTTATCAGTAGTATGAAAAAATTAATAATTTTTTAAAACGGAAATTTCAAAAGACATTTAGGTGTTTTTTTTAGAGAAAAGCGACTTTAAAGTAAAATAAAATCTGACAACGCCGCAATGCCAGAGGCAAATTACGACGGAACGCAGTGTAAATGAAGATGGAGTTTGTTATTTTTGGCTCCTAGGTATTATTCCATTATTTGATAATGCAAACAATTAAAAAAAACGGACTTACCACTAACTGTCTCAGCGCTTCACCTGGTGTGTGGAAGTTTATTGAACGTATTAAAAAAATCCACTTATAAATAGCGAACACAATTTTGATACATACATTGTTTTTCTTTTTAAAACCTATGCTGCTCTTTTTTTGTATATAAAGAAGGTGTTCAAAATGACGTCCTCCACTTTCCACACAACCTTCATTACGGCGAACCCAGTTTCTTCTTACTCTAGGTCCTCGAAGTTGTCCATTTATTATACTAAGTGACATATAAATCCGAACACCCAGTTTAAATGGTTTTATTTTAATAAAATTTTGTATAAGTACTTAATGAGGCATAATAAGAAAATGATAAAAATTTCAAAATGATTGCACTGCTTTAAAGCCCTTTGACCTTTAATAATGTGTGGATGCACCCTGATGTGCTACGCATTCTCCAACGCGCCTAGGCATGCTTCTGATCAGGTGGTCAATGTCCTCCTGTGGTATCTCATTCCAGGCAACCACCAACTCCTCTCGAAGTGCTTCTAGAGTCTGAGGAGGACGTTGCAAATTGAGCAATCTCCTACCCATCATATCCCACACGTGCTCAATTGGGGATAAGTCGGGAGATCTTGGTGGCCATGGTAACAATGTGACATCATTATGTTGAAAGAAGTCTATTGTGACTCTATCTTGTTGGAAAGTTGGATCTGCCAGGGTGTCAAGATAGGGTAAAAGATGGGGTTCTAGAACTTCGTGGATATAACGCTGCGCGTTCATGTTACCTCTGATGAAGATTAAAGGTGACCTGGAACCATAAGCTATAGCACCCCAAACCATAACTCCAACAGTGTGATGAACATGTATTTCAACAAAAAACTGTGGATTCCTCCTTTCACCACGTTGCCTTCTAACCTTGGCACGACCATCGTGCATGCCTAAACAAAATCGAGACTCGTCACTAAAGACAATACTGTTCCATTCATGATCCCAGAGTGACCGTTGTCTGCACCACTCAAGGCGATTACGTCGGTGTTCTCGAGTTAAAGGGAGGACCCTGTGTGGCCGGTATGAAAACAAGCCAAAACTTCTCATTCGTCGGTAAACACTTCGCATGCCAATAGGTCTTCCGTGTTCTGCAAACCATTCATTTGCAATGGACCTGGTAGTGGAGAAACGGTCTCTTAAGGCCAATAATCTTAGGCGGCGATCTTCACGGTCTGTTGTTCTACGGCGGCGTCCAGTGCCCCTTGCTCTTTGCGTACGGCATTCTCGAAGCCATGCCTGACAACACCTAACCACAGTGTCTACACTTCTTTGCACTCTAACTGCAATTGCCCGAAAAGAAAGTCCAGCTTCCCGAAGTACCACTATACGGCCCCTATCAAACTCACTAAGTTGACGAAATCGTACAGGTCTCCGTACTCTAGGCATCGTAACCGATCGTAAAGGATGTCAAAATCCGCTAACGTTGATTCTTTACTGCGGCTGAAATATTCATTTTTAGAGCGTTAGTGAATTAAAAAAAGCAGTATAAAAACCGGAATGTCCAACTGATAAGGCTGAAAATTTTTTCACTTGTTATTTACAGTAAGATAAATACATTCACCAACTTTTATTAAAATAAAACCATTTAAACTGGGTGTTCGGATTTATATGTCTCTTAGTATATATACGTCATTTCAATTAAACTGGTTCCAGAAAATGCAGTTCAATTAATCCGAACAATTTAGTTACCTGGAGTAATTAAAAAATTATTACGAGTAATGAAAATTTTCCAGAATAATTGTAATTGACCACGTTTTCTCAGTATACCTTTGGACGAAAACAAAACTAGTTTCTTGGATAAAATTATCAGCTTTCCAAAATACCGGATTTGTATTAAAGATTGGTTGGTACGGAGTTAGTCTACTTGACTCCATATCATCCATTCAAACGACGGACGGCGCAAAACATTAGACGCGTAGAAAATGTTGTAACCAGATGCTTGATATGAAATCCAGATAAATGGGGCTAGGGGTCAATGGAGCACTATAAACTTGAAGAGGGACAAACGACGCAAAAGTTGGGAGGTTGAACCTGATATATCGTTTTCACGATATTGCGTATCTTCTCTATTATGACGTTGTGGGGATAATTATCATATCGTACTTTTAACACGCTTTTATTAGCTTCGCCTGTATGTAAGGGAGAGTGGGGGAATTGTGCGCAATTAAGCAAGTCCAACTAGCAAAGTAGTGTTATAAGCTTTTGGTAAAAGAACCAATCAGCCATAAAAGCTCTCTATTGTTGTTGCCTGGCTGGCTTAATGTTGTGTGGAATGCAAATTTGCTTTCTGCAACATATTTGCTCTAAAATGAGGTGTTTAAAATATTCTTACAGCATATACAACACCTTATAAGGCAAATTTTTAACTGTTGCATAAACGTTTATACAACTATTTTATACGGGATATTTGCACGCTAGTCAAAATGGTTGTGTTGTGGCATCCATGGTAACGTTTATAAAACAAACCGGAGCCTTGTCGTTTTGCTGTGCAATTTACTAATTTAGCCAACAAATTGCTCCCAACGGAAGCACTTATACAACTGTTGTTTAGTAACTGTTAAAGGCTGTACGTATGCTAAATATGTTGGTATACAACTTCACCATAACCTAACTTTCTGCTGTCATATTTTTGTTAAAATGCCATAACCAATGTTTTAAGACAAACAACGCATGCATATTGGTTCAGAAGGTTTTATCAACTGTTCAAACAGAAGATATAGATCTGGTACAAATTCTGGGTAAATCATTCGAATCTGTCTGTATTTAATTTCAGATATTTGTCAAATTGTTGTATAACACCTGCAGGCAACACCAAAATATTCTAATAAACTAAAGACAACATGGACGATGCCATGATTATACACAACCACCCGCCATATTGAGCAAACATGTATTCCTCTATTTAATATTGTTATGTTTCAGTTCGAAATTACAGATATAAAGTGATAAACATTAGTGTAATTGTGTCTATACATAGGATTTGTGGAAGATTTAACGCAGATAAGTTCAGTTTCCCATCTTAAAAATCTAGACATACTTTTATCATTATCAAAATATGAATCAAATACGAAGCCCGTAGAAATTGCGTAACTACTTTGCACGATAATTACAATAAAATTTGCTGCGCAAGTAATTCAATAGCCCTATATCACAGTGTAGAAGTTTATCATATACCTGTGTATGAAATTCACAATGGCTGATGTGTAAGAAAACAAGATGACTGTAATGTGTTAGTTATATATTCTTCACTTCGTCTATACAATACATAAGAAATAGTTTGGTTGCAATAAAGTAGAATCACGTAACAGAATAGTTGTATAGTTGACAAAAACTGAATCTTGCACTGACGCAAATATCCTATAGCGGCTTCAAGAGGCTTACACTTTTGTTGTATAACTGTTACCTGCAGCCCTTATACAACCTCCTATTAGGTGTGCCCATTCCGCTTGTATAGGTGTTCTAAGAGGGTTTTGCCAATGTTCTTACAGTATACAATGTGTAAGGAATACTGTATAATCATTCTTGCAACTCTAATAGGAGTAATAATTGTTAGTTGGGAGATGTGATTCCATGACTAGACCATTGACCTTATTACACTCATACTTTAAATTTAAATAGCATTTATTATACTTCTATTATGTAAAAAGGAATATTCTTTTACTTTTTATAGAACCATGTTGGTGAATGTATTTATCTTACTGTAAATAACAAGTGAAAAAATTTTCAGCCTTATCAGTTGGACATTCCAGTTTTTATACTGCTTTTTTTTAATTCACTAACGCTCTAAAAATGAATATTACAGCCCCAGTAAAGAATCAACGTTGGCGGATTTTGGTTCTTGACATCCTTTACGATCGGTTACGATGCCTAGAGTACGGAGACCTGTACGATTTCGTCAACTTAGTGAGTTTGATAGGGGCCGTATAGTGGGACTTCGGGAAGCTGGACTTTCTTTTCGGGCAATTGCAGTTAGAGTGCAAAGAAGTGTAGACACTGTGGTTAGGTGTTGTCAGGCATGGCTTCGAGAAGGCCGTACGCAAAGAGCAAGGGGCCTAAGATTATTGGCCTTAAGGGACCGTTTCTCCACTACTAGGTCCATTGCAAATGAATGGTTTGCAGAACAGGAAGACCTATTGGCATGTGAAGTGTTTACCGACGAATGAGAAGTTTTGGCTTGTTTTCATACCGGCCACACTGGGTCCTCCCTTTAACTCGAGAACACCGACGTAATCGCCTTGAGTGGTCACTCTGGGATCAGCAATGGAACAGTATTGTCTTTAGTGACGAGTCTCGATTTTGTTTAGGCATGCACGATGGTCGTGCCAGGGTTAGAAAGCGACGTGGTGAAAGGAGGAATCCACAGTTTTTTGTTGAAAGACATGTTCATCACACTGTTGGAGTTATGGTTTGGGGTGCTATAGCTTATGGTTCCAGGTCACCTTTAATCTTCATCAGAGGTAACATGAACGCGCAGCGTTATATCCACGAAGTTCTAGAACCCCATCTTTTACCCTATCTTGACACCCTGGCAGATCCAACTTTCCAACAAGATAATGCCCGACCACATGTTGCAAGAGTCACAATAGACTTTTTTCAACATAATGATGTCACATTGTTACCATGACCACCAAGATCTCCCCAATT